GCAGCTTTGGTGGTGTGAATCACAAATCATCAGGGAATCAATAACTGGGCACAATAATAACCATCCGTTGTGCTACTCAGAGAGCAATAATACGTGAGCTGTAAGCCTGAAATGAGCTGTTTTAAGGATACTTCAGCCATTGCTCCATGTAACTGAGGAACGTCTTCACCTCTTGGGTTGTCGACGCTGTGAGGTCGTATGCTGCAAACAACCTTCAACGTACCAGGAGGTGCCGATCAAAAGCAAGCATCTAGAAATCATTAAAACTATTTGGAAGCATTCAAATGTATACGTCGTACGCACCCATGATGCATTCACTTCAATGCTTCCTGAATTCCTCCTTTCAACCAGTTCCTCCTGGGATATTGAAGGTTGCGTATTGCCTATCAAAATGGGAACCTAGCCAGGCCAATGATCAGCATTTGAACATGAAAACATGACAAGTTTGCATCCAAACATTATTAACCTAATCAGAGTTTTTTATTATGCCCAATTCACCAAGTTAACTGAAGCAGACCGAACCGCAACATGTTCTGCTTGACCAAAATAGCCCTTCTAATCTCTGCGTTGCACACAAAACAACTAAAACCTATCTTAAAGACAATATTGCCTTGTTTGACTTGTTATTTACAGAGCAGTTCTGCTCTGTGATAATGACTACGGATGCGTGTCAAAGAAGAGCTACCAGTATTGACACAGGCCACAGCCATCAGAGTCTGTATGTAGACTTTAGACTGCAGAGCTGGCTGATCACATCGGCTGGGAGATCATCACATGCCCCTGGATTCAGCCGTCACTATAACGGCGCCGGGCATGATTGACCCCGCGGACGTGCCTCACCGTCACCGTCAGAGATGAGTCTGCGCGCCGCAGGGTCTCCCTTCTCACTGCCTTCAGTGATCTACTGCACTTCTTGGGTCCACTGCGGCCGTGGGTAGATCGCGCGACGCCTCTCCGTCGGTCGTTCCGGGTGGCACCGGCCGCACGCGCCCCGCCGGCCGGCCCGGGCTCGCCGGCTGCCGAGCATGCTCTGCGGCGGCGGGTGACGCGCGCCGCCAGCCGTCCGCGCCTCCGGATGAGCCCGGCCGAGCTGCGGCGCCGCCTCCGGTCGCCGCCTGTCAGCCGCAGCCGCGCCATACACGTCACCCGCAGGGCTGCTGAGAGAGAGAGAGGGGAAGGGAGAGGGCATAGGGAAACAAAGAGGGTAGGGGAGGGAGAGAGGAAAAGAGAGGAAGGGAGGACGGGCGAGAGAAAAATCGGGACAGAGATAGTGAGAGAGAAAGAGAGGGAGAGGGTGAGTGAGAGAGATAGAGAGGGAGAGAGAGAGGGTAGGGAGAGAGAGAGGAAGAGAGCTGCCCGGTGCAGGGAGGGTCGATCGCTTGCCACCGGATCCTGCCTGGAGCTGAGTGCATCGCATCGTAGCCTGCCTCTACCAAGCCGAGGATGCATTCATCAAATGCCGACACGTATGCCGATCGTGGGAACGAAGCGCGGTGCCCATCTGTCGTTCTCCTGAGAGCGCCACCGTCATCTGTCGTTCTCCTGAGAGCGCCACCGTCATCTGTCGTTCTCCTGAGAGCGCCACTGTCATCTGTCGTTCTTCTGAGAGCGCCACCGTCATCTGCTCCAATGTGCGTCCCTGCCATCTCACAAAAATACAGTTCACGCGGCAGTCCACGGCGCAAGCTTTGTAACTCTAAGCCCATTTCGAGATTACCGGTAATGTACGGATGGTTGTCAGATGAAATTCTGACCGTATGTGTAGGAGAGACACGTGATAATCAACGTCCGAAGGTGTGGTGGGTGTAGCTGTTATCTAACTGGCATCATCGTACACAATTAGGATGTCTACGCATTTGATGTTGAATGATCGGCCATTTTCCAGCTCAGGCGACCAAAGTTACTATCATATGCCATTTTAAACCCGGGTCATATTCTAACATTTTTTATTTCCTTCTTTGATTGAATACACAAACAATGTTATGGCGCACTGCATTTTCTTCGCAGTCCAGATGCAAAGTAAATGATCAATTGCCACCATATTGTATGGCCATATTACACTCGTGTTACTATCAAATAGCTGATGCTTGGTTCCAAGATAGCCGATTTGGTTAGTATGCAAGTTGTACAGGAAAGATTGTCTGCCACTGAAAAAAAATAAAGCGGATCAGTTCACCGGGAATTCATTAATGTCTTCCTCCAAGTTTGCCCCTACCCTTATGTAACGTTCATCCTGCCAGTCTCTAGTTTTAAAATGGGACCTTTAGCACGGTGATTATTTATGAACGCGTGCAGAGCATGCTGACAGGCATTTCCATCAAGCGTGCTCGTTACTACCGTCAGAGCTGTTGAAACTCGTCGTTTAACTTCAAGTAAAACGGTGGTCACTATCGCAGGTGATTATTTTTTCATTTGTTTGTGGCTACTTTTATGCCGCCGGCGCTTCCGTCACGAATATAATGGCTTGTTTGCCAAGGAATGCGACCCGAAACTAAAGGTGAAAACAATCCTATCACTGTCCACATTGGTAACCTGCTTGGCAGGGACGTTTTCTGAGTAATAGAAATTGCTGTGATGCGGAAGGCGGTCTCTCACTATCCACCTGCCAAGTGTTATGGCTTTCGTACTACACATAGTGTTGTTGGGTCCAACTGATCCGCACTGGCGTTGGAACTAAGATACTTAGCAAAGCGCAGCTCCCGGCATGACGTGGCACCATCCTGCCACTTCAAGTGTGACGTAGCCCCGTCCTCCTGCTACAAAAGCGTCTGAAACAGCCAGGCGACAACAGCTAAAACAGCTTTCTTGATGCAAGCAAGAAAGACAATGAGCTCCCGGTTCTCTAGCTTTGTGATCTCTTATGCTGACAGAGCTGCCTGTTCGGAATTCTTATAACTCTGTGGAACTCTAGAGATAATCCCATATGACGTATGCTTCGTGCTTTGGAGCTACATGGGGTTACAAGAACGGTCATGGCTTGTCCGAAACACAAAATATACCTATATGCTTGTATAAGACCTATACAGGTCCATAATGAGACCTATAGTAGGATATACCTATAGACCTATTTAAGAGAGGTTAAGGTCAGGGGTGCGGAGTATATTGCCCTCATCTTTGGATTTTCCCTCCAGCTTTTGGAGCTGAGTTGCAATCACAAGTTGCATGCTATGGAAGCATGATGTTGAAAGCTTAAGCATGTCATGGAAGAAAGGTGTTATTGCATGACCTAGGTTCGCCTTATATCATCTTCTTGTCGAACTACATGACCGCATTTGACCTTTACGTAATTGCACATACCTTGCTGCCCTCCCCTTATTGAAACGCATGGGTGGAATGTCTCGTACATGTAAGATATGCACTGCAGAGTTCGATAGGCTGACCGATAACTTCGGCGATTTTAATTCCCGTCTTGGACTTTGGATCAGCTAGATTACCCCTTGAATAGCTTTTCTTCTCAAAATTGGTTTCATATACCCGACAGCGCATGAAAATCTGTTTTATTCATGTTGGCCCTTCTGTGTTCAGGTGACTTGCCTGCGGCTGTATCCTGACCTTTGACCTTGGGTGATCTTGCGATATTTTTCAGTGACCACTAGTCATGTGTAGCACCTCGGGGTCACTTGGATCATTTTTAAGCACTTACTGGAATGTTGTGCTTGCTCATATTGCGGAGATATACAAAACCTAATATAATCTCGCTCGAAATGTGTACACTGCTGTCTATTTTATGTTCTCCTGACCTGACCTGAGCATAGCATATTTAGAGACACATCACACGTACTGGTCAGTTGTCTCCGAAGGTCAGTAACAAAAAGGTATCTTGGAAATACAATCCATAGTTCTGGTATGGGCTTGAGATGGTCGCTTAACTTGCAACATATTTGATATCTGTAGTGATGTATCTGAAAAGTTATGTATGTACTATGATCTTTATGTACGTCTATTTAACAAAACTCAAATTTCGGGAGTTGTTTGAGACTCACCTCATCATTCGCCTTTTCCAGAATCTCTGGCCGCAAATTGACCCGACCAAGCTCAGTGAGATTTCCTTGTTCAATCATCCTGGTATCTGCGAGTTATGTGCCATATCAAACCGCCACCCTTTCCTTTTACCTTTACCTATCCGTCACCAACCCATTGGCGTTCTTTTCCAGCAACTAAGTTGCAAATTATGGTAATGTTTCAGGAAATATTGGGTTCAAATTTGTTTTTTTGTTTTGCCAATTCCAAATGTTGTTTTAATGGTGCTAACCAGGGCTAGAAGCACAACCAGTATCATTGAATGCGATTTATTAAATGATCTATCCGGCGTTCGCAAACGTATTACCCATCTTCTACACATACTCATATTACCCAGTGTTACCCATTCTGTATGGATGTTCGTCGGTGTACAAAACGCGTTAAATCCTCCATTTGACACTAAATCAAAAAATCAAAATTTGGTCAGAGCTTCATGAATCTGACTTGACACATTTCAGAGTCATTCCAGAAAGGACACTGAACGGGGCGGTTTGACACATCACCTCCATCCCTTACCCCCACCAGCACGTTACAAGTGAGCTGGCAATGGTTTGGAACATAGCGAAGCTGGCGAGAAGTCTTTTGTTCCTTGGTCACTGCAGTGACTGGCTTTTGCCAAACTCCCATAACTGCCATATTCTACGCAAACTCACACTTACACTCAAAAACGCGACATTAGTTCTTACCACGGGCAACAAGTCAGGAAATCAGGAAATGAAACTTGCGGTGATCTGAGTTGCCGCTCACAGGTCAGTTCCACCCTTCCACATCATTTCACTTACTCTACCCGTCAGTCCTTGGCTTGTCGGTGGCAGGGGGAGGGGCTCGGGCCTGCCGGGTGGAGGGGTGGGGGCGGGGGGGGGGGGGGTGCGGGCCGCCGATGGGGGGCGGCACCGGTCGGGCGCTCAGGCCGTCACAGACGGCAGTGCGGCGCCGACCCGGCCGTCCGACGTCGGCCCCCGCGGCGTGCTGAGTCCACCCGCCGCGGCGCGCCGGCCGGCCGCCTGGACCACGTCCGGCAGCCGCTAGCGGCCACCGCAAGGTGAGACGCGCACGGAGCGCCGAAGGAGCGTCCTTGCTTCGCCAGAAAGGGTGACGGGGGCTCGGCTGTAAATCTGAGGACGAACTTTTGGGTGCAAAGAAATGTCCGCATTCAGTTGGGAGAAAACGGAATGAATTAATGTATGTCAACCCATAGTGCCATATGTACCTTCAGGTTCAAGAATCTTCAGACTATAGGCCAAACTTTTTCAAGCTTTAGAGAAAGAAGGTCTCCATTTCCATGTCTACTTTTCAAGTTCAGCGCTTCCTCCATGCTAAGTCGCCTGGTTGTGCCGGTGATATTGCGTAGCCGAGAGAGAATCGAGAAAGAGATAGCCGTACACTTGATTGGGTCCAACGATATTTTGATTCGTTATCTTACATGCATCGCCGTGGGCACGATGCTTAACTCACCAAATTTATTTCATTTCAACCTCATAAAGTTGGATTGTTCTCCACTTTCCAGAGGCGCCGAAGTGAGAGTTGCTTGCCTTGACGAGAGTAGCTTCGCAGTAATGCTGTCCGGAATTCTGGAGTATTGTGCTGTGGAGAGGTATACTGTACCGGAGTGCTCTCATCTTGAGCGCTACAGTCTGGCAGCATGGGGATGTAAGTGCACGCTGTTGCAACGGACGGTACGGATGTACTTACCTGCCCGGTGCACAAACCACAGCATCTCAGACGGTAGACTGGACAATCGGCAGATGAATTAGGTGCCGTATTTCTGCTGGAAAGGTATAGCCATGAGTTATGAAAGTTTCGCAAGTGATTGATCAATGACAGCTCTCCAAGTTTACCCTGCCAGTCATAGATGTTCGTTGTCTATCGCAAAAGGGTGACTGGCGATATGCAGGGGCCCTTCTGTTGTTTATACGATTTTATCTGTGGGCGTTGGGTAGAACGCGTGTTGATTCACCCTGGCCATACCCCTGCTGATGGATTTAAAACGTCTCAGCTTTAGCGCAGAGTAAAACCTCTCCGTTCTTTTGAAGTGCTCGTCAAGCTATTCAGAACACTGTTTTTGTTTTTTTGTTATCCGTGTTATGAATATTTTGATACTGATGATCAGCTGGGATATTTGACTTCAACGTCTGCTACGTAGCGTCTACGCTGGAAATTTTTCAAACAAATTTGAATATTAGCTGCTGCTATGCTGTACAAAGCATACCCATGACCATGGAAAATTTCGTCATGGCAGCAATAATCACAGCGTCTTGGTGATCGTGAGGCATCTCTGGCTTTTAAAAAAATGTTCTTGTCCACCGTAAGCGCAGAAACGTCCCTAAAAAGTGGAAGGCTTAAACTCGTGTCTGCAGTTCCTGGAATGGCCTTTCCTCATGCTTTCAGGGTGACGCGTCAGGCATTAACATTTTGAGAGACGAAGTATAGTTTGTCCTAACCCGGTCATGAAATATTTTAACATCAGGCATGTAGGGGTTAAAGCAATATCCCGGGAATCTCAAGAGGTCTTGGAGATGGTGCATTCTTCCAGTGGTGTTAACCCACATTCTCGAAGGTGGTTTTGTTGCCACATTTTGGGAATCTCAGAAGCCTTGGAGGCGGCGTATTCTTCCAGTGGTGTAAGGGCATATTCTCGAAGATAGTTATGTCATCATCAGCTTCGATCAAGTCTTCTCCAGGATGTAATCTTCAAATCAGCATCCCATGTCGGGCCTTACAATCGCTGCACCGTTTTTGTTACCTCCTTTGCTCCCGACCAGACCAACCGATGTTACCACTAGCCTTTCCACGCACTTGGCAAGTTGAAATCTCTTGAAACTGATTTCACCGCACCAATTTTCAGATTGGTGTTACACATACTATGAAAGGTGCGGATTATCACTGGAACAAATGAGAAAAAGTATGGATGAGTCCGGAAGATGGCTGGGTATATTGACTAGTATACATGAACTATGTGTCACAGGTTGAAGCATAAGAGTAGGTACCTTTCATTCGGGAATAGGGTCGGTTAAAGAAAGATACATTCTGTCAATTATATTTTGAAACGCAAAGTACCGTACCTGGTTTCCTGCTGTTGCTGTGGGCTAGAAAGCGGATGGCATGTTTGTGTATGGGGAAAGGTACTAGAGACCTTCACGGGCAAGATTTCTTTCACTCAATCTACTCGCTCTCCCTAGGGCCATCTGCTATCCACCCGACTGTATTTTTTCTGGGTTTGATATCAAAGTATGAACACATTTTTGGAAAGTTCTTACCCAAACTCACTCTTTCTCACCCATAATTGCAAAACTAGGGTGAATGAAGCTAATTTTGACTAATCAAAGTCAAGCAGTAACGCTATGTTGAATTACATGCAGTATATACGCCTGACATTTTGTTAACGTCTTACTGGTATCCATACCCATGATTTTTCACAAAACTGGTACCCAAACCATTCCGGTGCTCTTAGAGGTGCCTTTGTGCTCCTCGAGGTAGCGTTCCTTTACGAGACTTTTCCTCATGACCATGATCGCCACTATGCCATGTTGAGGTGTGCAGTTAGCCGTGCATGATTTTGCTTATCCTAATCCCGCAGCTACAAAGTCGTTGTTTTGACAACGGCCTTGAGCTCAAACGCCCTTCAGGTCTATGACCACTTCCAAGGAGAGTGTTCGCGCCCACGCTTTAAATTCGCGCCCATGCCCACTGCCTCGCCAAACGGTGCAGCATCGTCGTGGCGTCTGTATGTCTGTCAGCGTCTGTAGGTCTGCAGTATCATCATGACGTCTGCAGGTCTGCAGTATCGCCATGGCGTCTGTGTGTCTGTCAGCGTCTGTAGGTCTGCACTATGGTCGTGACGTGTGCAGGTCTGTACTATCGTCGTGACGTCTGCAGGTCTGCAGTATCGTCGTGGCGTCTGTACGTCTGTCAGCGTCTGTAGGTCTGCACTATCGCCGTGCCGTCTGTAGGTCTGCAGCATCATCGTGACGTCTGTAGGTCTGCAGTATCGCCGTGCCGTCTGTAGGTCTGCAGTATCGTCGTGACGTCTGTAGGTCTGCAGTATCGTCGTGACGTCTGTAGGTCTGCAGTATCGCCGTGCCGTCTGTAGGTCTGCAGTATCGTCGTGACGTCTGTAGGTCTGCAGTATCGTCGTGACGTCTGTAGGTCTGCAGTATCGCCGTGCCGTCTGTAGGTCTGCAGTATCGTCGTGACGTCTGTAGGTCTGCAGTATCGCCGTGCCGTCTGTAGGTCTGCAGTATCGCCGTGCCGTCTGTAGGTCTGCAGTATCGTCGTGACGTCTGTATGTCTGTCAGCGTCTGCAGGTCTGCAGTATCGCCGTGCCGTCTGCAGGTCTGCAGTATCGTCGTGACGTCTGTAGGTCTGCAGTATCGCCATGGCGTCTGTATGTCTGTCAGCGTCTGTAGGTCTGCAGTATCATCATGACGTCTGTAGGTCTGCAGTATCGTCGTGACGTCTGCAGGTCTGCAGTATCGCCATGGCGTCTGTATGTCTGTCAGCGTCTGTAGGTCTGCAGTACCGTCGTGACGTCTATATGACTGTAAGCGTCTGTACATCTGCAGCGTCGCCCGTGACGTCACGTCTGCAAGCACCAATCCCTATAATCCGTCTTGACAGCGGTGGCGTGGTGACCCCAATGGGTCCGTGCTGCCGCGCTGCCCGGCAGCGACTGGTCAACATCACACGCCACTCGGCCGCCGGCGTGCCGGTGCTGAGAGCTCGTGAGCACGGCGCCAGGTCACGTGCACCGCCCACAGCCGACGAGCGGACAGCCAAGCCCGTGCCTCAGCGTCTGCTGTAGGCGTCGCAGTCCCTGTCGGGATTTGTTCGGGGGTCATCTGTGACGTCGTGGCTCTGTGATACATTTAGTTTAATATGATGACCATTTCACAGCTGGCTGCGAGTTTGCCAGCTGCCCGGTGAAAATCAGACAGCAGATACGTGTTTTCTTCAGAGGTCATGATGCAGTCTTTCGGCGTCTCGAGATAGGGACTATAGCGGGGTTCGGCTCAAGCTCCGCCTACTGCCCAGACGGGTGTGGCCTTGAACCAGGCCAGTCACCCCATCCCGCAGGATTGCGTCCAGTGGCAGGGAAAAGAGACGCGACTTTTTCTAAGTTGCCCTCAGACTTGAGACCGGCGCGCCTAGCCAGCTAGGCATCTGGTACGCAGACGCTCCCTGGGCTAACTTGCAGATCCGGCACTAACCGCTAGTGTTTATTTACGACCTCTCTGTGTGTGGTTGGCTCTTTTTCTAAATTGTTGTCCTGTGCTTTGAGTGTCCGTAAAATATGGTGCCAGTGCCATGCAATGCACAAACTTGTTCGCCTAATAGCAACAGTGGGAATAAGCCACGAGCGGCGAAATATCATCCTGGACTAAGAAAGTTATACGGCACTAAATTAGTACTGTAATGTGGTGCCGGGTGGAGCACAGGTAAGACGATCTTACATTCGAAGGGCGCTGCAAGAAACCTAACATGCTGTCCACGCATAGAGGCCTCCAGGTCCAGCGAATGCGCGATGGTACGGTTGGTGACGGTACAAACACTCGGGGTATGATCGCGCTCGGGTAGGCCGCGTAGGTCCACGCCGAGTCGGTTCGCATTGGTCAGCTGGTCACGCGACAGCTCCAGTGGTGCTCGGACCAGTTCATTCCCAAGGTCTGACGCCCGACCGTGCGCCACACCCCCCCCCCCCCTCCCCCCTCATTCCAACAGCTGACGGTGTCACACGGCAGTGTGGCGGCGGCGCCGGCTTCCGCTGACCGGGCGCTACCGCCAACAGCAGTGCCCCACCGGCCTCGGCCACATGCCGCGCGCTCACGCACGCCGGTCAGCCACTGGTTCTCGGGCGATAATCCATTAGCCCCCGCACGGTGCTCGCGGTGCAAAAAAGCAATGAAATTTGTGGCTGTCAGCTCTATTGGCATGCATGTTTGAAGCTTTGTATGCAGATGATAGTAAGCAACACAGCGTAATCTAGCATTATTTCTTATGCGCCTGGATTTCTGTTTCATTTTTGTCCATTACCTGCTCCACATATATTAGCGCAATCCTAAACACGAAAAGTTCGCAGAAGCAATACAAATTTTCACTTCTGCAAAACCGTACATGAACATAACTTAGGTCATGTCGCTGGTAACTGTGTCCAGAAGCATGATTATACGTTCAGACAAAATGACAAACGCAATCAACGTAGTTGGTGCCAAGCTTGTTTTACCCGCGCTCAGTCAAAACTGGAAGGCGGTACTGCCACCCGGGGCTGGCTCTATTGCATTCTTCCGTGACCGTGTTTGTTCACCCTAATTGTCACAAATGTAGTATTCGCATAACTGAGAAAATGTGTCCTGCAATGTTAGCAGCAATGAAACCTTGGCTCTAGCTCACGCCCTTGCTTTTGAAAGTAAGCAGCCATGCACCATGTTCGCAAGACTCAGTTACATGAATTGAGCACGGTTTCCAAGGGCCTGTGTGCACAAGTGACGTCAGTTTCTCACAGGCTGTGACAAACCAGACGCTGTCGCTCCAATATGCCGGCCACCAAGCTTGCTTACCACGTGTGCAACACTACCAGCGAGGACCATGAACATCCAGCCAAGGTCAGGTAACCTGTCGTGTGAGAGGCACTTGCCTTGCTCTTGCAAACAGTGACACGATCCCTACTTAAGTCGTCAGTTTTCCCCAAGAGGCGTGGTAGTTCGATAAGAATCATCTGAGCCTCCGCCTCTGACTGTCAGTTCAGTGGGTTTGAGGGCGTGTCTTTCGAATCACCTACCCGTGGCAGGGTGGGTGCCAGTCGTTTTAGGACTGGGATGCCCTGCGGACCATGGCAGCGGCTCAGTGTCACATGACGTCAAAGGTCGGGACAGACCGTGTCGGGTGCCTTGTCACGTTAAGCTTTTGCCGAAAATGTTGCCGTTGCTCCCGGGTTTTACGATCGAGCGGTGGGGTCAGCGCTTACGCAACAAGAACTGCTGAGCGTGGACGCTGATCCCAGAAATTCATCCAATTAAAGAGTGCGGATTTTGGGAACCGAAGTCCTCCAAGACAGCGAATGTAGTCAATGGCCCAGTTGCGAGCGAGCTGCAAAGTCGCTCGCGGAGCTTTTACGTAATGTAAGGGCTTGTGTTGAAATGGGAGGCCCGACACTATCAAAGGCCTTTTGCACGTTTGCTGCTTCGCCGCCACGGAAAAAAGAATGATTTTTGAGTAGGCATTCAAAGTCATATGCTCTTTTCTCTACTTCATAGCACCTAGGCTGTTCAAGCTCAAATTTGTGTGGCATGCCAGCCTTTTCGTGCGACATGCGTACTACGAATCGCTGTTGAACCAGTTCCATTACCAGCTCTACGAATGATGACCAATGTAACCGCCCGCTGGCACATGATATTGTTTCAGACTCTTCACTACAAACGCAGCGTGAGCTGAGTCGCATGTTACCCTACTAGCTGCAGCTCAGAGGGGCGTCACTGATAGTTTACTAAGATGAGGCTTATCTCCTTTTTCGGTGCATGCTCTCTCCCTTATGCTTTCCATCTCACATTCTGTAAGTGTGGACCCTTCATCGTGGTGAGATCAAGTACATCCACGTGTTTGTCTTACACCGCGTGGCAGGCAGCATTTAGCTCCTTTCTGGTTTTCCGGAGAAGCCAGCACGCAGGATACGCACAGAGCTCTCTCCCGGACGAGCTCCGAGCGCTGTTGTGCACCGATCGGGGCAGACACCACCAGTGCACGAGGCTGTCGTGGGCCCTGACCCCTCTCTATGCGTCCTCCTCAGAAGTTGGACGTACAGACGCCCCATTATACGGCTGTTGCGGGCCCTGACCTCTCTCTATGCGTCCTCCTCAGGACCTGGGCGTCCAGGCGCCCCATTATACGGCTGTTGCGGGCCCTGACCTCTCTCTATGCGTCCTCCTCAGAAGCTGGACGTACAGACGCCCCATTATACGGCTGTTGCGGGCCCTGACCTCTCTCTATGCGTCCTCCTCAGGAACTGGACGTCCAGGCGCCCCATTATACGGCTGTTGCGGGCCCTGACCTCTCTCCATGCGTCCTCCTCAGAAGCTGGACGTACAGACGCCCCATTATACGGCTGTTGCGGGCCCTGACCTCTCTCTATGCGTCCTCCTCAGGAGCTGGACGTCCAGGCGCCCCATTATACGGCTGTTGCGGGCCCTGACCTCTCTCTATGCGTCCTCCTCAGGAGCTGGATGTACAGACGCCCCATTATACGGCTGTTGCGGGCCCTGACCTCTCTCTATGCGTCCTCCTCAGGAGCTGGACGTCCAGGCGCCCCATTATACGGCTGTTGCGGGCTCTGACCTCTCTCCATGCGTCCTCCTCAGGACCTGGACGTCCAGGCGCCCCATTATACGGCTGTTGCGGGCCCTGACCTCTCTCCATGCGTCATCCTCAGGAGCTGGATGTCCAGGCGCCGCACTCGCGCGGCTGGCGGTCGCGCCAGTTTTGTATCTACCCGCAGGAGATCGCCTTCCAGCTGGGCCTGCGCACCCACATCAGCCGGATCCAAGTGTTGTTGCACCAGCTGCTCGTCCGTGAGTAGGCCACAACGCCGACGGGTGCCCTGTCCTTTGTGGAGGTAAAAGCTAAAAGTTAGCATTGTCTGTGGCTTATAGGCTTCCGGCGCTCTTGGGTGCGGCGTTTCGGCTCTGCGCCGTCCCTAGAACGAATCATCTGATTTCACCGGATGGAAATAAAGTTGGTGATCAGCGGACAACGCACTGTTTGCTGGTGTCTAGGTTATGTGCCCTGTCACAGGCCAGGTCAAGTGGCAACATATCGACGAATTTTAGCCCAGTTCTCATTTGTAAGTAAAATTGCATTTCGAGCGTCCAAAGTTAAAGTGAAGACATCATATGTCGTGTGAGATGCGTTTGGAGGTTGAGGCTTCAAGAGTCTGTAAAATATCGGCGCTTTTGTCGAGTGCGCACCGGTATGAGCTTAGCTTATGTTGTTTTAGTGAGAAATTCGGTCAAGCCCAGAGGTCAAGTAAGGTCAGATTAAGCGTCCAAGAAATGGGTACCGAGTCATGTTTATCGGAAAAAATGACGCGAGGAGGTTAGAACACATCAATTTTTCTGCAATGACGGAGTATGGTGACCTAAAGGGGTTGCAGGCTGTCTGAGGCGTCATTAAGGGACACCGACTATCCGGGCTCTACCAACAGCATGGCCGTCCAACTGGCCTGGCGATGCACGTTTGAGTCATGCACGTGCACAGAACATGGAAGGACACCCTCTTTCTTGTTAACCCGTGATCGCCTTACATGCTAGGTTGTGCGGGATGTTGGACCTGTAGTTAAAGCCGGGAAGCCTCCAGACAGCATGCAAAACTACAAGCTCTTGCGATTAAAATCACTATTGGGTTCATAACATAAGTGCAACTCGACATATGATGACATGGCATGGAAACCTAAGTGAGTGTATTTTAATTATTTTATGTGTGATGTAAATAGGCTTTAATGTGAAAACATGTGTCCTCACATTTCACTCTCGGGATATGAGGATGGCAAGACGGCAATCAATCTCTGATGACCAATCATGAGCTCAGGATGGTCTAGCTTGTTCTGCATGACAGCAGGCAACGTATGATCGGCAAATGATCCACAGCATTGAAGGCTTTGATTAAGCAGCAGTAAAAAAGAAGATTAAAATCCGAATATGGCGCCTATAATAGCCACAAAGGCGGCGTTATCACGTCACCAATAATAGTATTGCTCAAATACAGGGGTTCAGATCTGCATTCGAGAGCACTGAGCATTTAGGCTGCTAGCGCACTTCATCCTAATGTTATGTGGGGGGCACACAAATGTTTCACGCACTTCATCTAAACCGTGCACGGCGCCCGAGCAGCCGAGAGGATCGACTTCTTCGTGGGGGACGTGGAGCGAGGACGAGACGAGACATACGCCAACGCCCGCTTCGCCAAGCTCGGCTACGTCGCTCTGGCTGCGGCCGACGAGTCTGGTGGCAAGGCGCGGGAGCTCAAGTCCGTCGCCGTCGACTGTGAGGGCCTCTTCATCAAGCTGGTCATCCACCGCAACCACATGACCAAAGCCAACAAGTACAACCAGGTGAGCGGCGCTCTGGCGGTGCGATGTTTGCATACGGTCGCAGACGTTTGTTTGGCTATGAATGAGAGTGCGTAGTTTGGAGGACCCTTGCCTTCAATAAGATCCGTTTCACAGTTCGTTCTCAGCTCTTTGCTTATAATGCAAGGGAGCTGTTGTATTGCAGCATTCATCCGGAATTGCGAGTGTTTGGACTGGCCAGAGCAATACTCTCCTTTCTTATAGACAACCGTAGATACTACAATGAGTCGTTCTCCATCGATCCGTCCGAGTCTGTCAACGTTGCCAAAAATCGCCCTGATGCCAGAAAATGACGCACGAATACTTTTTTGCGCGGGACCGTCTTCTCTTTGAAGCCTGACGTCCTTGGCTGTTCCTACTAGGTCAGCATAGTCGGAGTGAACTTCTTGGGTGAGGAGAAGGAAGCCAACAACAACACGGTGGCACCGGCCCGGTCAGGCTCGGCGCCGCTGACGCAGGACGGCATATCCAACTACGACGACCTCGCCTTCAACATGTACACCGATTACGATAGCGCCAAGTACATGCGCAAGCTGGAGGCCAGGAAGGCCACCGCCGCCAAAAGTGAGTACATCCAGAGTCAGTTCGACTGCGGCGCTGGTGTCAGATTCGACGTTTGCGCGTACTTTGCGCCTGGACGCCTGGCCATGCATTGCTTAGCGTCGTATTAATTGTAATTCTGCACACCCTGTTAATGGGTGTCGACTCCAGCGGTGTGAGCATGATTTCGGGCTGTTTTCAGCTGTCCCCAGGCTGGATTGCGTGATCCTGCTGCGTATGTTAGCAGGTCAGGTACTGCTGTATGCATTCTGGTCCAAACCGCTCCGGCTTTCAGCAGTTAACACATACATAATATGATGTATGTCCTTCATTGGGACAGCGATAACAGGAAGTTCATGGGTAGATTGGTGCGATTTCAGAAAACCGTTCCTGCACATCACATAGAAGTAAAAACGCATGCAAGACCTCCTTCCTCACGTTTGCCTTTTGTGTAATGGACACTGTAAAGCACAACGCAATAAGAATGTACCCACGTGGCTTGTGTTAAATTCTGTTTTTCCCGCGGCACATTTACTTTGCACGCATACGCTACGAGCGTGTGCTGATTGCAATTTTCAAATGCGTTGGCTTCTTACGCTATACATAAATGCCAACTTCGCAGCACAGGCATTGTGACACTGAAATCGGTTGGTAGCGGGTAATAAAATGTGCACATCTGACATAGCTTACGAACCCTATGTTGACCCTTGAACCTCACAGATTAAATTCCACCACGAGGACTTGGCCACTTCTGTATTCCCTTACTGAATAAGTATAAACTGCCATCAAGGGGTTTAAGGATGAGATCGCAGCTTGTTGGAACGAGACAAAGAATGTCACACCTGCATGATACGCGCAAAATATTACGCCGCGCGAAACATTAGACATCATTCTTTTCCAAATGGTAGAGTTTTTGACAGCGCTTTCTTCCTGTTCCAACCAACACTACTTGTCAATGGTAGCAAATGCAAGCTACAAGAAACACCTGAAACGCGATGCAATGTGTTCAATCCAATGTGTTAGCAAACTGGTTCCGCCGGGATGGCCACACCCAGCTCTTTATCAGAAATACAAAATGTTTTCACTAGCTGAAGCACAGCATCAGGTCAATGAATAACCTGCATTAATTGTTTGCTTGTCAACCATGCATATCTCTTAAGAAACATTTAAGTTTCATTCATTTAATCAAATCAAATTTTTTCAATCTTGTCGACCATGCATATCTTTTAAGAAACAATATCTTCAATTTCACATGCAACCATGCATATCTTCAATTTTTTGCTTGTCAACCATGCATATCTTTTAAGAAATAATATCTTCAATTTTACATGTAACCATGCATATCTTAATATTTTTTTGCTTGTCAACCATGCATACCTCTTAAGAAACATTTAAGTTTCATTCATTTAATCAAATCAAATAAATTTTCAACAAAACATTTAATTTACATTCATTCATTCATTTCATTATTTCCCTTCATGTTTTCGTTCCATTCGTTCATTTGTCAGTCTGTTTACGTAAACCAAGTATCTGCAGGCTGGTGCAGCGCGCAGCTGCACTGCGGACAGCTTACGCTTCGCGTAAAAGCACAGCGTAAATGCCGCATGAAGGGCATCACTCTAGGGACGACCGATGCCTCGACACTGACACCAGTCCTTCCCGAAAGTCGTGCAGGTCGGCCAGGGTTGGGGACAGAATGTATGGTGGAAGTTACCAGGCTTTAAGGCAGCCTCAGCTACCTAAAGATCAAATCCAAGCAGGGGAGAATGGCTTCCTTCTATATTTTTAGGGTGTACCTCCCAGATGATGCGTTGCATGCGACAGTTCATAGTGCATTTGTTGCCCTTGCTCACAAACGGAACACTCCCCCCTCCCAGAACACAGGCCAGCGTACAAAACAGTCGAGCGAGCGCGTCATGTATTTTGGCGGGCAAGGCGCTAATACCACAGCTTATGCCGTGCGTGTGGACGTGATCGCATGCATCACAAGCCTTAGCTCCTCTGTTACATTCTTGTGGAATCAATGTGCGGTGTATGTTTTGCTCCGAGTAATATCGACAGGTCTGGCTCATCGACGATATTAGGGTAAGCTCGTCATGGGCAGTCATAGCATTATGCTGAACTACAAGTTTTCTAGAATTGGACTTCGATGGTTCATTCGCAAAGATTTCCAAATCGACGGCAGAGACGCATGTAGAGCCTTAGTAAGGGAGAGGGGGCAACGCGTTGATGAAGGGCCTCCTGCTGGTGCCCTCATCCTCCCCCAACAAAACATCGAATTCAGCTCGCTTGATTCTGAGGAAGCCTAATTTGCTTCGTTTTCTTGTGTTGGTTTTGCCAACTGCTCAGTGGCACGAGCGTAGTTTGCAGAATGACCGAGGCACTGAACAGTGAAGAATGGCGAAACCTTCTCCAAAATACGCCAGCAAACAGGATTCTCCCCAGACTTGGCCCACTCTCTTCCCAAAGTTGGGAAAGCTGGACCCCTCTAACTGCGTGGAAACTACACTCCTGTTCAGTGGCCTTTTCCAAACAGATTGCTGTCAGGAGCGTTGTTGGATTCTATTTTTGCGTGATGCTAGACACATTGAGAAGGTCCGTTCATCGGACATAGATCGCACATCACAATGGCGTCAAGAGTTTGTATTTACGTGGGCAACACATGTAAGCCTAGGGACGTTCAACCGTTTCCAGAATGCATTGGTACAGGTCTATAAAAGCAGTTTTGAGCATGCGGACTTGCAACTCTAGAAGGAAAACCACTGATGTCCGGCGTTGCAGTCTCCATGTGCCACGCGGCGCATGGCGCGTGGTACATGGAGACTTGCATGAGGCGTCTGCGACTTACATGAGGCGTCGGTGAATGAGCGAACAAAAACGGCCACGCGTCGGAAGCTTGTGTTTTTGAATGTTTTGTGAAATTAATTCGTACATGTGCAGAGTACTTATGACGCTAACTTCATAAGTGCAATTTTTAGATTGTCAGTGGGAGCTGATCACTGTTTATAGCACAACGTTTGACGCAAACGTTAAATCTACATCATTTGTGTGCTGTAACTGTCAGTCCATCCAGGGGATGAAGCTTAGCATATTGTGGGTGAGGTTACGCTTCAGTATTAGTGATATGAAATTGTTTTAAAGACATTTGGGAACATCATTTCACGACACATGGTCACTCTTGCTTGCCCTTACGGGATATATACACGGTAACGTCCTGCGCCATGTTTTCTCAGTAGGCTTTGTCGGGTTGCTGAAGAAGTTTAAAAAAGAACACTTATTGTGCTGGACTCAAACCTAAAGTGTGTCGTTCCCTTTCGCTGTTCACTTCCTCATACGCTTTCTGCATGCTTGGTTGCCTCTTCACAATCAGCTTTTCGCACGTCTAGCGGTCGTTAAGGCTCAGCAGTCGCGGCAGTTGGAACGAATCCCAAGAACATTGAATAATTTGCGACCTTGACCGATCAAACCCACTGGTGTGCTGCACGTCAGTCACGGGAATCAATAACGTGGTGCATGCCTTGGCGAAGCGACTTATCAGATCAATTTGGCTTGTGCAATAAGTTATGTGGAAAAGAGCTCTACTTACATGCTATCCTAGATAAACAACAAATATATAGCCTGAAGCCATATTTAGACATAGTTTCATCTTGTTGAAATATCTGTTTTCGGACACACTGAATTGGCTTGGAAGTTAAAGCACTGAAGAGCTCTAGCGAAAACTAGTGAGACTCACACAAACATACGCGACGTAGGCGCGCCAGACACGCGTGAGCATCAGGTGCGCTCACCAGACACTCCGCGCTCACGCAGAGCTGGATTTCTTTCTAAATTCATGGGCTTTTTTCCTAGATGCATTGAATTGATTGGTAGCATAATTCAGTTGATTTATACATTAACTAAGCTCATTCACAGTTCACTGAAATTCATTTGTGTAACTTCGTTTTGAAAATTCATTGACCGCGTAAGGCATGCGTGCGAGTTTCGGCTGCTGGAATTCAACTCGTCGAAAGTGAAACTTTCAGTTGCGGTGCTTTGGGAGGTATGTATCTGAGGCGTTGCAGTCGCGTTCATCAGGTTAAAAAGGCTCGAACCTACATACTACCTACCTATGCTTATAAGAGTTGCTACGGAAGTCTTGAAGCTAGGTGTGAGGATACGACGTGAGCCAAACCTTTCAGATCCGTGAGTTCTCTGCAGACAATTTGCGCCTTTATACCAGAGTGGTGAGCGTTGTCCAGGATTGGCGGCTCAGTGGCACTTTAAGTCGGCTTTTTCCATGCACCGCTGTAAACCCAGTGCTCTATATTTGTACGAATGTTGCGGAGGAACTCAAGCCTCCAAAGTCTCCCTCCCTCCCATACCACGACAAGCCGCGCGTCTCTGTCCTTGAAGATTAGTATATAAGCGCCCAAGTAGAAAAAAATATCGCAGTTTATCAGCACTACAGCTGGTGCGCGCGGGTAAATACAAAACTGAATGAATCGTAAAACTGGATTTCAAGGACAAAACCACAGCTAACAAAGTTATTTATACAGTGATGCAAATCGTAGACCTGGCACTGTGCTACCCAGATTGAATGTCCCCCCCATGGTTAGACGTCACATTGGAAGCAGCTTGGATTTATGCCTCTGGGCGTTGCTATGTTCGCTGGCGGGAGGCTCTTTTTATGGTTTTGTATATTCATTGACCGCGGCTGGTACTGTATTGATTCGACTCGAAGGACCGCAGCTTGGCCCTAAGCCAGGGGTGGCAAATTATGGGGGCAAAGGGGGTGTAACTACCTCATTCCACAACTCTAGGCAGCACTTCATTGGCATTATGTACACTTGAAGGGAGTGTCCCACCTTTGGGACAGATCTGAAAAAACATACTCTAGTAAAAACTCACGACCATCTAGTCTAATGATAGCGCTAGGTAGTGCCAATGAAACACGTTCGAGACATAATCAAGATATAACTGCATTATTTTCGAGTCCATATTACACTGTCAACGCTTTGCAACACTATGCTTCTTCCCCGCAGTCGCGATTGCCGTCGTCACGACAATCGCCATGGCGCCTCTACCAGTGCGAATAAAAGAATGCTTGTGATTGGCCCAGTAGGCGACAAGGGCCTGTTACCGAGAAGCGCATTGGTTGAAGTTCAAATCAGTGCTCCACTATGGACCGTGTGATACTCCCACTCCCAAAGCAAAAGTGCACATCGAAAAGCGCCACTCTGATAAACGCGATGAGGGAGAAATCAAACCTATATTTAACGTTTTGTCGAGTTCGTGGGATAAAAGCTTAACGTTAGCTGTATCGCCATCTCAGCAGAGTGTTTTAAGCTTTCGTAGAATTTGTTGCAGAAGCGTTTTGATAAATTGGTATGTTGCAAACATTACAGAACACACACGTTGGAAAAAGGAATGCAGTGAAATGTATGTCCTTCATGGTGGCAAGGAGGAAGTCCGATGAGACTTCTCTCGCAAGAGCGGCTACTTCGAATCAAAGTTATAGGCCATTTAGGATTTCGAAAAAACTGGTGTCAGTGATCAAATCTTAAGTATCTGATCAAAGAATAAGAGAGAAGCACACAACAAGTGGCATGCTCCCTTCAAGATTATCCTACAGGGTGCGTGGAAAGGTTCGAGTTAAAAATCGTGTTAGCCGCACCTCCCCTCCCCCGCCCCTCATTCCACGGTGCATCCACGGCCATTGGTCTGCTATAAACATTTTCATTTACTGGACCCAGTTTTCCAGCTGTGATTGCACAGCACACAGTTCACAGCTCACACAGTTCGCAGCACACAGTTACAGCAGTGCTTGCGATTACACAGCGTCTGCGGTGCAACGCCACACCGCTTTACGCTTGCTTTAAAGGCATGGTTGTCCGGCACGACATGCTGCTATATCTCTCAGTTTTGCCCCGACTAATTGTGATATGTATCTAAGCCACAGAATCGTCAAAGCTTTGCGTCCAGGCCCCCATCACATTCTTTCCTGTTGACTGTGGTCTGAGCTGGCCTCTCTAGATAAATTGGGTACATCTCTGAGCCAGAATCATTTTTTAATTTTATAATCAATGAAATCATCTCGCATTGCGAAATCGAACACGAGCGCGCAAGGATAACATCCACACATCGTCCGAAATGGCCTCATCGAGCGGCCTTATAGCGGGAACACTTAGCATAGTCAAATGGATTCTGAAAACTCAGCGTCAGCGTATCAACACCGCTTTTTCAGTGCCCGCTTCCACCAACCAATTTTATTGAATGTTCAGTTGCATCGGTTGTTTTGTTTCGTGACGGTTCTCTTTGGTAAAATCACGCGTTCATTACCGAAAAGCAACGCTTCATTTGCTTGCGTTGTAAGAGCTACCGTTAAGCCATAATCCGGTGGCTTATGCATCTGCGTTTAGCTTAATGCGATGCATAATGCCCCGCTTTTCCGAGCACGGTCTGGGAATAGCCGTTTCCGATTTAATGGTATTATATGTATATACCTACAATATCCACGAACTCCATTCAAAAGCTAAAACATTTGGAGATGGAACTCCTTCAAAAGCATATAACCTTCCAACCTGCTGCTTGGGTTGTTTTAGCTCCTCTACGGCCGGTATGCAATCGGCCGAGTGCGCCTTGGGCATTGGAAGTTGAGCGACTTTCAGGGAACTGAATGAGGAACTAATTTGAGTTTACCACCACTATGCCCAAGTTTTATGCCTCGATACAAAGCTCCAACAACTTGTTGCAAGTTTGTATATCACCCACGATATCCGAGCGTCGTGTTAGCGCATGGCGGACCGGCTACGGGACCTTGCAGCACACCAGAGCTGTCGATATGCCTGTGGTGAGTCCCAGCGAGCGGCCGATGGCCGATGGCAACCACAGCAATCACTTCGTTATGCCGTGACGCCTTTAACGGGCACTTTAATCAACGATCGCATTCTGGTCTCAGTGCTGAAACAAGCACTTTCTGCACTTGTGAATTACAAACTACATACAACATACATACAGCGCACGTTTATTGCTGCCGAAACACCGGCGAGAGCCATGGTTCACCATGGCTTGAGGCCTATCAATCAAAGCCCTTCTCAGCGGTGATCGGTTATTGCCTCGGGCAGCCACTCGTGTGCGATATCTGCCTCAGCGTTCCACTTCCAACATTGCCTGAGCTTGCCCCGGCCTGATCCCGTCCGCACCCAATAACCCACGCCTCGCTTCACCCGCCGCCAGCCGCTCCAGGCGGCAGGCCGCCTCCATCCCCGCGGCGCAACAGCGACCGACCCAGGGGAAGATGGGGCCCAGCCGGCGACCGATCGCTCACGGCGCTGACGTCACACCCGCTGACGTCACCGCCAATCGGTCCGGGGCGCGGCGGGTGCGGCGGGTGCGGCGCGACCCGCGGGTGACCGCTGATCGCGGCCGGCACGCTCCGAGGTCGTCGCGTCGATCGCCGCCGGGTCGCCCGCCGGCCGCCCGGGTCGCCCGCCGGCCGCCTGGGTCGCCCGCTGGCCGACGCGTTGCTACAACAAAGCGGCGGACGGCGATCCATACGGGCGCGCCCATCCTCCACGGGTCACCGCACAGCCGGAACGCGTGGCGAGCCAGGGGCGGGCCAGGGGCGCGCCCAGGCTCTGGTCTGGGGGCGCGCTGCCGCTCCTGTGAGCCGGCGTACGCGCCGCCGCAGCCGGTGCGCCGCGGTGTGGGCGGAGCTGGGCTGGTCCGAGCCAGAGATGGGCTGTGTTCAGGAAAGCGCGGTTCGGCGCCGCCCCTTCGCCTTAATGCGTCATAAGCACCCACTCGGGACACCCGGCTGAGCTGTTACTTTGCCGCTGGTTATCACACGTCATGAATGAATTGGGTTCAGCCGTGTGTTTTGTGAGCCGCACGTGAACTATTAGCACATGACCTCAATGAAACGGATGAAGAGCTTAACCATGCATCGCCAACGCTTCTAATTGTTCTGCATTAACGACGAACAGCTTCCGCGTGAACTCACCCGAAGTTTATGAGAAATGTTTATTTTGCGCAGTCACTGAGCCCACCTTGTGCCCACTCTCTGCGTATCGAACGATGGAATGCTTTCAATTGGACTACAGGCGACCATCAAGTGCTGTGACCGGCTGTTTTTTTCTTTCTTTTTTACGGCGGCAGACCTTGGTGTTGGCACGTTTCTATGGAGGCCCTACACTTTTTCGCCCGGTGGCAAAAGACGTAAGCGAGGCAAACACATTTCCCCCACACAAACGCAGCTAGGGGGTACATTTGCTGACGCCAACGAAGGATAAGTGGCATTATGTGCACAGGCTAGGAATTTCTACTCACAATATATGCTTAAGAAATTGCATACGAAGTCAACGTAGCAAGTAGCGATAGGGCTGTTCCAACATCATTGGACAGTCTTGATCTTAGCATCATTACATAAATTGTTATTTTAGGTTACTCAGTTCAATTCCAGTCGGGCAATCTTGTTATGCCAGTGAGAAAATTGTTGGATGTTGTTCACACGAGCGATATCATTTTTGCTTGATATGCTCAGGTCATATGCAATGCAGGCATCTCAGTTCCTAAAGAGAGAGAGAGAAACAGAGAGAGATAGAGAGAGAGAGAGAGAGAGAGAGAGAGAGAGAGAGAGAGAGAGAGAGAGAGAGAGGAGAGAGAGAGAGAGAGAGATGAGAGAGAGAGAGAGAGAGAGAGAGAGAGAGAGAGAGAGAGAGAGAGAGAGGAGAGAGAGAGAGAGGAGAGGCAGAGAGAGAGAAGAGAGAGAGAGAGAGAGGAGAGAAGAGAAGAGAGAGAGAGAGAGAGAGAGGATAGGAGATAGAGAAGAGAGAGAAGAGGAGAGGAGAGAGAATAGAGGAGAGGCGAGCAGAGAGCGAAGATGAAGAGAGCGAGAGAGAGAGAGAGAGAGAGATGAGAGAGACAGATGTAGCGAGACGAGTATTAGCTAGCAGGAGTGAGATAGAGAGAGAAGAGAAGAAAGAGAGATGAGAGAGAATCAATATCTAAGAGCCACAATCCAGCAACCGTCTCGCGTGAGCGAAAATTCCGTGCGTTGACTACTCCGGGATCGTCTTCCCGGCGCTACGTACGTGCAACATACATCCACTGTAAACAACAGCCGGAAGACCTCACAAAAAAAACGCACCTTTCTGAAAAATTCCGTGCGTTGACTACTCCGGGATCGTCTTCCCGGCGTTACGTACGTGCAACCTACATCCACTGTAAACAAACAAGCCGAAGGATTTTCTTCTCGAAGGTCGCTTCGTAACAATTTGATAGTACAGCAGCCAGCGGAGCTTACCTCACCAGTGCTTACCGAAGTGATGTTTTCCTCTTGGTGTCTTTCCGAACACGCATTCTGCGCCCCCAGCCATGTATGGCTCGCCGGCGGCAGGATCGGGGTTCTGAAGCCTTCCAAATGAACTATTTGCACTCCCTCAGGCCGTCGTTATTGAAATGATGTGTTGATTCAAACGAACACTTCTTAATTGTGCAAATGAAGCACAAACAACACTGTCAGTGACGTTTTCTTCAGCCTCTAACGTTTCAACATTCGTATTAAATGATGGACGAATAAAGCGGTATAATCATGCCTCACAATTGCAGTGCATATTAGCATTACTGTTCTCTGGAAATTATCGAATTCGAAGCCTGCAATGGGCGGGCGCCGAGCTGAGAAGCCTGGTATGCGAAGGACAATTGGCGCGTCGGAGTATGGTGCCACTAGTGACCGGCGGGCCGCGAAGGAAACCCTTAGGCGCGGTGAACCCGTGCCCGCAACGCAGCGGCCCACACCTCAAGACGTGGGAGATACAGCTCGGAAATAAACATTTGAGGAGGTTGTAACGTGAAGCTAAGCACGAAGAGCTGCTCATTGGCAGCGCAGTATTCCGAAAGTGGGCGTCACCTACGCCTTCGCAGCCCGTCACCAGTAACGGGCTTATCACCGTTCTCGACACTTTCACCGGTAGATGAGCGGTTTGACTACGCCCAGAACTGCAAGGAGGCTGTGGACCTGCTGCAGAAGGCCGGCCTGCGGCTGGGGAAGTATGAGATCGAGAAGCGGATGGCCATCGAGGAGGAGAACTATGACAGGGCCAAGCAGAAGAAGGATCACATAGAGGAGTACAAGGAGGCCGTGATGGAGGCGCTCAAAGTGCAGCAGCTCATGGAGGAAGACGGGGTAAGCACACTTGTCTCACGTTTGTTGCAGTCATGCTGCTTTCATCTACTTGCAGATCTGGTTCAAACCTTCAACACACTGGAAAGAAAGAGTCTATAATGTTACCCTGAAGTTTTGGGCTGCCATAGGTCTTAGCTCTTTCTGCCTTTCGCTGAAAGCGGCATTTCTGTTTTTAATGCTCTCATTAACACCATACAAAGGTAATAAGTTCATCTAGCAAAGATTGGAAAAGGAACAGGCATCTACCGGGTGACTTGAATCAAAATAGGACTTCTTCCTTGTTTCGTGACTTGTTACTTGACCTGTCGCACGATGAGAAACGCATACTGGCGCTTCCAGACCAACTCCAACAACGACATCCTGATGCGACTGGAGCTGCCGCCGCCGCCGGGCCGGCGGAAGCGTGCGCCGACGCCACCGCCGGCCAGCCCGCCGCGGCCGCAGTCGGACCCGCTGCCGCCGATCCCGCGGAGTCCAGAGTCGCGCCAGCCCACCTCGCCGCCGCGCAAGCCGCTGACGCCGCCGCCGCCGCTGTTCCCGGCGGCGCGTGCCAGCACGCCGCCGCCAGCGCCGCAGTACCGGGCGGCGGAGGACGCGGTATCGCCGGTGCCGCCGCGGCGCGCTTTCACACCGACGGGCCCGGGTGCTGCCGCCTGGTCCCCACCGCCGCCGCGCCGCCGGCCAAAGCCGCTCAACAAGTACGAGTGGTACGAGGATCGCACGCTGCCGGCCATCCGCGGGTAAGACGGGCGGAGCGGCCGGCCCGCGTGCCCCGAGTGTGCCGGGTTGTCCGTAGAGGTGACGCGTGTGCCAGGATGCCCCAGTAGGGGATCACGTTGTGGCCCAGGTGCTTCTGGAGAGCCCCTCCTCAGTTGGATGCCCCCGTCCGCCCTGCCCCCATCCCCTCCCGCGTATCAGTCCTTAACGAAGGCATCCAGCCAGCCATTCCGCGCAGGGTCGGGTTGTGCGGCGGTCCTGTGCTCATAGCCGACCGTAGCACTGGCCAATCAACGCCGCCGTCTGCCAGGCGTTTGGGTCAATTTCCTTTCCGGAAAAACGCATGATTCCTCCCCATTCGCAGCATTAGGTAACGAACGAAATCATGTCTGCGACTGCATGACGGGCCGCACGTAAAGGCCAATGGTTTGCTGAATGGCGACTATGCCTAGCTCCGTCGTGTGTATACGCCATTTGCTCCATTAAGGCCGGCAGGTGATCCGCACGATTACGGATGTGGCATGCGCACGTATGACGAGGCTGACATGATACGCTTGCCTGCAGTTCCCTCCCGCATGCGGCTCCGTTGCGCTTCTTCGATCTAATAGCCTAATGAACGCCCCTCCGTTCGCAGCAAGCGGCTGGCCGCCGAGGCCGGTATCATCAACGGAGAGGACGAGTCGCCAAAATCGTCAAACCTCAGCGACGAAGATCGAAAGATGGCCTCCCTGCCCATCGAAGTATTTGGAGAGCCTTTGGTCAGTAACCCCGATTACGTTGGCTGTCGCTGTCGCGCTTTATGACTGGGCTGGCATGCAGCGCGTTTGCCGGGCTGTAACTATGGGGTCATGTTGGGACCTTGTCATTCGATCGTGGCATCTTTTGTCGCACCGCTCCCGACAGATCCCCTTGGCCACGGCAGGTGTTTCTTCTCCATGGGCGGGCGCATTCTTGGTTGCGGGAAATTGGGATGGGGTCAGCCATGGGAGGCTTAGAGAGCCGAATGCTAGGCTTACCACACTACTGCCCCCCTTTCAGCTGGCGGTGCGACCAAGCGCTTTTTGCACCAATTGGATGTTACAGTGCAAATAGCTGCACTGCTATATCCATCAAACATGCCTTTCACTGAGTTAGTGAACCATCCCCTACGATAGAAGACAGCAGGGCTTCCATTTGTTAATGCACTTTATTCGTTTTCACGACCTAGCAATACATTTTTACTTAACGTGAATAGCCAAAATGCATGCGACCGCACGAAAAAACGACTCCCAGCTGCACACCTTCAGCAAAACTGTTCGATCATCTGCCATGCAGGCCTAATAATATCGTCAGTGAAAGACACAAGCTATGCAAAAACAGGATGCAAACGAACGCTCATATCATCGTAGCATGCTTCACTCGGCTACAGGCACACAACTGTGCGAAACAGATTTTCACGAGAGTCTGGCTCGGCCGCGTGACTCAGTGCGGCTGCACACAGCCGGGCGAAAGCAGATCCCTTGATTTGTTGATGGATCAGGAAATAATCATGAGGACAAATCCGAAAGCTCAAGAGGCATACTGCACTATCACAACAGGCCTCCCACACTTCAAGGGGCCGAGTCAACTACAGTACGCACATTTGTAAAATCTGGATGCAATAATGAAAGGGCTCGAACATCGCTGGATATGGGTCATTGGTTTCCCAATGTAAGAGCAAGCCTGGAGATCGCTCTCAAAATGCTGGACAGGGCGTCCAAAGTCTAAGGACCGCGGCCATGGGACCCAGTTCAGCAGAAGACGCGTACTCTATCCTTAGAAGCTGAAAACATATCATAGTTTGTTCACGCAAATTTGGAAGAGGCTCTTCGATCACCAAGTTTCAAAGCGAATGAAGCTTTTGGTGAAAAACTTGGCACCCTATGTCCGCATATCAGTCTTCATTGCAGACGAGAGTGTAGTTGAAAGCCTGTGGCACATATGAAGAGCGGAAGGCGAGCGCAATCTTGAGCTAAGCTTTCTTAAGCTTACGCATTTATCGCTGGTCAGACAATGACATGAAATATGTTTCCACAAGCTTGACAACACCACTCCACAGCCGATCCCAGAAAACTCTATCGCTCTTTTCGTAGTTAAGCTCAGTCTATCGCTAGCTTCTCATTTTAGCGCGCCGAAGATGCTCTATTTTCATGCGTGTTTTGTCTTGTTTTGCCTTGTTTTACTCAAACACATGCCACCCTTCAAGCCATCTTGACATCAGTTTCCCAATGACTACCAAACTCGCCCAAGTCTTGGACCTTTTGGAGACTGGGGTTCAGGACCCTTTCCAACCCACACGTGATCTCCAGTCCTGCTTGGACAGCTGAGCCCCTGAGCAGCCAGAGAGGTACCAGCAGTGACTGCAGGATTGCGCGGTGGCTGGACCGGTCACGGGGCTCATGGGCAGCCAAAACTGCGTTCGGGCGGTTAGGGGTCTGCATCTTGAAACAATGTGATTATTTCCCTATGGTCAGACAAGATTCCAGAGGGTTTTACGTGCCGCGCAGTATTCCGACACGGCCATATCGGGCAAATTGACCGTTTGTTCAGCTGCCAGCAGACCGTTCTCCCACAATGGGCCTGCACTGCAACGCGCCCGCACAGTCCAGGTTGTCACTGTTTTGGCCAGATGCCAGCCGACCTTTCATCGACAGCCGGGCGAGGAGGCGGCGTCCGACCGGGCATTGTACACAACACCACCGCATTGCAAGTTCAGCACGATTCGACCAGACCGCGCGACGCGACGGCCAATACAATTCGGAAGTGCTTGATATGCATATATATATATATATATATATATATATATATATATGTTTGATTAAAAATAACTGCTGACTCAGCATTCAAGAGCTTTTTGATGCATCGTTCTAGTTTCCGGGCCTTTGACTGCGTCATCGCTTAGATCAAAGATGGTTCGCACAAAATTACTCATATATTCATCACTCCTTCCATTCTAACGTTTCGAGATCTTATCTCATCTTCGGAGAAGGCTAAATTGCACAAGAAATAAGTTTTGAGTTTTAAAGGATGAAAAATTGTGCACTACTGTTGGAAAACATATTTTGGTACGGAGAACATAAATGAAGCGTAACTAATTGAAGTAAGACGGATTGATATTTTCATCTTCATACATGTAAGAAACACTCATAATGGGAATATCACAAAGACACAATGGGAACACTATTGTCACAATCACATCAGAAGTGCTCACCGCCCACCACCTAGTAGCCCAAGAGTTCTGCAAGAATTTGTCTGTCTGTTTAAGGCCGGAAAAACAGGACGAAACAGGACGAAAAAGCTTTACGGGAAATTATCTTTCAACATGTTACAGGCAAAAACGACCACAAAATAGACATTGTCATTTACTATTGTAATCAGAAAATATCGAACTTTCTTATGAGAAACAGCCCAGACAAACCCGACAAACTGAAATGCACCAATGTAGTGTATCAATTCCAATGCAACATCGAAGGCTGCAAACTTCGTCCCACACACAATATTGGTGTGACCACAACGACACTCTCACGACGCCTGACAATGCACTTACGTGACGGGGCACCTCTGGACCACATGCGACAGGAACACGACATGACATTTTCACGACAACAACTGACAGACAGCACTGACATTTTACGGACGTGCAGTGACAGAAGACGCCTTCAAATTTGGGAAAGCATATTCATTAACGAACTCTCTCCGGCCTTAAACAGACAGACAAATTCTTGCAGAACTCTTGAGCTACTAGGTGGTGGGCGGTGAGCACTTCTGATGTGATTGTGACAATAGTGTTCCCATTGTGTCTTTGTGATGTTCCCATTATGAGTGTTTCTTACATGTATGAAAATGAAAATAGCAATCCGTCTTACTTCAGTTAGTTACGCTTCATTTATGTTCTCCGTACCAAAAGATGTTTTCCAACAGTAGTGCACAATTTTTCATCCTTTAAAACTCAAAACTTATTTCTTGTGCGATTTAGTCTTCTCCGAAGATGAGATAAGATCTCAAAACGCTAGAATGGAAGGAGTGATGAATATATGAGTAATTTTGTGCGAACCATCTTTAATCTAAGCGATGACGCAAAGTCAAAGGCCCGGAAACTAGAACAATGCATCAAAAAGCTCGTGAATGCTGAGTCAGCAGTTATTTTTAATCAAACATGTATCAAAGAAAGAATTCTGCCAAAATATTCCAATGTATATTATATATATATATATATATATATGTAATATAATATAATGTATAGTATACACATATATGTGAATGATATAAATATGTACGTATATATATATATATATATATATATATATATATATATATATCCGTCTTAACGTGTGTATGTGTGTTTGAGTGTGAACGTGCGTGCGTGGGTGCGTGCGCATGTGTGTATGTGTATGCATCTGTACGTTACCTGCACGTATGCCACTTACAGCAAGCTCAGAAGATTTATGTTTTAGATCCTCTTATAACCTGTGGCTGTGTAACTGTGTGATACGCGCTGTTCACTCCAAACAATTTCGTGTATATCCTGCGATCCATGACGCGAACCAGAAGTGTGTTATCAAAAGCTTTGGCCATTCGTGTTTGCCAGGCAGCTTTCAGAAGGTCTCAGGCGCAGATTGCGGAGTCCCGACAAAGCTGTTGTTCCATTTCCACAGAGACAAGGGTCAGCATTTCGTTGACGCCACGAACAGATCCCTTCGACGTAATCCAGGAATAGGCGAGTTCCGCGTCTGTGACCTAAATTTTTCACATGCGGATCAATAACTCCAAGCCAGCAGAGGTCATGCCGGCCCATGTCGTTCGCAGGTGGGAAATTTCTACGCCAAGAGTTTCACACAGAAAGAGGAGGGTCTGCGCGGTCTGATGGCTGCGCTGAAGGCCGACGACGGCAGCGTGAAGGCCGACAAGATGACCCGCGCTGCCACGATGCTGCTGCAGCGGGTGCTGAAGGACAAGGTGTACACCGTCACCCAGTTGGCAACGGAGACGCTCGACTTTCTCACCGGGCCGTACGCCGCGCAGCACAAGTGAGATGACGCGAGAGCAGGCTTCTTCCGGCCCGCTGACGGCAGGTTCTCACAGCGCGGCGCCGGAGCGAGGGCGTTGCCCCGGAGCGTCAGTCAATCAGCCGTCGGTTTGACGACAGCTGGCATGAGCCCAACCCGCGGCATTGGCTCGCCCGCTCGGAACGCCACCGCGCTGTCATCCCCAGTTGCACATCGACGCCACGTGTCTGACGACCCCGGCCAGGACTCAACGCTCCTGACCCCCACATTGCCCCTCGCAGGACGTCGCGGCGCGAGCTGAGTAGCACCATTGAAGCCACGCTACCCGAGCTGGTCCTGAAGACGGGCGACAACGCCACGCGCGTGCAGACGCTGGCGGTGGAGAGCCTGCTGCGGCTGGGCAGCGCGGCGCACGCGCGTCAGATTCCCGCCGTGGCCTCGGCGCTCACCGTGCCGCTGCAGGGCGCCGTGCAGACGCGCGTGGCGCTGGCCAAGCTCGACACCGTGGAGCGGCTCGTCACCAAACACGGCGTCAGCGCCGAGGGCGACAGGTGTGGCACGGCACGGCTGGCACGGGTGGGACGGGGGGGGGGGGGGGGTGCTTGGTGGGGCAGGGAGAGTAACGGGTGGGACGAGAGGAGTGACGGGTGGAACGAGGGGAGTGACTGGTGGGACGAGGGGACTGGCGGGTGGGACGAGTGGTGTGACGGTTGAGACGGTAGAGTGATGGATGCGGCGTTAAGTGATGCTTGGGATCCAAGCTATGGCGGTTTATACACGTGGTCAACTGTGTTTCCGGGACTCTGAAAGGAGAATAATGATCGCCTCAAAGAGCAACAGGTTTGTGGCAGAGACAGGCAGGAATTATTTCGCCCTAGCAATACTGACGTGAATGCAGTCGCCCACCATTTTGAGGGGTGTCGCGAAATCGGAACAGGCAGCTGCATGGGACAAGACACAGCTGCCTTTGCCGCTGACGATGGCAGCTGCTCAGCTTCAGCTGCAGCCACGCCCCACACTACTGTAATGCGTCCCACTTTAGCGCCGCAGCTCTTCGGGGGTCGTGCGTGATGCTGAGTGTGTCCCACAGCCCAATGTCGGTCAAAAACCTGGCCCTGTTCGCGCTCTCGGCGGTGGAGCACCCCAACGACGGCGTGCGGGCGGCCGGCACCCGCCTGATGGTGCTCATCTATCCGGAGAACCGCAAACTCGTGCGCAAACTGCTGCCAGCCGACGACAAGAAGACGCGCAAAAGTCTCACGTACCGTACCCTGTTCGCGGAGCTGGCTAAGTTGGACGGGAAGGTAAGGTAGTGTGCGACGCGAGCCAGAACACGCAGCAGCGTCCGCTTCCGCTTGGAATGGCTGATGGCGACCAGCAGCGCTGGATCTGTCCTCCCGGGTCGCTGCTGCCGCGGCTGCTGAGCCGGCGCCTGGCTGCCGGGCCGCTGGCCGGCCGACGGAGGCTCGCGTCGTCTCCCGTCGAGAGACACGTGTGCTGGGATCGTGGCCGGCTCGCCGCTTGTAGATATAGTTCTTGGGCGTGCGCAGCGCAGACGCGATCACGTAGTTTGGCGTGCAGTGGCTCTGCACTGCCGTGTTCTGCACTGTAAAAAGACGGTGTACAAATGGTGTAAAGAACGAGATCTGTGTGGACTCCGTGCAGGGGTGGTCTGAACCAAGGGTGAAACTTTCTCATGCTTATCGGATCTTACCGCAGTTTTAGACTGTTTTGTACGTTTGAATAGTAATGCTCAGCAAAATTGCTCTCAGTCCGCGTCCGATTCAGAGCATGGAAAGTGATGCCCATGGTTTGACCTTGGTCTGAGCTGTATTAGTTCACCGTGTGCCTGACACCTTCAGAATTTTACAAAAAAGGTGTTGCTGCATGAAGGTGACAGAGCTGTGTTGAGATTATGTTGGTGGTTATTAGTTCGTTGCAATTTATGAAAATGTAGATATGGTGGTATAATTCGGTTTTGAATTTCAGGCCTGTCTTTTGCCCTACTTCCACTTCCTTTAAATAATCCATGTTGTATTGTATGAAATGTAGGACACGATGTACATACCTGACCGATGCACCCAACAATGTGCGTAATTTTACGTAGGCTACATCTGCTGGCAAATTTTCCAACTGGTTCGTTTATGAGAAACAGCGAAAATAAAGTGAACGGTGATCAATGATCTCTTCAACCTCAACTGATTTAGGAAACATTGCCGTTTTAGTGATGCAATGCTTTGCAACGAACGCTTAATGCCCTGCATGTCTGGTACATTGGTGCTGTACAGGTTTTCGCATCCTCCGCGGTGGGAAAATGTGGCAACGTTAAAGGAAGTGTTCCACCGGTGTATGGAATCTTGAGCTGAAATGACGGTATTGAAAATCATTCGGTACAGTTCCACTTAAGCCCTGAAACCATTCCGTCTGAACTACGCGCTCACGCAGATGTGGAACCTATTTTAGACAGAATATTTCAAGGTATTTTAGGCATGCATGACGTCAGAGGAACGCCATTCAAATCCTGCCACCCGACAGGTCATACAGCGTTCAAGACCACGTAGAACATAATGTGATCGTCGCCCCATTCATATCTGGCGTTCGTAAGCACGACTTCCGGATGTTACGGACGACAACCGGCTCTCATCCGATGTCCAGCAGTTTGTGCAAGTTTCAGTTGCGAATCGTGTTTTCTGCTACATAGTATGAAAAGCCGGATATGGCTGCTAGTTTTACGGAAATAAGACTTCTATCGAATAGCTTACGAAAAGCGTCATGACCGGGTATGTGAACACGAGTAAACATGTTAAACTCACTTACGGATATGTAAGAATACCACGAGAAAGGGCCAGAAAACAAGCACGTAAAATGCATCCGGCTCAGCAAACACGTCCAGCAGCGCCCTAGCCACCTCTCGAGAGATTGAAGTACTACGAGTGAGTATTAGGGTGGCAGTTTAGACACATAGACATATAGACATATAGATATCGGGCCAACGAAAGAGTCACAATGGTCCATCGAGGTTAGCTTGTCCTAAGTTCCTCACCCATCCTTAAAATAATCTTACCACCTGACCTGCCTGAATTTAGCTATAAATGAGATCCTTAGACCTATAGATTTTTTCCAAACTGTTTGTAAATTTTGCTAGGGAGGGATCCCCTACAACTTCGTTTGGCAGTCCATTACAGTGATTCACTTCTCTTCGACCAAATAACATCTTTCGCTTCACAATTCTACCCGTACCTTTTTCTAACTGAAACTGGTTTTCTTTAGGTCTTGGCATAATTCCAAAACCAGTGACTTTTTGCTTAAAGCAAGTGCCAAGGTCCAGGGCGGTTGCATGAGAGGGTCTGGGGGGGGGGGGGGGGGGCACTTAAGACGCCAATCTGGCGTGGGCCTCTTTTGACCTTGTTTGACCCAGTGTCATGACTGAGGGGACTCAAATTTTGACACAAGAAAGGTCTTATACAGGCCAACCCACTTTGTGAATTAAATGTTTCTAGCTCTTTCAATTTTGGTGATTTCAGTGGGATCAAATTGACCTTCACCCGAGCGAAGGGTATTCGAACGGCAGCCCCGGCACGTGTTGATGGTGCAAGGTGTCTCAACGGTGACCAGTTCACAATCCCTCCATATGCGAGTTGGGCAACTCCGAGACCCTCATACACTGGCACATTTCAACGGGCGTTCGCTGGAGTGTTACTACAAATACGACTCACGGGTTGGCTTCCCCCCTCCCCCCTTGCCTTCACCTTGGAAACTGATGGCGTGATTCCACTGATTCGAGCCGTAATCGATTGAACTATATTCCTGTTGATGGCAAAGATAAGAACAGGCGAGATATTTGACTTATTCTCATACCACACATTCAGTCGTAAAGCGTACAAATACGCATCTCAAAGATGCGAACTGTGTAACTAAGTTCGTGCCTATGCGCAATGGTACGAGCAGTAAGCACTAGCACTATGCACTGTAGCTTAAGCACTGAACTAAGCATCAACAATGGCGCTGTTTGTCACTGGCCTTATTTCAAGCAGGTCCACATGAGGTCAAAGGGGAAGTGACCATTTGGCTCATGGTTTGTTAAGAGGTATGGCTAAGCGTAGCATTTCTATAGAAAGACAAAAGGTGACATAACGTTTGGTATTTGTCAGTGAAACCTCAATGCTTTTTGCAATTAGTTGTTATTCAGAACTGAAGCCGTCCAAACTGTCCCCAGCCGTCAGCAAGGTGAGCAAGCTGAGGTCACATCCCATGAACTCGACAACTGGGCCTTGACATTACTTACTGTAATCGCATACATTCCTTACCAATAATACTTGCTGTAGGAACACCCGATATTACTTACTTGTAGCGGTACCTGCAATATTACCCACCAGGGTTACTTGCTTGCGTTATGTTGGGGCCGCAACATTATATTGCATCATAATTACTTAAGTTGCTTGTAATTCCGTTTGTATTTTGTCGTGTCGCGTAATGATAACAACCGTGTCACAGCCCGTCAGGCGTCATCTGTAATCAGCTGATGACACTTCGTTAGATAACCTGGAATGACCCTGGACCGTCGGCAAAAGTTACCTTAGGGTGATCATTTGAAGGACCGAATGGTCCAAATAGCCGCCACTATGTCTGGCAGCCATTGCAGAGCAGCCGCGGTGGAAGGCGACAGGACAGTGGTAAGTGAGGTAACAGCTGAACGCCGCCGTGACGGCTCTGCACGTCCTCTGTGCCGCTGCGAGGCGTCACGTGGGCCGTTTTGCGTGCACGGCAGCGCGTGCAGCTCGGGAGCGGACTGGCTCGTTTGAAGCCGAGTGCTGGGGCAAAGCTGAGGTCGGTCCGTGTGTTGAAGTGATAATGAGTACTTCGTGCGGTAATTGTCGTGTTGTCTTTTCGTTCGTAACTACGGTAAACTCCGTAACAACCAGATCGATACTGTCTGTGTCGTTGGCCTACACGGAGCTCATCCCATTCCACCCCCCTACCCCGCCCACGTTTTAAATGCTAGTAGACTTAAAAGATCTTCTTGTTCTATCCGAAACTGGCTGGAGGCGACAAGTGTGAAGTTCCCTGACAAAAGCTGCTCTTTAGGCACTGGAAGAGTACAACGTACAGCCGAAGCCCTGTGGTCGGCGCTGAAGTGCTAACATAAATGTGTTATTCTGACGCAAGACCATCGCTGAGTTTGGGCCACAATTCCCGTACGTGTGCACGATTTTTTGTCAACCCGTCTTAGTCATCGCGAGGCGGTGGGACCCCTGCTTCCCCCCCCCCCCCCCCCACTCTCCGCCCAGTAATACATTACCGGCTATACGTCTTATGCTTGTGCATTCAGTAGCTGAATTGTCAAGATGTTTACGCCTCCTGCGAATTTTAAAGACACTTTCCATTAACTCGCGCTCGGGTGATCAGTTGAATGCTCTTCGCTCGGGTGGTCGATTGAATGTTCTTCGCTCGGGTGGTCAGCTGAATGTTCTTTGCTCGGATGGTCAGTCGAATGCTCTTCGCTCGGGTGGCCAGTTGAATGCTCTTCGCTCGGGTGGTCAGTTGAATGCTCTTCGCTCGGGTGGTCAGTTGAATGTTCTTTGCTCGGATGGTCAGTTGAATGCTCTTCGCTCGGGTGGTCAATTGAATGTTCTTCGCTCGGGTGGTCAATTGAATGCTCTTCGCTCGGGTGGTCAATTGAATGCTCTTCGCTCGGGTGGTCAATTGAACGCTCTTCGCGCGGGTGGTCAATTGAATGCTCTTCGCTCGGGTGGTCAGTTGAATATTCCTCGCTCGGGTGGTCAGTTGAATGCTCTTCACTCGAGTGGTTAGTTGGATGCTCTTCGCTCGGGTGGGGGAGGGTCAATCTGAACACGCTGAGATCTTAAAAATCAGGAGAGCTAGAAATACCAAATTCACAAAATGTATTGGCTTGTACGTGAACTCACTTTTGTGCAAATTTGAGATTCATAGGACATGGCCTTTGGGTTAAGTAAGGTCAAACAAGGTTAACTCCAGATTGATGCCCACAGCTTCCCCAGACCTTCTCATGCAACCACCACGAACCTAGACCTCTATTCAAGTTCAAAGTCGCTGGTGTTCATTGAATGTCAGTGGCCTTGTCTGGCCTTCCAAAGATCATGGTGAAAAAATTAAACAAAATTGCTTCGATATTTGCATTCGAACAAGCGTCAAAAATTACGTTGGGCAGTATGTTCCCAAAAACAAAATGTTGACCTGGGTTGTTTAAATGTCAGTAGCCTTCTGCCGGCCATAAATAAGTTCACGAAAAATTATAAAGCGGTTTCTGTTGTCAATAAACTTGGATCACCACCAAAAACTACCCCATAGAACAGGCTCTGGAACGAAAAAACAAGCTGGTTTTATCTTGGTCTGACCTTTATACCTGATCTTAGGTCAATACAATTTCTGCATTCAGTTGCTGTGTTGCCTAAAGAGTTATCTCAGAGATGTATGACTTCTTCCTGAACTCCATGGTAACATCAGATTGAAAGATTCCGTGGAAATTGTCCTCACTGCACTCATGGCTTGGCTTTGACGTGCCGTAGGCAGCGACTTTACAAAGTACATCTAAAATTTGGACACCAACAATTTGCTATTCAATTTTCGATAGCTACGCAAAAGTTGGCGTGGCTACGCCACGCCGTCCGGAAATCACTTTGAAAAATGTTTGGGGCTCATTGACCCCCCACTCGAGCGCGTATTAAAGGTCATGCGTGATGACCCCCTCTGTCAAGGTCATGTCGGTTCCACTTTGCGTTCATGCGCACGCTTACTTGCATTTGCAGTAGGACATACGTTCTAGAAGGCTTTGCTAAGAGGTGCGCCGTATCTCATCACATGGCATTATGATGTGATTAAAAAATACAATCACATGAGGCGACTATTGGCAAGCTAATTTAAGTGCACCTAAGAAAGTAAGCACAGTTGTTATGATAACTTGGTAGAGCACGTGCGTAAAAGTCTTAACCGGTATGCATGGCCCGGTCTGGCATATCACCAGTCACGTTAAATAGAGGGTTCTTACCAATTCATAACTAGGTGTGGTAGCGGCCATGAAATTTCTCAATTTTGAGGTGTGAGATACGTGTGTTATTGTCGATCGTGCAATGCATGACAATTCAGCTAGCTGCGTGCGTGCGTGCGTGCGTGCGTGCGTGCGTGCGTGCGTGCGTGCATGCGTGCGTGCGTGTGTGTGTGTGTGTGGTTAGCCCCACAATAAATGAAGCATATCCCTTTGAGATCTTGAATTACTAACTTTTTATATCTGAGACCAGAAAGGAGGCAACGCATCACGACAATGCAGCAGGGGTTAGCGACTTATTTACATACTTTCTTCTTCACCAAATATTTGCCCCAGCCGATACAGAACCGGACAGCCGGACAGCAAGTACCATTGATCTGCCCCAACTCCAGCACGCATACGTCTCCCACAACCGCGGAAATCGTGCCCGACGCCTGGCGTGCCAAGGCAATCGACGACTAGAGCCGCCTCTCGCCGAACGGCCTGGCCGGGGCAGGAAGGTGCTTTGCCACTGCGCGGGGCGTCTGAAGCGTCTCAAAAGGTCCTGTGTACCTGTGTGGAAATGCACGCTAAAATCTGCTAAGATCTACCAAGTGGCGCAGGCTTGCATCAGACACTCCATGATCACAGGGTCATGCTTTGAAGGCGAGACTAAAGCATGACAGCGTCATTGCTTAGCTATAATGTGTTTCCTCTGGGACACAGATGGTGCCGTCACCAGCTCAGACGGTCCAGCGTATGGGTCTGAGCGCCATGCCAACGAAGACTGCATAGCCGCTAAGTAAATGTAGATGGTACGTCGTGGTAGATGAAACCCTGGTGGCGTACTACGTATGGCGTGCGTTGCCTAACTCCCCGTTGCATGGTAGAAATCAAGACGTCCGCACTCCTGTTGTCCCATTCCTGCGTATAACACCCTTAAAAAGCTTGCAACGCCTCGTGCTGTTAGTGCTGCCTGCTCGACGACTGGGGTGGTGCTCCGAAGGTTGCCGAGCTGACGACACTATAAGCCCAGCTAATGCATCTTTAGCATATTCCCAGGAATATGCAGTGGATATTAGAGTAGGCTTTTTGACCGGCTAAAATGCTCCTAATGTGAATAATCCGCCACAGGGTGAAGTCGTATGGTTAGTTAGAACAGGTCTCACAAGCTCCAACGCATGGGCACACACCCACAGCAGGAACACGGCACCCTCCCGAGGTCTTGTCAATAAATGGGCGTGCTCGAGTGACTAGCGGAGTCCGGTAGCCTGCTTGAGTCCAGTGCTCTGGCTGAGTCCCATGCTCTGGCTGAGCTCGGTGCTCTGGCTGAGCCCGGTGTCCTGGCTAAGGCCGTCCACTGGCTGAGCCCGGTGCTCTGGCTGAGTCCTGTCCGCTGACTGAGTCCGGTCCACTGGCTGAACCCGGTCCGGCGTTGCTGAGCCCGGTCCATTGGCTGAGCCCGGTCCGGCCTGGCTGAGCCCAGTCCGGTTTGGCTGAGCGCGGTCCCCTGGCTGAGCCAAGTCCGGTCTGGCTGAGCGCGGCCCCCTGGCTGAGCCCGATCCGGTCTGGCCGAGCCCGGTCCATTGGCTGGGCCCGGTCCATTGGCTGAGCCCGGTCCATTGGTCGAGCCCGGTCCACTGGCTGAGACCGGTCCGGTCTGGCTGAGCCCGGTCCATTCGCCGAGCCCGGCCCATTGGCTGAGCCCGGTCCGGCCTGGCGCCCGACAGCGGCGCCGCTCCGAGCCGGCCCTGCTCAGTCTCGACTCGCCGGCGCCGCTGCGGACTCTCTCCGGCCGCCGAGACAGCGAGCACGCAGAGGACGACGAGGACGAGCGGGGAGAGGACGAACAGTATGGCGGGGTAGAGGAGGGGGACGATCCTCATCTCAGCCGCGCGGTCCGCTCCAAGTCCCTGTCGGCGATGATCGCAGAAGCGGATGCAGAGGACGAGGACGACGAAGACGATAGGTGAGTCCGCGTTTGCATCACTGTTTTCGACGACTCGTGGTTTGTGTTATCCAGCTTTGGTCGCTGGTATCAAGTCAGATGATCATAGTGCGCCAAATGTATTATTGGGTTCATGGAGCACGGCATTTTGGGAGAAGTGGATGGGTGGTTGGCTGTATACGACATGCCGCAAAACCCTGTGAGTGCGTCATATCCGAGCCTGTGACTTTAAAAAGCGAGTTGGTTGGCCTGGAGCCCACTAAGTATATTCAGGCAAGACGCATAGCATTTGTTTCCAGACACCACGCCATTTGAACGGGCATCTGACTTTAACAGAAGTCGTGAGCAGCCTGTTTCGCGGCGCGTATGCATAAATAATAGCTCGTGTGACTGACCAGACCAAGCATGAAGAGGCAGCAGCACAGTTCCCACGTTTCCTTGCAGAACATGCGTGTTTTGTGGGGACATCAATGACAAGTACGTCACCGATGAGGGGATCGAGTACCACTTTTGGAAGCAATGCCCCATGCTGCTGAGGTGCAGGAACTGCAAGCAAGTCGTGGAAATACCCAGCTACACCGAACATCTCCTCAGTGAGTCAGCAGCCATCCCAATGGTCCTGACGCAAATCATAAAGCCAGAGCAGCATCCGTAATGGGGCGGGATCGAAGTAGGCGACGCCGTTTCGAACCGTTAAAGCTCGTTGGCTCCACACCCGATGAAGCCTGGGAGGCCAATTCCTGGACTGATTCGTACAGTGCCCAGCTGATACGATATGGCGAGTGATCGTACCGGCTTTTCCATGGTTAGCCGCAGGGCACGAGTGCCCGGCATTGAGCACCACCAAATCGTCGCCGCTGATGGCTCCGCTCTCTCGCAAACGTGCCTGCGCCTCATACTATCATGACGAGAATGGGCATTCATCCACTTGCGATTGACGTTCTTTGAAGTTTTGAACGTTGGCAGGAAGGTTTCATTTCAATGATCAGTGCATTTAAAGAAGCATAGCTCCGATTGCATAAAGAATAGGTGGAAGGTTAAGAATACGTCAGTGAAATTATACGATGGGTGCCACGACAGTTTGGTGGACGGAGCCTTATTGAACGTTAATAGTGTGACAAATATCTATTGATCGAAACGCCTTGGGCACATTGTTCAAGTCGGTTCAATGAGGGCTACCCATTCTGGAATGCATCGTTATACTCGTACTTATCGTCGTGAGCGCGGAAACTACACCGTCTCGCAGGCGAGTGCAAGGACCACGCGAACTACCAGTGCTGTGAACGCTGCCAGGAGGCTATTCCCCGACATGAATTTGACGAGCACGTGCGCTCGTACATCTGCATGCGTGAGTATAACTGTAGTATATTTCGTCATGTGATTCTATATGCTTCAAACCGATCTGTTTGCGTGGAGGTAAGTGTTGTGTTTGTTTTGCTTCATTGTGCGGACCAAGACCGTGATGCTGTGAACCATGCATGCCTTTGTTTTCTTCGGTGGAGTCCTTTTTCACAAAATTGGATGGCTTTCTGGTATCAGCGTCCAAGCAGTGCTTGTTACGTGAGCTGTGAGCCCATCGTCTGATCCTAAAATCCCGGATCAGCGACAAACTTATCACCTAAGCTTTACACGCCGCAAGGTTCAACTTGGTCCCCCTGTTCTTTGACTTCGTTTCACCTTTAGCGCGTGCGCAGGCCATCCTGTTCAGGGGCAAATAGTGAGCGTCTTCAGGGTAGGCCCACCCACCCGGCCAAGGTCTGGTGAATCCATGGGCAGACGCTCTAACCAACCGAGCTACCGGGACGGGCATAGCCCTGGTCTCAGCCTGTGTCATGCGTCTGTTTGATGAAGCGCGACACCAGACCCTTCGGATGGCCTCTTGTGTTAATGGGTTCAACAGCAGTCACGTATTTCGATTCATACAGCTGTGGAAAATGCTACATTTATCGCATTTCGAACTGGTCCAAAGTTTCGGTGTTACACATACAACAGCGTACGTTCTGCCAACGGGCGTACTGGGCCGTCAAATCTCCCGGTTTCCGTTTGGAATTCATGCCTTCGTCACCACCGAGACGCGCCGCGGAGAGTGGGACACGGAGGAGGAGGGCCACGCAAGTCGTTGGCGTTCAATTGCGAACAGCTGCGGATGCTGGGTAGCGCCGTCTGACCGCGCGCCGCCGTCTGTCTGTGCGCCGCCGTCTGGCCGTGAACCGCCGTGTGGCCGCGTGCCGTCCGTCTGACCCTGTGCCATCCGTCTGACCCTGTGCCACCGTTTGACCGTGTGCCGCCGTCTGACCCTGTGTCGTCCGTCTGACCCTGTGCCGCCGTTTGACCGTGTGCCGCCGTCTGACCCTGTGCCGTCCGTCTGACCCTGTGCCGTCCGTCTGACCCTGTGCCGCCGTTTGACCGTGTGCCGCTGTCTGACCGTGTAGCGCCGTGTGACAGTGTGTCCGCCGTCTGGCCGTGTGCCACCGTCTGACCCTGTGCCGCCGTCTGACCGTGTAGCGCCGTTTAACCGTGTGCCGCCGTTTGGCCGTGTGCCGCCGTTTGGCCCTGTGCCGCCGCGTGACCGTGTGCCGTCCGTCTGGCCCCGTGCCGCCGCGTGACCGTGTGCCGTCCGTCTGACCCTGTGCCGCCGCGTGACCGTGTGCCGCCGTCTGACCCTGTGCCTCCGTTTGGCCCTGTGCCGCCGCGTGACCGTGTGCCGTCCGTCTGACCCTGTGCCGCCGCGCGACCGTGCGCCGTCCGTCTGACCCTGTGCCGCCGCGTGACCGTGTGCCGCCGTCTGACCCTGTGCCGCCGTTTGGCCGTGTGCCGCCGTTTACAGCGGCCCGCTCCGGCCCGGCGGGTAACCACTGCCCGCTGTGCCACCGCAACACGGCGCCCTACGATTCCGGGTGGCAGGCGCACCTTATCACGGAGTGCCCGGCCAACTCGCGCAACAGGCACCGTGAGTGTCCACCCCGTCACCTCGGCACGGAGTGCCCGCTTCACTGGGGCAGGTGCCCTCAATGTCGCCTCTCGCTCTCATCCGGTCACGGATTGTCTGGGGCATCTCGAGAGCAGGGACTGAGGACGTTGCGTCTCTCACCTTGTCGAAAAATGCAGCATCAACCCGATGCGGAGTGGAAACTACGCGCGTTCCAAACCATCTGTCCCGCCCGCAAAAGCTCACCTGGACGCAGACTTCCTCGTTTCAACCATTTTAAATACGCCGAGTCACCAGTCACCAATCCCGTGATATGACTGGTATTCATGCTTATCAATTCCCCAAACCAACCCAACGTCTGTTAATGTCACAGCGGTGCAGCGATTCCGACTGGCTAACGTATGCCACAAGTCCTGGTACATTCCGGCCGAGATCCCCCTCCGCCATGCCCCCTCTGCAGGCCCGCCCGACACCGTTGTCTATGCCGGCAGTGACCAGCGCCATCGTTCGTGCCCACGGCGCCCGCCGGACCCCCTCGCCGCGCGCGGCACCGGCTCCGAGATCGCCGCGTGAATCACGCCGCCGCGGCTCGCTCTCCGGCCCGGCCGAGCGGCGGCCGAGCCCGTCGCCGTCCCGCGGCCGTCGCCGGTCGGCGGAGGAGGCCGCCCGGCTGCCGGCGCCGAGCCACCAGCCGCGCCGCTACAGCTTCGCCACCGACGCGCCTGCGTACCTGCGCGCCGCGCCGGCCGCCGTCGTCCGACGGAGCAGCTCTGCCGCCGACCTGGAGGGGGTGGCGGCGCGGCCGGCGGCGCGGCGCGGCTCCACCGGCGGCGCCTCGCCCCGAGGAGGTCGCTCGCCGAGGGACCGAAGCCCGCCGCGAGGGGGCCGCTCGCCAAGAGACCGAAGCCCGCCACCAAGGGACCGAAATCCGCCGCCAAGAAACCGAAGCCCGCCATCAAGGATCCGAAGCCCGCCGCCGAGGGACCGAAGCAGCCCGCCACCAAGAGGTCGAAACCCGCCGCCAAGGGACCGAAGCCCGCCATCAAGGATCCGAAGCCCGCCGCCAAGGGACCGAAGCAGCCCGCCACCAAGAGGTCGAAGCCCGCCGCCAAGGAGCCGAGGGCCACCGCCAAGATATCGAGATCCGCCTCAAGGGTACCAGGGTCCACTGCGAAGGGGCCGAAGCCTGTCGCCAATAGGCCGAAGTCAGCCGCCAAGGGACCGAAGCCCGCCACCAGGGGGCAGAAATCTGCCAGGAGGCCGAAGCCCGCCGCCAAGAGATCGAAGTCCGCCACCGAGGGGCCGAGGGCCGCCGCCAAGGTACCGCAATCCACCTCCAGGGTACCAGGGTCCACTGCGAGGGGGCCAAAGCCTGTCGCCAAGAGGCCGAAGTCAGCCACCGAGAGACCGAAGCCCGCCGCCAGGGAACCGAAGCCCGCCATCAAGGGGCCAAAGCCCACCGCCAAGGGGTCGAAGCCTCCTGCCGAGAGACCGAAGTCCGCCACCGAGGGGTCGAAGTCAGCCACCAAGGGGCCGAAGCCCGCCGCGAGGGGACAGAAGCCCACCATCAAGGGGTCGAAGTCCGCCGCCAAGGGGCCGAAGCCCGTCACCAAGGGGCCGAAGCCCACCGTCAGAGTACCAGGGCCCGACGCCAAGGGACCGAAGCTCGCCGCCAAGGAGCCGGAGTCCGTCGCCAAGAGGCCGAAGCCCACCATCAAGGGGTCGAAGCCCACTGCCAAGGGGCCGGAGCCCGTCGCCAAGAGACCGAAGTAAGCTGCGAGGGGGCCGAAGCCCGCTGCCAGGGGGCCGGAACCAACCCACCGAGTCACCAAGGGACGGTAGACGGAGCGGCGCAGAGAGAGACGGGAACCGGGCGAGGCCGGCAGGTCAGACGCAGGTCGGTCGGCAGCAGGAGGGAGGCAGACACAGGGGGCGAGACGCACCGGAAGAGGGGACGAGGCAGAGCGGCGGCAACAGGCGACAGGAGCGAGGTCAGGATCGACAGGACAGGGGCGCGGAACCACAGGACAGAGGCAGGGCCCCACACGACAGGGGCCAGCAAGGGCAGGACAGGGTTAAGGGAAGACGGGACAGAGGCCAGGGACGGCAAGAGAAGGAAAGAGTACCGCGAGACGAACGTCGGGAGCGGCAGCAGAAAGAAAAGACCGTGATGACATGGTACGCAACAGAAGCGTACGCCAGGAAAAGAACATAGAGCGGCGTTCGGGACCACAGGATCAGAGCAATGGCCGCCAATCGGGTGAGAACAGGAACGCGGATAACCGGGTAAGCCGTCAGCCGGGTAAGCCGTCAGACAGCAGGCAAGACAGGGCTCGACAGGCAAAGAGCAAGGGTGGCAACGACCGAGGGCGAGCAGACCGATCTCAAAGGGGGGACAAAGAACGTGAGGACCGACCGAGAGACGAGGACAGAGGCCGCGGCAGCCGGCCGAGTGGAGAGGATAGGAAACGAGGCGGTGGTTCTCGTCTGGAAGACAGCCGTAAAGGAAATCGGTCTGATTTTGACAGCAGGAGCCAAAATAACAGGTCCAGCAGGGACGGCGGGGGCCGCGACAGAAGACCCCAGTCCCACGACGGCCGGAGTCGGCCGAGGCGCCTAATGGACGCACCAAAGCCGACCCATAAAGGCAGGAGTAGCTCTACGTCGCGTATTCCTCAATCGAGGCGACGCTAGAGATGATGCAGCACAGCTAATTACCCCAGCAAAGCTTGAAGAGCTTCGCACGTGTGAGGACTAATGAGCGGTTCGCGTGTGGCACGCAACCGTCTGGCACGTGCCGGCTCCCTGGCGTCTGTCACGTGCCGGCTCCCTGGCGTCTGTCACGTGCCGGCTCCCTGGCGTCTGTCACGTGCCGGCTCCCTGGCGTCTGGCACGTGCCGGCTCCCTGGCGTCTGTCACGTGCCGGCTCCCTGGCGTCTGTCACGTGCCGGCTCCCTGGCGTCTGTCACGTGCCGGCTCCCCGGCGTCTGTCACGTGCCGGCTCCCTGGCGTCTGTCACGTGCTGGTCCCGAGTCGAGGTAAGAGCCACACATCTGTTAAGTCACGCCTGGTCTGAGAAAGTTCCAGCTCGAGACCGATGGCTCACATCAGCGTGGCAGAGCATCACCGAGTCCAGTACCGACCGGGTTTCTACCGGTACCTCCGTTACGCGCGCGTCGAGTTCCTGGCATAGTACTGAGTCTGCCGCCATCAAACGTCTGAGCTAAACCGACGCGTTGAAACGTGTGTGCTTTACCGCACGACGCGCAGCACCGCTTTGAGGTGCCTTATTTTCCTACGAGCAGCAGGCTGGCCTGGTATCCAGCGCGGGGCGGGGCGAGGCGCCGCGCCGCGCGCGGTCAGCGCCACCAGCTGTGTGGCCCGTCCGCCCTGGCGCAGACACACAGAGCATGCAGCGCGGCCGGGCCATGTGACATGCCGTGCTGGGGGTTGAGTGACTCGCCAAAAGGCTGCGGTGGTTGGCTTGTTATGGCGCCCGTTTGCTTAGGTGAGTCCTCTCGGATGAGTATCCATAATACACAAGCGATGGCATTTGGCCTCAACCGCTGTTGTACTGAGGGCAGCGCGTTCACTGCGCTGCAGCGAGCTCGCGGCGCAAGACGTCGCTTACAGAGACGGAGGGCGGACCCTGGACCGTCGGTGCTGCCGAGCTGTCACGGCAGCGAGTGGCGGAGGGCGGCATATGGCGGCTGGGCCTGACCAACTGTCGAGCGAATGTCGTGTCCGCCGTGCATTGGCCACTGCTGGCTCACAGCCGTCTATCACCGGAGCTGTGTATGACACAGCCGTAACGCAGGCAGATGATGGCGACTGTGTTCGCCCTAACGGGCATGCTTGTCACCATCTACCGACGAAGTGTACACGCGCGATGAGAGCCATTGAAGCTATTCAGTAGCCAAACGAGCCTGGTAGACAAAACCGGAAAGCGGTCAGGCATTCTCCGACTTGCTTTTAAGCATAAGTGACTTGTGACCTGCGATTTGTACCCGGTTTGGCTCCAAGATTACGGTTTCTTCATCCCACATCACACGAGTCTATAACAGTAGGTTTGCATCGCGCGACTTTTCAGAGTTCATGAAGCAACCAGTTGTAACCGTACACAATCGCCAGACATGAGAACACTGAGCCGCTGAGTAAGTTTCGTCACGATGTCTTTGGTTGTGACCCGGCCACAACCAGCGGGTGGTGGCGGGTGCCTAGTCAGACAGCCGGTGGGTCCGGAGCGAGCGATGGCGAGCGACGCGTCGCCCCGTCCGCCGTGGCCTCGGACATTCACCGCACGCGCCGCGCCTCGGACACACGCCCGGGGATCCGCTGTGACCACCGACAGCCTGAGCAGCTCGTCCCATCATCGCGAGACGACATAGCCCAGAGATACTCTACACATCGGCGTCTGCACCATTATCTGCATCGGCACCAGTACCGGAACCAGCGCCGGCATCAGTACCAGTACCGGCACCCGTACCAGCACCAGCACCAGCACCAGCACCAGCGCCAGCACTAGCACCGGCACCAGCGCCCCAAATACGCTTTAAATCGTGGCATCGGGCTGGCGCGTCCAAACACCGGGCGTTCACCATGTCGACCGACCAGCGCCGCACAGTCCAAACACGCCAGCTGAACAGGGACACCTGTATTATCACAGACGCGTCTTGCCGGCCGGAGAGCGACGGGCCGCGCCGGGCCGGGCCGGACCGACTGGCTCGTCAGTGAGCAGCAGCAACGGCGGCGGCAGCGGCGGCGGCGGGGCGGCCCGTCGCCCGCCTCCACGCGCCGGCGGACAGGGGTGGGTCAAAGCCCCCTCTCCTTTCCCCACACGGGTGACTAGCAAGGCGGTGCCCGCACGCGCCGTCCCACTCGGGAGAGTCGGCCACAGCCCCTGCGAGACAGCCGACGCCGTCTCGCTCGGGGGGAGGGGGCCTCAGCCATCGGGAGACAGCCAACGCCCGGACGCACGGCCGACGAGACGCAACGGGCTTCGGGGTTCGACTGGGCTGGCGGCGAGGTCACGCACGACACATGGGTGATCAAAGCGGCGGCACACAGGCCACGCGTGCAGTTCAACTTAACAAGTCTGAGCATGACAAACCAGTTGGCGGGAGGCCAGTCAGCAGCACTGTGGCTTGCCGAAACCTCCGTTCCTGAACGTCGCACTCCGCTGAAACAGGTCGCCACGGAGCTGAGTAGTGCCATATCTTACCGCAAGACGTAGCAGACTCCTCTCTCTCTCTCTCTCTCTCTCTCTCTCTCTCTCTCTCTCTCTCTTCTCTCTCTCTCTCTCTCTCTCCTCTCTCTCTCTCTCTCTCTCTCTCTCTCTCCCTCTCTCTCCCTCTCTCTCTCTCTCTCTCTCTCTCTCTCTCTCTCTCTCTCTCTCTCTCTCTCTCTCTCTCTCTCTCCTCTCTCTCTCATGTTCCAGCTGACATTCGGTCCCACTATGGCACCAGACATATCTCCGACATCGCCGCGCGCCGGACTACCTACACAGACATGTCCGCTCACGGGGCAGGGGCGCGCGGCCTACCGCGGTACGCTGTCCGTCTCGAGCAGGCGGGCCAGCAGGCGGACAGCGTCGTCGTGCACCTCCACGACGTCCTCCAGATGGGGCGTCGGGCCGGGGACGTCCAGTGCCTCCAGCTGCTGCCACACGGTGAAGTGCAGCACGTGCCGCAGCTGCTGCACGCAGCGCACCGCGCTGCCGAGCACAGCGCGGTGAGAGACGCGATCCACGCCGCGCTGCACTGCGACGAACTCGGCCGCAGGCACCGCGCCACGCCGCGACGTACGTAATACGCCCCGCATCGCAGGGCATCGATATTAACAGCGCGAAGCGCGCGACGTACCCAGCCACAGAGCACCCAACACAGCGACGGCCGTCCGGGACGCGGCAGCAGGCTGAGGCAGGCGTTACGGAGACGGGCCCGTGCCTGTCGCCAGCGCCTGTCCGAGCCGCGCCACCGCAGGGCGCGGCGCCGGTCCGCCTGACACTGACCTGGGGGCGGCCGTCACGTGCAGGGGGAACTCGCCGCCGCAGGAGAGCCGCAGCGTCTGCTGCCCGGTCTCCTCGTCTACTGGCTGGAACAGGGACGCGTCCGGCTGAGGCGACGGCACGACATCCGACAACGCCGCACACTAAACATCACCCGTCACCGAGCAGGCCCGCAGCGGCCAGGGCCTGCCGCCTTACGCGCGGACCCGCCGGCGCTCCGCCGTAGGCTCCACCCGCAACCAGTCCTCCGGCATGGCACTCCCAGCGACTCCCAGGGGCACGGCACTCCCTCCAGGCATCAAGGCCGATATTCTGACCCCACACTAGACCCCGCCTCCCCCGCGGTCACCCCAACAGCGCCCAGCTCCCCTCGGCCTGCGCAGCGCGCGGCGCGCCGCTGGAGAGGCGGCCTGCGCGCCAGCGACGGCCGCCAGCCGCTCCGGCAGCACGCACCAGCGCCTTGCTGCGGTCGCCGTAGCAGAGCGCCACCTGCAAGGCGGAGGCCTGCGAGGTGTCGCGCAGTACGCGCCGTCGTCGGTGCGTCGAGAAGAAGGCGTTGCCGTACGCCAGGAAGGGCAGCGCGCCGCCGGGCTGGCGGTTCACCGAGTCACCGACCGTGTCGGCCGCGCCCCGGCTGTTGGGCAAGGGTCGCGGTCACCGATGGTACACGAGGCAGGGGTCACAGTCACCGATGGTACACGGGGCAGGGGTCACAGTCACCGATGGTATACGGGGCAGGAGTCCCGGTCACCGGCGGTACATGGAATCACGGTCACGGTCACCAGCGGCACATGGGATAAAGGTCACGGTCACCGGCGGTACATGGGATAAAGGTCACGATCACCGGCGGTGCAAGGGGTAGAGGTCATGGTCACCGGCAGTAAATGAGGCAAGGTAGCGAAAGGCGCAGTGTCAGGCCTGAGGTAATAGACGGCACAAGTTTTAAAAAAAACGTTCAGCGCATCGGGGGTACCGGCCAGGATCGGTCACACCACACAGCACAGAGGCCGCAGGTGGGCTGGCGCCGCTCCTCACAGCACGGGCAGTGCGAGTCTCAGCCAGACGTGCGCTACGTCGAACCCATCTATGCCCGAGCTCAGCGCCACTCCCGATCATCGCTGGACTGCGGCGCGAGACGGCCCACCGACCTGCACCGGATGGAGATCACGTTGGGTCTCACACGGCCCTTCACCACGGCGCCACGCTGAATACGGGAAACGTTTTTCACGTGGCCTGAAAAGAGAGTAAGACTGTTCTGTTGGGAAACCAACGGCACGACGTGCAGTGCATACCAACGCTCATGTACTGTATTCGATATTCATAGCATGCGTAAACACTGTGTATACGAAAATCAGTCTCGAAGAAAATCCTCGCATCGCAGCCGTAGAGTCGAATCAAATTTCACGTCGGTCGCAGATATTGAATCCAGCAGATAAGACACGCTGAGCGACAAAAAGAAAGACAGTAATGGTCTGGATGATTTGGTCTGGTTTGGTTCAGTTAGGTTAGGTCAGGTTAGGTTTGGTTTGGTTTGGTTTGGTTTGGTCTGATCTGGTCTGGTTCTGGTTCTGGTTCTGGTTCTGGTTCTGGTTCTGGTCCTGGTCTGGGTCTGGTTGGCCCTGTACGCCCGGCCTTTCACCAACAGGTCCGTCGAGGGAGCAAAGTCGCGGCGACAATCCAGCTTCGGGGATCCACAGGTGCTGGGCCAGAACACCGGTACTCCCCTCTTCACCACCTTAAACGTTCCCCATCCCCCTCCCGGTGGCTCCCCCATCAGCCACCGGGGAGGTCCGTACCGGCTATGAGCGCCGCCGTGACGACCGGCCAGCGCTCGGCGAGCGCGTTGAGCTCGTGTTCGGACGAGGCGAGGCGCGGCTCGAACGACGCGTGCCGTCCCACCAGGCCGGTCTGCTGCAGCTGAGAGCGCACCATCCGCACCAGCGCTGCACGGCCGGCGCTCCGTCAGGGCGGCGGCGGTCACGTACCGGCGCGGTCGCGCACGGGTCACCCGATGACCGGCACTCGGCGAGATGGCATACAACTGCACGTCAGCGAACCCGCTTCACGACAAGCAAGAGCTGTTCGAATGCGGCCAAGTGATATGAACTAGCATTCAGCCCAATACGGCCATCACCCAGCCACCGTTATTCGCCGAGCACCAAAGAAAGGCGTGTACAACTGAACATTGGCACACATTGCCAGCCTAAAATTAAAACTCCTTTCAGACCAGAATGACGTCATATGACACACGTCTTAAAATAACAACATAAATGCCAGGCACCACCGGCACACCTGACACCTAGTCGCCACTCACACTTGACCGTGTGCATGCCGTTCCTGAACACCATATTCTGCTCGCAGAAGTGCTTGTCGCTGGGGTCGCGCAGGAAGCCTTGGAACAGTTTGACAGCCACCTCCTGGTCGGAGAGGTGGCTGTACTGGCGCTTGACCCGGAGCAGCTCCTGCCGCCGCTCCAGCGCCACGTTGTACGGCTCACGGCCGGACATCTCCCAGCCGACCAGCGTCAGCGCCGGCTCCAGACACCTGTCCACATCACAACGCGGTCATAGTCACCCAAGCGTTAGGGTCCAGTCACCGCCGGTGTAAGGGTCCGGTCACAGCCGGTGTAAGGGTCCGGTCACAGCCGGTATCAGGACCTAGTTACCGTCTGTGTTAACGCCCGGTCACGTCCAGAGTAAGGGTCCGGTCACAGCCGGTGTCAGGGTTCGGTCACCGCCGGTGTCAGGGTCCGGTCACAGCCGGTGTAAGGGTCCGGTCACAGCCGGTGTCAGGGTCCGGTCAACGCCGGTGTAAGGGTCCGGTCACAGCCGGTGTCAGGGTCCGGTCAACGCCGGTGTCAGGGTCCGGTCACAGCCGGTGTAAGGGTCCGGTCACAGCCGGTGTCAGGGTCCGGTCACAGCCGGTGTAAGGGTCCGGTCACAGCCGGTGTCAGGGTCCGGTCAACGCCGGTGTAAGGGTCCGGTCACAGCCGGTGTCAGGGTCCGGTCAACGCCGGTGTAAGGGTCCGGCGACGGCTGGTGTCAGGGCCCGGTGACGGCCGGTGTCAGGTCACAACCCGGTGCCTCGGCCCAATCACGTTCGAGATCAATAAAGCCTTTACGGCTGATCTCACGTTCCAACATGAAAGTGGTGGCATTTCCCATCCAGTGAATGGCTCGTGACTGTCCGTATCAGGCCCAACAAACGACGGACGGTAACGGCGAGAAGGCGAGCGAATTACGGACACCTGCAACAACTATGAGCTGTGGGGAGGCTCCACATCGCCTCGCTCACGGATGTACAACGTTAACCACACACTGGCAGGCTTACGGGGTCTCTCACTGACCTTTGAGTTCGCTGACCCTGCGGCCCGACAAGTCTTAAGATGGTTCCACATGCCCGCAGCCGGTGGGGTACTGTTTGTAGCCCATCAGCAGCAGCAGCAGCTCCCATTGTCCCAGAAAGTCAGCATCTAACCGCCTAGACACGTTCAACAGCTCTCCTGGCCTGGCCTGATCGACGCCTCACTTCACCTAACCTGATCAACAACTTCCCTCGCCTGACCTGACCGGCACCTCACCCCGCCTGACCTGATCAGCACCTCATCCCATCCGACATGGTCAGCACCCTCCCTCGCTTGATCAGCACCCTGCCCCACCCCACCTGACCTGACCTGGTCCTCAGCTCCCTGCCCCGCCCCGACTGACCTGATCTAGTCCCAGCTCCCCTGTCCTGTCCCGACTGACCTGATCTAGTCCCAGCTCCCCCGTCCTGCCCCGACTGACCTGAACATGACGCCGTACACGAGCAGGCGCACCTGGCGCGGGTGCAGCTCGAAGCGCGCCGCCAGTCGGCCCAGAGCCGTCAGCTGCTCGTCGTCGTCCAGCATCTGCAGCGCAGTCAGCTCGGCCAGCGCGGCGCGCACGGCGGCAGCCGACGGCGGCTCGATGGCGGACGCCAGGAACTCCTCGGCCGGCGTGTCGGCTGACAGGTGCTGTTGGGGACGCGGCGTGAGGCGCGGGCTGCTACGGGCCGCTCGGGCCGCTCGGCCCGCCGGAGCAGCTCACGGGCACGCCGGCAAGCGCATCGTTCGCGTAGAGCAGACGGGGCCCGGCCAGGCCACAGCCAACCGGCTGCGTGTGAGGGACGGGGACTGGCGCGGCTCACAGGCACGCGCCGACACACGCACAGCACGGGCACGTGGGCACGCGGGTGCGGTGCGGGCAGGAGACACCGGGCAGTACGGCGGCAGCCAACCGATCGCGAATGAGGGGCAGACACTGTGCGAGGCACACGAGTCGAAGGTACGTAAGGCCACGGCAGAGCAGCAGTGGACTGAGACGAAACACGAATGTACGGCGAGGGAAGTGGGGAACACAGCACAGCACAGCACAGCACAGCAAAACACAGCCCACGATCAGACTTGTTTTTAGAGCTCACGTCACAGGAGTGCTCGTGACGTCTTGACATACGGTGTAGAGCACAACACAACACTTCACTCCCCACCCGTCACACAACCTCTCCAGACCAAGAGACTTGGAGAGCAAAGGGCACAGTGCCGCCCCAATCATGTCAAGACGACGACGAATTCAGGTCACCAAATAAAGCCAGCTGCACATCAGGAAACCTGCCCGCTCTTCCCAGAACCCCTCCCCCAAACACGCCCGAGATCCTCCCCTGGGCAGACGGAGGCGCGACACGTGCCACGCGCGCCCCGCCCGCGGCAAGGTCTCACCTTAGCGTCGAGCACCACGGTCTCGAGCGGGGCGCGCAGCAGCTCCGGAGTGTCGTAGTCGTCCATCTGCGCCAGCCGGCGCCGGCTGTACAGTCGGTAGATCTCGCCCGGTTGCACCCGTCCGGCCCGGCCCTGGCGCTGGGCGGCGCTCGCCTGCCGACGCCGCCACACGGCCCGGTCACCGGACAGCGAGCTCACCGTCACCGACCAGGACTCACGGGTCACGAGGCACCGGTCACGAATCATGGGTCACGAGACACTTGTCACGACTCACAGGTAATGGGCCATGAGGCATGGGTCACGAGGCATGGGTCAAGAGGCACGGGTCACAAGGCACAGATCACGAGGCACGGGTCACGACGTACGGGCCACGAGGCACAGGTCACAAGGCACAGGTCACGACGTACGGGCCACGAGGCACAGGTCACAAGGCACAGGTCACGAGGTATGGGTCACGAGGCATGGGTCACAAGACACAGGTCACGAAGTATGGGTCACGACTCAAGGGTCAAGAGGCACCGGTCACGAATCATGGGTCACGAGACACCGGTCACAACTCACAGGCAATGGGCCATGAGGTATGGGTCACGAGGCACGGGTCACAAGGCACAGGTCACGAGGTATGGGTCACGAGACACGGGTCACAAGGCACGGGTCACAAGGTACAGGTCACAAGGCATGGGTCACGAGGCACGGGTCACAACGCACAGGCCACGAGACACTGGTCACAAGGCACAGGTCACGAAGTATGGGTCACGAGGCACGGGTCACAAGGTACAAGTCACGAGGCATGGGTCACGAGGCATGGGTCACGAGGCATGGGTCACGAGGCACGGGCCACGAGGCACGGGTCACGAGGCGCGGGTCACAAGGTATGGTTGGAGGTAATGGATCGGAGGTCACGAGAGATGGACCACAGGTCGCCGTTACGGCTCGTGGGCACGGTCACGGCCGTGGATCATGATCACGAGTCGGGCCATCAGTCACGACTCACGAATCACACACATTATACCCACGTCGCAAACAGCTGACGCGGGGAACAGGCGACGGTCTTACAATCAAATCAGATCAGGCCCTCTTACTATCAAATCAGATCAGGCCCTCTTACGATCAAATCAGATCAGGCCCTCTTACGATCAAATCAGAGCTGGTAATTTCACGGTAATTAATCACTAGGTCCAAAACAAGGTAAGTACCCATATTAAGCACTAGACCACAATGCAGTTGTGAACTATGTCACAGTCGGGTCAAGTCAGCGTTAAAATATCATAGCTAACGCGACACTAACGTTATGCCAATATCAACATCAAACCGATATCACAGTACTGCCTGAGCGTCGCTCTGGGAGACTCGTTACAAAGCTTCGAAGCACACACCAAGCCCAGCTGGCATGCGACAGTGCTGAACGCACCATCGTCACGTCACCAAGTACGTGGCCCGGGTCTGGCGCTATCAACACGATCGGTCGCGATGGTTGTATGATCGGTCGCCTGCTGTTGGATTGCTATTGACCCCGCCAGGTCCCAGCTGTGGCGTGGGCCGCATGCCACTGGGCGCGGCTGGCCACGATCCATACACGCGGGCGTGCCAGCGCTCCCAGCGTCACGGCAGACAGTCCACGCACCATCGGTCGGGTGAGGCCCACCCCCGCCACTCCTCCCACCCGTGTGTGACCCTCCCCCCACCCCCCTTGTCCAGCGCTCGGCCGGCGGCGCGCCCACCTGGGAGATCCACTCTGTGCGTAAGCAGCTGGTGCCCGTCTCGGCGTCGAGTCGCGCCTGCTTGACGGCGCCCGTGTCCACCACGTACACCACGTCGTCGACGGTGATGCCGGTCTCGGCCACGTTGGTGGCCAGCACCACCTTACGCACGCCGGGCGGCGGCCGGTCGAAGATGGCGTGCTGCTGGCTGGCGTTCAGTCGGCCGGACACAGGCAGCACCCAGTGGGAGCACGGGTCCGACAGCAGCTGGCGCAGGCGCTCCTCCACCTGCCGGCGGCGGCGGCGGCGGCGGCCAATCAGCGGGCAGCGCGACATCGCGGCCGCGCGGGACCGGGCGCGCTATAGGCCGGCGTGGGGCGTGGATCGACAGGGGACAAGTGCCTCTTCATTGCAGACCGGTAGGAAGCGGCGGCGTGCCGCTGCTGCGGATCGACGGGGGTGGAGTGTGCCTGACGCCAGCACAGATCACGGGCACCGCGAGGCGGACAGCGTGCGCTCGCCTCACCTGTTTGATCTCAGCCATGCCCTCGAGGAAGACGAGCACGGCGCCAGGCGGTCGGCGCCGGCACACAGCCGCCACCAGCTGCGCCACGGGCTCAGCGGCCAGCTGCGGCCGCTCCTGCTCGTCCCGCCGGCGCAGCGCGGCCAGGTCGGCGGCGCCCACGCCCAGCCGCTCGCCTAGCCCCTCCAGGAAGTGCTGCTTCACCGGGAACAGCCGGCCCGGCACCTGCAGACGGGCCGAGGAAGTGAGACTTGGGCGGTCTCCGGTAGATGGCGATGGCCAGGATCCATCTCCAGTAGATGGGCAGGGGCGTTACGGCCGGCGATGGCGGCTGCGGGGGCGGTATGGCGGGACAGTTCGTCACCACTCGGTCCACGTGTGTTGGAGAAAACTGTGACGCCAATGCGTTGGGTGTGACGAAGAATGACCTGGTGATGGATGATAATATTGCGCAGTCGTTCGCATCCAAAACAACCATCAGCGACACTGTCCTAGTCATAGCAGACCAACACCGGCATAAGCTGACAACAGAGCCAAAGTTTGAGTCGGCCACTCTCACCACCCGGAGCGGGCCCGTCGCAAAAACTCACATCAAGGACGGGCGCACCGCCGAAGTACTGGCTGAAGAGGGCCGTGTCGACCGAAGCTGACATCAGCACCACCCGCAGCCGGCGGTCCCTCTCCAGCAGCCGGCGCACCAGCAGCAGCAGCACGTCCGTCTCCACGCTGCGCTCGTGCACCTGGCCGAGGCGGCACTGGGGTCAGGCGCAGCTCCAGCGCCGCCGCCGCCGCCGCCGCCGCCGCCGCACGCCGTGGCGGCATACCTAGCTACCAAGGTCACGACACGCGGAGATGCAAGCAGTCCCACGCGCAGACGGCTACAGCATGTCATCCTGATTTGCGTGGACCCCTTTTTCACCGTTTGCGTTTTGCAGAGGAGCGTTCACGCAAGTTTTTACCTCCACGCTGTCCGTTGGGGAGTGTGGACGGTACGCTGGCGGTGGCAGTGTTTCTGCACAGCATCTCTAATACAATGCTGCTGAGCAACGGGCCCCAGTCCTCACTGTGCAAGCGACGCCATCTGCGTGCTGGTTGATTACTCAACCTGAAGGCGTACCGTCCGCAATCAAGCACAATCGTTTTAATGGCCAGCAAATTTCACATTCTAGAACGTCACGTGGACTGAGCTCTCGCTTGAACCGATAACCAAGCTTAGCGACAGACGGTTTAACTGTGTTTATACGACCTTAATCAAAGGCAAGCAAATATCGCTGCACCTGTCCCAAGCCGAATAGCAGACATTGGCGACCTTAGGGGGCCGTGAGCGACGCGCCGGTGAGACCTCACCTCGTCGATGATCAGGTGGCTGATGCCGCTGAGGTCGGAGTTCCGCTGCAGACGGGCCAGCAGGATGCCCATCGTACAGAAAAGCACGCCGCCCCGCTGCTGGGGCAGGCACGAGTCCAGCCGCACCTGGTACCCTACCGCCTCACGCAACTGGCGGCAGACAGAGCGCCCGGTCACCGCCAGTCGTGCGCCGCGGCCGCCAGGGGCCAAGCAGCGCGCCTGTCACCAGCCCGCCGCGCTGGTCACACCGGTGAGCATGCACAGCCCTGGAGTCTGCCCGGTCGCTTCACATGTCCGCACAGCACGGCCGGGCCTCGGGTGAGGTCCGGCCGCTGGTGAGTGAGGCGAGGGTGACAGTCCCCGCTCGAGGTCCGGGTCAGAGCTGTCAGTGCGTGCCTCCCGTCAGCCTCCCGTCCCCCAGGCAAGGCACGGTAACACCAGCCGTCCTCCTGCCGGGCCGCCGCCAGCCCCCAAGCCCTTGTACTATCACACTGCACTTGTGTGTGGGCGGATGGGAGGACGGTGGACCGCGAGCTGTTAGAGCTCGAGTGAGCGATGGGTGGTGGCGGGCTGTGCGACGGAGTGGGCGGCGGAAGGTGGGCGGTGGGCGGTGGGCGGTGGGCGGTGGGCAGCGAGCGGGGGTGGGGGGCGGTGGGCGGTGAACGACGGACGCCGGGGGGCTATGTGTGATCGGCGCACCTGCTCGCCGCGCAGCTCGGCCACACGCCTGGCCAGCGACACGGCCGCCAGCCGGCGCGGCTGGCTGACCACTATGTTGCAGTCGGCACCGCAGCCGCGCTCCGTCCAGGCGTCCAGCAGCATCTGCGGCACCTGCGTGCTCTTCCCGCTGCCCGTCTCGCCCTTGATCACCAGCACGCGGTGCCGATCCACGGCTGAGATGATCTCATCCCTGCCGGGGGTCACGGGTCAGCCGTGCGCCGAGACGTCCGCCGGACTGCGCGGTGGGCGGCGCTGGCGGCGCCGCGCGCCAGTCTCCGCAGGATGAGGGAGGGGAGGGGAGGGGTGGAAGCACGAGTACCCGTAGGGCACCAGCGCTGCAGGCACAGGTAAGCACAACACAGCGCCACGGACTTTGGATCGTGAGAGTTCGGAGCAAAAGCATAAGAATACGCGGAAATGGCGCAACCTAGCATGCAAGCAGCTAAGCATATGCTTTTTTATCAGGCCCAAAATTCGCTACCACTAGCAGCAGCATACAACAAACCCGGCACAGTGTGACTGTCCCCTGTCTTCATCCGGCATGAAGTGGGCGGATACACAGTCTACCTCGCGACACCACACACCACACACTACACACAACACGCAACACATTCACTCGCCACACGCCACTCGCCACACGCCACAAGCCACACACCACAAACTACACACCACACACCCCACACCACAGGCTGCACACTATACACCACACACACACCGCACCGCACCACACCGCACCACACCACACCACACCCACACCACACCACACCACACCACACCACACCACACAACACCGTCACCAGCCGCACTCAGCACACTGGCTAGACCTGACGTCCCTTCTCTCTCTCCCGGCCGGAGCCGGCGGGGGCGACGGTCCCACCTCCAGGCACGGATGGGCAGTCCCTCCTGACGACGCTCGCAGTCAGCAGCGGCCGAGTCCGGCTCGGCAGCCAGCTGGCGCCGGCGCCGCAGCCGCTGCTCCAGCCGCTCGGAGCGCTCCTCGCGCCTCGCCGCCGGCCACGCCCGCTCCGGGCCGCCGAAGAAGGCCTCGCAAGCGTCTGCCAACGGCACGTACGGCCCGGTCAGCCGGTGGGAGCGTCGGCCAGGGGGCAGTGCATTGTGGTGGACTGTACGCCGGGGTGGGCCGCGCGCCTCAGCGCGAGACCCTACTTTACGGCGGCAGTTGCTTGTCGCGTGTCTCTGAGATCGACGGTGGCAGGGCATAACGCGCACTTCCCGCTACATTTACGAGGAGAGGGGTTTATTTACATTCACGAGGAGAGGGGTGTTGCACCACTGGAGTCTCCGGCTACCGATGGCCACAGGGGCCAGAAGGGACCTTAATCCGCTCCCAAAACAAGGGAAATCACGAAACTCGAGATCGAGGAAATACGCAGCCTTTACGACGATGAAGGGAAGATTGGAAGCATGGGGCAGTGGAGGTTTGCCCTGTGGGCACTTTGGACACCGATCTGAAATTCAACCTTGTTTGACCTTGTATGACTCTAGGGTCAGACATAATGCCCTACGTACCTCAGAATTTGACACAAGAGCGCTGCGTTCACACATAGAGCCCTGCCTCTCTTGTAAATTTGGAATTTCTGGCTCTCCCAATATCTACGATCGCGGGGAACCAAAATTGATCCCCACACACAACCAATCGCGCAGTATTCAACTGGCCACCGGAGCGCGTGCTAAATACGGCACCATCCTGACAAGGCACCTACAAGTTACATATATATATATATAGTATAAGTGACAGCTTCCTGAAGACACGGCTGAACAGTGTGCTGAGCATATTCGGCGGCCTTCAGGGGCAGCGCCCTCGTACTACGCGTGATTGGTGCCGTTCTGAATCAGCTCGGCCGACATCTCTGCTGGCGGGATGGCGCATCTTAGGCGTAAAGCGAGGCTCGCCGCAGCCCCCCCCCCCCCCCCTGGCCAGCACGTGATGGCCGCAAGACGTTTTTCAGGCTAAGATGAATTCCAGAATGTGGAATGCCGACCTGAGCCTGGGGCCGATCAGGTCCAAAATACGAGGGTTTGGCAACATTCGACGGAAATTGGTAGTCCGATGTCATATGCCTTCGGGCACATAATCTGACCGATTTGCCTGTGATTTTCCCCTTTTTTTCACCAACCCATTGTAAACAAAGAATACAGATCCGCCGGCAAATATCGGCTACACAAATCGATAGAAACTTGAACACGTTTCTATCTACCTCGGAATGTAATATACGTGTTGCTCAAAAGTTATGTAGACACCCGCAAAAATCTGTCAGCACCCGAGACTATTATCGGTTTCGATTTATTCGGTTATATGTCGGTAATATATTTACTGTGGGTTTAGAGAGGTCAAATGATTGTCTAACAAGGACACCGTCCATCATTTGTTCGATGCAGTCTTTTAATGTTTGATCTGTTCCTTTCACAATTTCAACGGCATCTCATGGAAGAATAGGCAAGTGATCGTGAATGACACGTTGAGTGAAAACTGACAATATGTCTTGCAGATGTAACGCGAAGTCTAAGGCGCTCGGCGTGGCGATGGCGCTGCAAGACACGTGCTTGAACTGAAAAAAAAACTTCAGTTTCAAAACTTGTGCAGAAATTACCGGACTACATGTTGCCCACTAGCAAGAGTGCGGGTAAGTACCCGAAAGAAATATCTGCAATAAGGGATTGCGTTGGGTAGAGCCACAACCGGAAGACTTCACGACCGATGTGAAAAAAACGGATATCCGGTATTGAAGTGCCCAATGCAGTCCTACACACATTTGAAATATAATGGCACCGTTGTTACACATTTAACAGGAGCTTTCCTTCTCATTGTGTTATATGCGCATCTCCCACGTTACCCCAATGCAGACTTCAATGTAAAAACGCAAGTTCCATGTTACGCCACTAAGACAATATTTTTGCTTCGAAACATTTCACGTTTGAGCCCCACAGTGTATATTCAATAGATCGGTAACCTTCGGAATCGGATCAAAGGGGCGACTGTTGTGGTAGTACAGACTGTTCTTTTTTAGTACACAAAGGTGCTAACGGTGCCGGCTTAACGGACGAAAATCGCCGTCGACCACGCGCTGGAGAAAAGTTCCGCAGCCGACAGGATTCGAACCTGTGCGGGGAGACCCCATTGGATTTCGAGTCCAACGCCTTAACCACTCGGCCACGACTGCTACGTGCCCGATGCTGCTCAATAGCCGGTTTCATTGATAGGTGTATAAACACCAAGGGGCGTCAGAACCGAATCGTGATGTCCGTATCAGAGCGGTGCCACATGGAAGCTGCCGTGAGGTTTGAGTGAGGATCGGGTCCTTGGTGAAATGCAGTATAAGGTTCACGGCACGTTCTGCGGTGTACCGCGCGTGGTGCCACGTGCGCCGTGCGATTCGTTAGCAAAGGTCCATTTTTTCATCATATGCGAACAAAATCCATCGGCTCAGCGCGAAGCTCATGCCTGAAAGAGAGCCTGATAGCGCGTGCGCACGTCCCTCATGTGACAGCCATGTGGCTGCGACGTGGTGGGCAACGGGACATCAGAATGACGGATGATAGCTACCGAAATCTCTGCGCACTTGTTGCAGACATCATTACGATATCACTATGCATAATATATTGCACGCAATTTTGATAGCTATGCAAAACACCAGAATTTATATTCATCACCTCACAGTTGACGACGGTTATTCGCCATAAAATAAAAACGGCAACGATCTAAGACAAACCGAAACGATCACCACATAGCCATGTAACCGAAAGCGGGGATACTGGATTCCCAGTGTGATATAGTATGCTCTTAACAGGAAGCCCGCACGAGCACGGGCACCGAAACCGACGTCGGCGCGTTCCTGGCACGTGCCGTGCCAGACGTGCCGATGGCGGCACCGTTGCTGGCACCGGCACCGATCACCGACACCGGCACCGGCACCGGCACCGGCACCGACACCGACACCGACACCGGCACCGACGCCGACACCGGTAACGGCACGACACCAGCACCGGCAACGGCAACGGCACGGGCACCGGCACCAGAATCGGCGCCGGCACCGGCCCCAGTTGATATGTTCCAAGCGTCAACCTTTCTTCAAACGATCTCATGAACGCAGTCTGGCTGGTCTAGAACGCCGCACCTCCGTTTCCGTGGGAAAGGATAAGGGGAACACCAAGTACCGTTTGTGCTGCATGTGCTCGATACACTCCCAACTCAGGACCGCGCAGAAGCCATCAAAACGCGAAGCAAAGAACCTTTGGCGATCTGACACTCGCGTATAGCTGACGAGCTGCACTAAAGAGTTAAAACCGCCGAACTATCGAGCAGTTTGTGCGGACGTAACGCAGCGCGGACTAATGGCCTAAGTTATACGTGTGCGTTCAAAAAGCTTTGGAGCTTCGTGCTCCCAGAGTGTGTAACTGAACGTTTCCTTTTTCAGATACGCCTTACTGGACTAAACGAAAAAGCGCACGGAAAACGTAAAATATAAGTAATCTTGCAACCCCGTCAAGGGATATCCTGTATGGTATGCAGGAGAAACAAAGAGCATGATTTACAAATATAATAGGGGATTACACCAGGAGTATTGATTACATTGCGTTAGAGATCTACTTTTCTTTTCTGTTCATGGGACTCCAACTCCCCCTCCCCCCTCCCCCTCCCACCGCTTTGAGAAGAAAGTGGGACAATCCATGGATCTTGGAGATAGGTCAAACCATGTGGCAGCGTATCTTGGGGACATTTTTCACTGCACACCCAAATAACCCCTCCCCCTCCTCTCTCCTCGCCAATTAATTTCCAGAAATTATCCCCAGCAATGTATATGTATTCGTGCACTGCAACTAGGACATGAAAGTTTTACCCCGCACAGCCTTGGGGTTTACCCTGAGGTCAATGCAAGTGCTCGGGGGGGGGGGGGGGTTGCGGGAGTCCCGCCAGGCCAGGCGCCAAGCCGGCTCGTGGCTCATTTAGAATAAAGGAGGAAAACATGCTATAGTTGGTGCGTTAGTAGTTAGTTAGTGCTATAGTTTTCTGCATGACCCACGTTTGGTTACCTTATTTGCGACTATTATACATATCGTTTTCTGTTTTTTTTTTGTCTTCTCATTCAAGAAAACAAAAGTTCGGGGCAAACTCCAACTCTCCAGTATTTGCCACGACTCCCTGACGATGAACTGACATGGTCAGGCAACTGAACGCAAAAGACGACCAAACAAAGGGGTCATCACCACGACTTATTTGGGAGTCGTCGTTAAATTTACACAAAATGAAGAAAAAAGTCCTGCAATCTGTGCTTGTATAGTTTCTGGGGACGGGGCCTCGTCTTACAGCGCTTGTGCTCCGTGACCCTGGTCCGAATTCGACGGCGACATTCCAGTTCAACGGCAGAATTTTCTGGCGAAATATTAATGTGCATTAGTGCTCAGCATGGTTCGCTCCGTTCTGATGATGATGATGAAGATGGTGATCTGGAACTTTAAGGCATATTGATTGCGAGTGTTCAAGCAGCGACCACGCCACGAGGCGGCGCCGCACTCGAAATCATTCATGGGTTAGTTGGGTGGTATGTGCTCTTAACAGTTGAGGTCCGACGATGCATGAAGAATGTTGTGAAATCCATCCACGGCCGTTTGTGAAGCGTTTACAAGTTATCAATTTATTAGCGAGGCTTCTTTTCACGTTCCGATGCGTCTTTAATTAGGGGCGAAAAGTTTCGCAGCCGACAGGATTCGAACCTGTGCGGGGAGACCCCATTGGATTTCGAGTCCAACGCCTTAACCACTCGGCCACGACTGCTGACGGGCCACACCAGCCTAAAGCAAGGAACGCCGAGTGTGTACAAAGCTACTGTGACTACACTGTAAACTACAGCACGACCTGCGGTCTCCGAATAAATATGAATCAGCCGTCCATGACCAGCACCACACTCGGCACTGCACAACAGTCATCTGATCCAAATCTACTCACCGGCATGCATCGCCTCGGACTGGTCCGCCTGCTGGGCGGGCTCTTCCTCCTGGCGCAGCACCGCCTCCCGCACCTCCTGGGGCACGGGGCACCGCACATCAGCAGGGCAGAGCCAAACGTGCGGTTCGTCGACGGAGAACAGCGGCCTTCAGTTGGAACGTCGCGCGCACACCCACGTCCGTACGGCAGCGTTTCTCCCCCGGGGCAACCGCTGCACGCCGCTCCCGGGTCATCGATTCAGTGGTACCCGTCGGCGGTCGAGTACGGCAGTACAGCCGTACATCGTCGCACCGGTGCCACCCTCACGGCTAAAAAACTGATGTAAGCACACGGGAGAGCGTGGACACTGCCGGTCTCTCCCTTCCCATGTCGGCAAGGTTCCAACATGCAACTATTTCATGATACATTGGCTGTTATGTTGGAAGTGATCCATCTTCAATATAGGTATAGGTATGTTGAGGTTGTTCGAACAATGCATGGTGACTACAGAAACACGTGGGCCTGAGGTAAGGATGGATGGCCCCCACCTCCTCGACTGTACTACTGAGCAATACTTTATATCAAAAGTAACCTGGCAACCTGTTTGACCAGTAGCTCCTGGCACATCAAAAGGTCGGTTATTTTCAATGTAACAACTCACACTGCTGAAAAACTTTGAGCCCAAGGAAAATTTCCTGACATCACACCTGGGATTTACCAAAAAGGGCGACCGAAAATTCATCTGCCGTAGCCACCCGTGCGTAGGCGCGCATCTAAAGTCGGTTTTATTGGTGGGCAGCCTCTGCCGACGCCTCACCTTGAACCTGCCGTAGAGCCGGGTCACCTCTGGCAGGAGCCGGGCGTCCACGTCGAGCGGCGGCGGCTGGCGCAGCGCCGCCGCGCGCGCGCCGAGCTCGTCGCGCGAGTACAGGACCGGGTCACCGGACGGCGAGATCAGGTTCCGCGCCTGCAGATGCCTGCGCGCGCGCAGACCGACCGGCGCTCACACACCGCACGCTCCGGCCGGCGCAGCCCGGCGGTCAGAGCGCACGCACGCCGCTCATGACTGCCCGCTAGCCGCGGTCACGGGGTGCTGAGGCCAGCGCGTGACAGATATCACGACAGCCGTCCAGTCTGGCACGCTAGTTTGAGCCAAGCGGGTGGTCCAGCTCCCTCATTACAACACAGCTAGACGGCACGGACCACGACGGACATGGAGAACATGACTGATGTGGCTCGACTAGTACTCCCGCGTGGGTAACATCATTCCGGCGCTGCTGAAAGAGGAACAGCGATACAACTCACACACAAGAGGCCGTCGGCACATCAGGGGTAACAGATGAACATGCAGGACAAACAGCACACAGAAGCAAATCAATACACTCCACGTGGCCACCACGAGCCACATCTCACATGAGCAAAACCTGACAAAGCGACTCGGTAGCCTCCCACCCCATCCAAGCGCGAGGGGCCACCGCGGGCGGCCGGATCCTCACTTGAGCATGTCGGCCCTGGCCACCGAGATGGCCGCGCGCTTGGAGCGTGCCCGGCCGAAGAACTGCGCCGTCTCGGGCCAGTGGGCGGTGAGGCGGCACTCCCACTCGTCGGCGCGCGTCCGGTGCGAGCTCGCCCGTGGCCGCGGCACGTGCGGGAACTCGGCCGACGTCACGTTGACCACGTGCGCGAAGAGGCTGTCGGTGTCGAGGAAGCGCCGCGGCAGGCGGGAGGCCGCCGGCCGCGCGTGCTGCGCTGCCGGCTCCGACGCTGGCGAACGGAGGTAGAATTCAATCACAGTAGTAAGCTGAGAAGTGAACATAGTTTGACGGCTAAAAATAAACAGCCCGCGTGCATCTGAGCCGTGCTTGGGCAAACATGCACAAAATATGAAATCAACTAATGCTGTCCAAAAAGAGGTTGTAGAAACGAGCTAGAATGCAGGTTTGAAAACATGAGTGTCATATTTTACGCCGCATCAAAGGCAAGCACGGGTGGGGCCATTTATGCTCGACCGGAGACCACGACACGCATACCGTGGCAGCGTTCCGTCGATCCACTCACGCACCAGCTGTAAACACCAGCCTCACATGACCGTCTCTGCCCGTGATCAAAATCTCGAGGGACCGGCTGCGACGCACTGGACGCTGACAGAGCCAGCCGCAGCCAGCAGCCACCGTCCTGCATAAGCAGCGGGGGTACACATCGAGGCGACGTGCCGGACAGGACACCCGGGTCGCTCTGGCCGGTCTCCGTCAGCGAGCGCGTCTGCATGCAGTGCGTACAGCAGCTTTCCGGCTGTTGTGCTACTGACCAGTGCAGGCCAGTTCCCGGCGAAATTATGACTCAGCTACGTGACTGTACTCCTGGGAAGGGTTGGAAAAGTGGGAGGGGCAGGGTGTTGGGTGCCCGAGCCCGGCGTGATAGTCTGACTCAATCATACCATCCTTGCTGTGAGTTGCTGCAGACTGGACGAAATCCTGCTTTCCTGTTCGGTACTCGCTGACACATCTGCCAGCTGTGCAGAGTACTTTAAGCATGCCTTGTGAAGTGCATCTTGTCCATCCCAGTGATGGTGAACTCCTTCTGCTGCTGAAGCCTCCAATGCTGAAAAGTTAACATATGTGTACATAACACTGTCAGACAGTGATATTAGGGCACAATAGCTTTTTGCATGGACAGTACAGGCTATGTTTTGCATCAATAAAATGTTTAATGGAATATGTAGGAATAGCATAAACCATCACAAGTTTCATAATTCTTAAAATATCATTTTAAGATAGCAATGTATTTTATCATGCTATCTCAATTCTTTCAAAAATGCAGCCACAGCCTTAAACATACGAAATACCAGTGTCAAATCATGTAGTTCTAAAATCATAAATTAATCTAAGTATGAACTGCAAGGCAATTAATTACCTTGCAGTGACCTGTCTTTGGCCAATGCTTCTCCCTGCCTGGCATGGTGCAATATGGTTGAGAATTCCTGCAAACAAAGCAAACAAAACTAAATTACAGTTTGTTTCAACCTATGTGAAATATCATGCACATACAGTATGTAATATCCATTTGGCACCAATTTACAAGTTCCAGCAAATTCCAAATTAGCACAACTGAGATTTTAAATGCACATGTTAAAATGCAGCTTAAAATAATTAATCCCTATGAGATAATTTTGGCCCTATTTCAACACCAAACATAACTATGCAAGTAAGATGATGAAGTTGAAACATTTCTTGATACCTCTAGAAGCATTCTGGAGCTATGTATTTAATGTGCATTATACATAAAAACTAAGATATACCATTTCTGAGCATCACATTGCAAAAATGTGTGATCAAAGGACATAAACAATGCCTTACCATAGCTCTTGTGGAGATGTGAAAGCAACAAGGAATTCCTTGCAAAAGTGTTTCTCATTGGCCCCAGGGACAGCATCATGCCCTGGAAATTTCATGATGTTAGATGAATATGGCAAAAAAAGCATGGAACATATCCCTGCTAAAGCAGCATGTCCAAGGTGAGAAAAATAAAGCACAGACACAATGAGGTGTTACATAATTCAAGAAATGATATATTTTCAATTATCTTGTAGAATACTTCTACCAACAGATAGGTTTAACGTGAACCCCCTCAGCTTTATTATGATCTGCGATGAACAATTTGCCCACCCTTATAAGTGACCACATATCATGATCTGCACGTGGACCTATCACCTATTCTATGAACTGCCTCATATCTGAGGTTTCTGGCCAGAAAGCCTCATGCCCGAAAACTGGCTTGCATTAACCATTTTTGGTGCAGTACAAGTACTCACAAGTTTGAACGTTGCTTCCTGGTTTAACACTTCAATGAAATTTATATTCGCGCGGTACACCCCACGCGCAACCACATCACTCCTACAGTATGATCCCTCAAGAATACCACCATGAAAAGCGTCATTGTTTGTCTGTAGTAAGCCATAACTGGCAATCTTCTGTTCCCCAGACCTTGCTTAGTAATTTGTTGCATTGAAACATATAACAAATAGATAATAAAAAGAGAACCACAGCATCACCATAAATGCCATATCTTTGTGAAAATGTGCGCTTAAATAGGGCTGTACCAATCTGAATCCGAATAAAATCTTAATTGATGGTATTATGCGGATTTTATACCAGCCTTCCTCGCCCGTCGTGACAACATGGCCACCCATTGCCAGTATGGAAAATGCGACATAAAACTAGAGTCATCTTCTCTGTGAATTAAGTGCATTTTTTGGAGTAGTTGTGCAGCATTTTTTGTTGTTTAGGCTTTATACCGCATAAATAGAGTGATTCAATGTCTTTTGTAGCCTTGTAACTTCTTACATTTAGCAGTAGTTTAGCGTTTCCATCACATGTGACTTCTTGGCTGCCAGAATGGCGCTATGAAGACAAAATTGGTCAGTGCAGTTTGCTGTTCCACGAGGTCGCAGCGTCGGAGCCCGTCCTGCGGTCCCTGGCTAGGGCGTGCATCAGGTGGGTGGGATTGGCAAGGGTGATGTGTGTAATTACAGATACTTCACTCGTCGTGATCCTACACGCACGCATCAAAAGACATGAATTCCATGCTTGTTTATTTCAGGGAGTGAGCGTTTTGTAGGTCGTGACAGCTAAACAGGGAGGTTTCGTATCAGCACGTGTCGGCTGCAATAGGGCTAAGGACCATCCATCAATCTGCTCCTGTATCTGACACCATAGCGAAATAATGGAAATTGATTTGCTAATAAGTAAGCAGCTTAAGAAAGTGTGATTTTGTTACCCTATGTCATTCTGGATGTGATTTTATCCCGTCTTCATTAAGGTGTGACAACATCCTGTTGGGGGTTGTTGGTGTTTTGTACATTGAAGGGCTGGTGTTGAATGGCCAGTTGCATCATAAAGAGGGGAAGAATTCACCTTTTTCACCATTGGCTAGCTGTAACAATTATGTTCTGATTTTAGGTGGATGACAAGACATCTGTTGCAAATATGACTGCTGGGTCAGGGGCTGATGCCTATGTGCCTCCATCCAAGCCATCATTAGCAAACTTAACTAGGAATTTTGGGAGCATCAAAGCTGACAGCAACAAGGTAAGTGCTACAATAGTCTGGTCCTACTTGCCCACATTTCTGATTCCACCTGCTTGAAGAGAAATATATTTCTTTAAGTACTTACATGCAAACTTGCTTGTCATTTTTGTCTTCTTAGTAAGTGCCTTGTTCATCTAAGCATTTGTATTATAATTCAGATTTAGTAAGTGATGCATATTTTGCATAGGTCATGGCATGGAAGGAGAGATGATGTGGTTTGTGGTCAGTGAATGGGAAGACATGTTATGCTCCATTTTGTATCAAAGTGAACAGTGCTAAGCCAGATGGTAAAAAGTGCATAATGCACCAAACATGCCCAGTGAAGCAGTAATTTCAGTATATGTGAATCATGAATATGAGCACCCAGTGTTAAGCTTATGGTTGTCATCAATTTCAGTGCATATGGAGCCAGTGTTTCAAGAAATTATGATGCATGCATAATATGAGGCATTAATGTTCCACCAGCATAGACATCCTCCACTGTAGATGGGTTTGTTATTAGATGACTGGCAATAGGCCAAAACAAAATAGTGAGTGCCAGTTATTAGACTGAGATTTTACCATTGACCAGGTCTTGAATGATGTACAAGGGGACAGAATCTGATTATCACATGCACAGTCACAAGTTTTTCCATGACTATAGCCCAGTTAGTTAGATTGCCTACATTGTGATTCCTCCAGCTGTGTTAGGGTGAGTTTGTGTTGCTTTCACATCCCTACTTTCCCTTGACTGGAATGGCCTGCAGTCACTTGTAGCTGCCATGCTAACAGTCATTTATGTTAGTGGTTGGTTTCATGATGGTTAGACAGTGCCAAGCATTGTGGCACATTAGTCCCTCACAACAATTTGGCTTTGGAACTGGAACTTTGTGATTGGATAGTGAGGTCAGGGCTCACATGAGCACTGCTTGGGAGATGGATGCTGATCCCAAAAAGCTGTTGAAATTAAAAGTTACAGGGCCAAATTTAGAGGTATATTTTGTCTTATGCTGTCAGCCAGACTAATAATGTTACCCATAGTCACTGATGATCTGAGCATATAATTTGTCCTTCTTGTATTTCAGCTTCTGAAGTCTCTCTCGCAGTCCCATATCGATGCCTTTAATGATGTGCTCCAAGGTGGTCTGAATGCAGCAGTAATTGCCCTGCCACCACTGGACTTTGCCCTCCCAGATGGCACCAGAGTGGGACTGTGTGCTACGGTATGTAAGTGCCAGCTGTAATAGTTGTTTAAACAGATGGGAGCTAGCAATTGTTTCACTTGTCTTCCTCACATCATGTTGAATATGATATTGATCAAATGTGTTTGAACTATAAATCCTTATTTGGTGTTGTCTTGAAGCCACATTTCTGCAGCTTAGGGAAAATTATACCATGTACCCTGTGTTACACCATTGTTTTGGTGCATCATTTCACACATAAGTGTGATGTAAGTAGCATAAGTGGTGATGCATTGAATTTGGTTGAATTTAGTACCACCCAGTTGTCTTTGTAGCAATAACATTGGTCTCTGCTGCCTGAAATGACTTGCAGAAGAAACATAGTGTTAAATGCATCTGAACACCTGCAAATGTATTTTGGTCACCATCTTGTTTTTCAGCCCTGCAGTGCATTTACTGAACAAATGACAACAACTTCACATGATGCAGCATGTTCTCACTCTTTACCCACCATGCCTCCTAGCCCCACATTCAGCCTCACTGCCCCCCCCCCCCTCCCCCTCGCTAATGCTCGCCCCCCGGTCGCCCTCCGCGCTCAGGGCGCCAGCATCGGCATGCCGCGCGTGCCCCCTGGGAACGTGGGCGCCACGGAGGCGCGCGTCTTCCCAGCCGAGGCGCGCCAGGGCATGCGCAACTACGGTGGCCAGCTGGTGGTGCGCTTCGCGTACTCAGTGAACGGCGAGCTGCGCGGCACCATGGACCGCAGCCTGGGAGACGTGCCCATCATGGTGATGGTATGATGGCAGTCTGGGTGGGCGCATCATGATAATGGTGTGATGATGGGGTCTGGGGTGGGCCCATCATGAAGATGGTATGGTGATGGTCTGAGAGTAGGGTCCATCATGATGATGGTGTGATGATGGGGTTTGGGGTGGGCCCATCATGAAGATGGTGTGAGGGTGGGCCCATCATGATAATGGTATGATGGTGGTCTGAGGGTGGGCCCATCATGATGATGGAATGATAATGGTCTGGGGTGGGCCCATCATGATGATGGTATGATGATGGCCTGGGGGTGGGTCCATCATGATGATGGTATGATGATGGTCTGCAGGTGGGCCCATCATGTAATGGTTTGGTGATAGGGTCTGGGGTGGGCTCATCATGGTGATGGTATGCTGATGGTTCAGGGGCTCATTGTGGTGATGGTATGGCATGGCCTGGGCTCAGGATGGTGATTTTATGGTGATAGCATCTGGGGATGGAACCGTTTTTGTGATGATGTGATCATGTGATGGACCATCATTGGGATGGTGTTATGATAGGGTCCAGGGCCTTGTATTGTCAGGTGGTATGATAATAGGGTTTGAAGACCTCCCATCATGCTGGTGGCATGATGGTTGGGTCTGGGAAACAAGCCCATCATAGTAATCCTGTTAGGGTAGGGAGATAGTGTCTTGAGGATATGATGATAATGAAGATGGTGCATAGGCCTTTGTATCCACATTTTGGCTGTTTTAAAGGTTGTGTGTTTTTTTGGATTAGTCTGAGATCAAGTCTGTCTAAAGTCAGCCAGATCAGTCCACCCCCATCTGCCAATGTGACCTGCTCTCCGGGCGGAGCTGCGGACCGTGATAACCCCCACGCGCGGTCCGTTCCAGTCCAAGAACTGTCACCTGCACGGCCTGAGCCCGGCCGGGCTGGTGAAGCGCGGCGAAATGGCCTCCGAGTTCGGGGGCTACTTCATCGTCCAGGGCGGCGAGCGTATCCTGCGCATGCAGGTGTGCCGTCTGAGGTCACCAGTCGCGCCAGGGGCGCTGCCGGTCCGGGCTCCGTGGCGCAGCAGGGCACGGCGGCCGGCTCCCGCTGTCTGCTGCGGCCGAGGCGCCATCTGCGGCGGTGGTGCCGGGCGTCCGCTGGGCTGGACATGCTGGGCTCGGATTTGCCTCGGGAAAGACGGATCGTGTTGTGTGCTTTGCAGCTGGGTGTTGGTCATCGTTCCGTATGTGGAGCCTCGGGTATCGTCTCACCCGGTGGACGCTCATACGCGGAACGTTTAGACCGCGTTGCCGGTAATCTCGCTGCCGCTTGGTAACAAATCGCTGTTGTACGTGGTCTTATGAGTGCATGTCGGGCTGATCGTGGCCTCGGGTAGGGATGCGCTGTGTTCGGCCAAATGTCTGACTTGCTGTCTGGCCTTCTGTCCGGCCCGCTGTCTGGCCCCGCGTCACGCGCCCTGCCGGCCGACAGGTGGCGACCCGCCGCAACTATCCTATCTGCCTGTCGCGTGCCTCGTACAAGGCGCACGGCAAGCTGTTCACCGAGCATGCCGTCCAGATGCGCTGCGTGGCCGACGACCACTCCGTATCGGTGAGCTCTCCGCCTGCGGACGGGGCGAGGGGGGGGGGGGGGCGCTGACGTCAGACTGCCGTCAGCTGCTGCGTGGTGGTCCACCCGCTAGTGTAGGAAGGAGACCGTAGTGGTGGTTGGCTCAGGATTGGATAATTCGGAGGAGGACTTTCTGGTGTGCAGGTGGAGGACTGGTGCATGTTGGATGTATTGGTGATAATTTACCCCTTTACCTGTTGGGTATGAACTAGCTTGGTTGATTTGCCATTGAAATGAAAACATTGGAACTAGCCAATGTGCGAATTGGATGCACAGGGCATGGTTAGTGTCCTCGCATTGTAGTGGTTTGGCAGACATTGTGATGAATACTTATCACAAGGACACTTTGGTTTGTTCATCACAGACGTCATAGTCTGTATCGTGGTCTGAACAATGGCTTCATCAGGTATGCACATAATGTTTCACAGGTTGCATTAATTGGTTGAATTAAGTATTACTGATACTGAGCTGCATTGTTTCTGGATATTACAGATGAACATGCTGCACTTTCTGTCCAATGGGAGCTCGAAGCTGATCTTCCGCTATCAGAAGGAGCGGTTCTCTGTGTCGCCGATACTGATCATCAAGGCGTTGCTGGACATCACCGACAGAGACATCTATCGGCGGCTCACCGAACCGGGCGACTCCGACTACTACCTGAGGTTCGTGAGTGGCGATAGGCGAGCAGGCTCCCTCTGGCACCTCTGTGGCTGGTGTGGTAAACCGTGTACAAGTGCCTGCCAGCCTTAACAGGGATACCATTCTGATGTATGACCAGCTTCCCTTGCTGACCATGTGCTAACACACTTGTCAAATGCTACAGAATTTGTTTTTGGGCCATGTAGACATCACTATGCTGGTACCTACCTTTTCAAACCAGCGAGCTTTCATTTCGAGCTTTGAATGGCATATATCTGGATGCAGGTGTGAACTGAAGATATGTGCTATACGGACAAAACTGACGGAACGGATAACATTCCGTCGCCTAGTGATCGCTAATGTATGAATAAGCTGTGTGCCAAACCCTCCCTAAATCTATCTGAACCATTGCCTCCCGCCCCCCCCCCCCCCCTCTCCCAGATATCGTCGACACACACCGTTTGCTGCGCCACACACCGTTTGCCTTACAAGGCGACACCTGTAGCCGTTGCCTTGCTGGCCAAATAGGCGCCCCTGTTCACATTCTGCCATGCGGTGGCGGTGGCCGGCGGCCGGGCCGTCCTGTGACCTGATCGCCGGGTGCGCTGTGACCGGCAGCTGCGTGGCCACCATGCTGCGGGACGTGCAGCAGGACGTGGCGACGCCGCTCACCAGCCGGCCCAGCGTACAGCGCTACCTGGGCGCCCGCTACCGCATCCGCATGGGCAACCGCGTGCCGCCCTGGGCCTCTGACGAGGACGCTTGCCGGGCCATGCTGAGGTGGGTCAGGAGACGGCTGCTTTCGTGCCATGCATAGATGGGTCAGGAGACGGCTGCCGACGAGGGTTGGGTAGCTGTTCACAGGCTCGGGCTTTGTGAGGACGGTTGATGTGGTGTTTGGTTCAGTTTTAGCTCCGAGGGGAAGGTGGCACTTGGGATAGTGAGCGAGTTTGGGCGGGGTTTGCAGACTTGAGAGCAGGTTGTAGACGTTTGTGGGTATTGAGTCGGCCGCAGGGCAATGCATTGGCTAGAAGTGTTGGCACGCCCGGGTCGACCGGTGAGGCGACAGTGAAATATCAACGCGTGAGGGATAGACAATGGCCAACGCGGTATCGCTGACGCAGTCAAGCTCATTGCATGGCTCGGGAAAGTGCGTTCCGGGTTTTTGCGTATTGCAAAGCGACGTCAGCTGTCGTGTGTCAGCATGCGTCAAGCGAGCTTTTCTGCTCCGTGACGCGTCTGGACCGTCGGCCGCCTCACCCGTCCGTCTGCGCTTGCCCGCTCGCCTTACCCGCCTGCTTCACCCGCCCATAGTGACACGGTGATGATCCACCTCAAGTCGGACCAGGACAAAGCGAACGCGCTCTGCTTCATGATCCGCAAGCTGTACGCTTACGTGCGCAAGGACTGCGCGGCCGAGAGTCTCGACAACCCAATGCTCTGGGTGAGTGGCCGATTACGCAGTCTTCAGAAGGAAAGAGGCGCTTGCTCGCTCTGGTGCTGCGGGCACGCAATGAATAGTAATTCCGGCGAACTTCGTGATATGGCGTCCCCCTTGTGTGTGGTGTGGAGCCCAGCACGGTGTGCCGCGCTATCGAGCAGTGGTATGAGCCGGCGCGCCTGCTGCCGTCAGGCACGCGTGGAACAGGGCCGTCGGTTAGCCTGCTGCCGGCTGCGGCTCCAACGCTTTGTGTATGCGGCGTCGAGTCTGCGCTGTCGTGATTATTCTGCCGCGATACGGTCGCTGGTCCACGCCGCCTGCACCTGGTTGGGGAGAGACCAGTGCAGCCACCCCAAGCCGACCAGCTGACTGGAGGTATCACGCTCTTGGCTGACTGCCAACCGTCCACCGGCTCCCCTCTATCGCAACTGGACCGGCAATGCGACGCGAGCGCCGGTGGCAGAGGCGCACCTGCGGAGACCGCTGAGTGGGTGGAGTTGGAGTTGTGCGCGGATGCCGCCTCGCGTGGCGCTGCCGCTCACGGACGCCCGCGCTCGCAGGAAGTGCAGCAGGGCAGCTACCTGTACCAGCAGCTGATCAAGAACAAGGTGCAGACCTACATGGCGAACTTCAGCAACGTTATGCTGAGGCGCTACAACAAAGACCCGATGAGCTACGAGATCTCCGACGGTAAATGCCGCGTTCTGTAAGCATGGATGGACGGCGCTGTCGAGAACTGTGCTTTTGAGGAGCTCCCGTGATTAGACACGTTTGAAGTGTCCCTCGTATGGTGCTGTTATCAGCGCGTGTGGATAGAATGGAACACTTGAGCGTCGCTGTCATTTATTATCACTGCGGTGTCATGTAATTATGTTCGTGTGTGGCTGCATTATGGACATGAAGGCGACCACTCATGTTCATAAGGTTATCGCTGTGCGCGAAAAGGCCTTCACTGCTGGTCAGGTACCGAATGGCACTGAATGGGCGTGTCCAGCGCCCCACATTCCATCACCGAATCCCGACCTCGCATCGCCACAGCTATACGTCGTCGCTGCTCGCTGACATCCCCCCCCCCACGCGCAGGAGAGGTGTCACAGTGCTTAAGTGGCGTGCAGCCGATCGGACAGGCCGTCAGCATGTTCATCACCACGGGCAACCTGCCGCTGCTGCCCAACACGTTCTGCTCCGACTCGGTCGGTCTGTCGGTGACGGCCGAGAAGATCAGCTACACGCGGTACATGTCCCACTTCCGCGCCATCCACCGGGGCAGCTTCTTCTCCACCATGCGCACCACGTCCGTGCGCCAGATGCTGCCCGAGGCCTGGGGTGAGTGCGTTGGCCGCCGCCAGGGAGGGGGGGGGGGACTACCCGAGACCTGGAGTGAGTGCGCCGGTCGCGGCCGGGCGGGGACGAAGCGCTGCGACATCGCGTGGGTGACGTGCAGGTGGGGGAAGGACACATGGAAATACACGGTTCGCGGGGGAAGGACACATGGGTCTGTCGTGGGGGGATGCGGAGGTCGTGTGGAATGGATGCACAGATCGCCTGACAGGGATATGCAGGGCGCAGAGCGGGGACGCGTAAGTGGAGGGGGTCGCTGTGTTGGCGTTCGGCTTGGCTTCGGGGCGACGAGACTTGAGCTTGTGGCCTGGATTCGGTATCTATAAACTGCACATTGCAGTGTAGGGCCAGGTATGTCAGCTGTGTCTGTTTCGGCGGACATGGGTGGATGGGAACAAAATATGTTCTATGGACGTTCCGTGTAAAAATAAGTCAAATGAGGGCCAACGGAACTAAAAGTGTTCCCACATTTGCCTGCAATTCCATCCGACCGTGTCTGCCCGCCCGTTTGACCGTGTCTGTTCACCTGTCGGACCGTGTCTGCCCGCCCGCCTGACCATGTGTGCCGGTCGGCAGGCTTCATCTGTCCGGTACATACGCCGGACGGGGCGCCGTGCGGTCTGCTGAACCACCTGACCACCACGTGCCGCGTGACCAGCGGCCAGCCGGACCGCGGCCACCTCGCGCGGCTGGTGCTGGGCCTGGGCGTGACGGCCGTCGGCCAGCCGCGCCCCGCCCAGCGGGTACGGCACGCACCGCCGCGCCGCCGTGGCGAGGAGGCGGTGTGGCGCCTGGACGGGGCTGCGTGGAGTTGTGTTAGGCGTTGGAAGAGAGGGCGTTGTAGGATTGTTGTATAGTGTAATGAAAGATAGACTTGTCTGCTGCCCACGTAGATGGGGTAGTAAGATAGGTCCGTTTCCAGTCGACCCTAAGTGCTGTCATACAGCTGAACCTGTAATGTGTGCAGGTTTGAGGTGTTTGCAGATCATGTAGATGTGCAGTGTAAAATGTGAGCAACTTTTGGGACATTCAGTACGTAATCTTGCCTGCTATGCCTACTTGTCTAACCAGTTTTACCCCCTGTTGACCGGGGCCTGTTTTTCCCATTCCTGTGTTCCATTTCCGGGTTCTTATCTTTTCTTAGGTTCCTCGTCCTTTTCTACCGTTATTGGATCAGTCACCTTCCTTTCATGCCGTGCGTGGCCGGCGGCCCCTGACGACCGATAACCCCTGCCCGGCCGGTGACCCCTGTCCGGCCGGTGGCCCCTGCCCGGCCAGTGATCGCTGACCTCGTTGCCGCAGTGTTACACGGTGCTGCTGGACGGCACCGTCATCGGCTACCTGAGCCACAGCGCCGCCGACCGGGTGGTGGAGAAGCTGCGCTACATGAAGTGCCACGGAGAGGTCAGACCCCCTCCGCATCTGGTCGCCCCCCGGCTTTCAGATACACCCTGGGTGGTGCCGCCTGCCGGGGGATGTTTCGCAGACCTTTTTGCGCGCCATGTCGCGTGGTTTGTTACTGACGGAGTGCAAGCTGAGGCCTGCCTGGTGGTTCGTATGGAAGGAATATGTTCGTGGTGTAGAAAAATTGCGGTGTATCTGTTTACAGACTGCTATGTCTGTGTGCTAAGATATGCGATTTTCAGGCGGTGGGGCGTCTGATTTTTAGACGTCTCTTTGGCCGACCGTTGTCGGTCACATTCAGCTTTTGAACGGCGTGCGGTCTGCCACTGCCGCCCGACCCATCTTTCCCTCGTGATCCGGGTCCAGCGCGCGCTCCGCACACGCCGCCGACTAATCAGCGCGCCGGCGGCAGGTGTACGAGTACCTGGAGGTGGCGCTGGTGCCGGCGCGCGGCCCTGGCGGCCAGTACCCGGCGCTGTACCTGTACTCGAGCGACGGGCGCCTCATGCGGCCGGTGCTGAACGTGCGCTGCCAGCGGGTGGAGTACATCGGCTCGCTGGAGCAGGTCTACCTCAACGTGGCCGTCCGGCTGCACGAAGCAGCGCCCGAGGTCAGAGGCGGCGTCAGCAGCGGGGCAGAGGAGGAGGGGTGTGGGCGGAGCGCCCAAAGTCAGAGGCGGCGTCAGGAGCGGGGCAGGGGAGGAGGAAATGTGGGCAGAGTACCCGAGGTTAGAGGCATCGTCAGGAGCGGGGCAGGGGAGGAGGAAGTGTGGGCAGAGTACCCGAGGTTAGAGGCAGTGTCAGGAGCGGGGCAGGGGAGGAGGGGTGTGGGCGGAGCGCCCTGAGTCAGAGGCGGCGTCAGGAGCGGGACAGGGGAGGAGGGGTATGGGCGGAGCCCGGGCGCAGATGAGGTGCAAAGGAGGTGGACGCAACGCCGGGTGCTGGGAAAGGGAAGATGTCGGTCTCGAATCATGGTGATGGAAAGCACGTTGTCCTAGACATCGTGGGAGACATGCCAGTACAGGGGAAATGGAAGGTGTCTGGGTTAATCAAAGGCTGAAGATGAAGAGCTCGGTGGCCGGGGAAAGTTGTTCTGTCATTACGTGTTGTCGACTGGCGAATGGATGTTTTAGCTCAGTGGCCGAATGGTGAGTCAACAAGTGTGATGGCGTCGGTTCGGGGGTACCGCGGGCTGTTTTTTTTTATCTTCGACGGTCGTGGGAGAATGGATGGAAGGCTAAATAGCCTGAAATGGTGAATGGAAGGCTTAACCCCAAGTTCTTAGTGGGCGGGGTGCTTGTATGAAGTCTAGAACTGTTCGGGAGGATTCTAGACCGTTGCAGGATTTGTAACGTCAACTGGATTTGAAGGGCACTAAGTGCAGTCGGTTTTGGTGTGTCTTGTGCAGAGGCGCTAATGAACAGCAGCATCCCTCAGCAAAAGCCGCCTGCACCCGTGTTTTCTAATCGAGATAAAGGATATTAAAGGCCCTCGAGATCGAGATGGCTGAAATCGAACGTCCCGTTAAATGACATCTGTGATATCGAACGCCCCGTAAAATTGAGATGTATGATATCGAACGCCCCGTAAAATCGAGATGCACGGTATCGACCGTCCCGTTAAATTGAGATTGATGATATCGAACGCCCCTTGACCTCCTTGAATTGTTTTCCGGTCCAGGTACTGCTAGAATTGAGTGCAGAATGAGGCTGCTGGGTAGTTTCGTATTGGCCATGTGACGTCACTACAAGCCTTGTGATGACGGGCTATGAGTAGCTGACCGCACTGGAGCCTTGGCTAACGTTCGGAGAGGAGTGAGATTTCCCGGCTCGTGAGAAACGCTGCGATGGTCTGACCACGGCTGTGAGCCGGAGCCTGGCGTCGGTGTCCGGCCGGTGCTTGGTGCTGGAGCGCCGGTGTCCCGCGTCGCCCTGCCGCCCTGGCCCGGTGCAGGCACAGTGCGGCCGCCGGGTGACGGCCGCTTGCCCGCCGCCACAGACGTACACGCACGTCGAGCTGGACGACACGTCCCTGCTGTCGCACCTGGGCCAGCTGGTGCCGCTCTCAGACCTGAACCAGTCGCCGCGCAACATGTACCAGTGCCAGATGAGCAAGCAGACCATGGGTACGCCGCTGCACAACTGGCGCGCGCTCTCCGAAAACAAGATCTACCGGCTCCAGGTGAGACAGTGGGACTCAGCGAGCTAACGGTCTGCCGGGATGGGATTGTGGGTCTTAGCAGTACACGGTCTACGGGCTCTAGGAGAGCACAGGTTTCGTGCGGTGTTTGGTGGTCAAAAGATGAAAAAATTGACCCCCTAGGATCTGTCACACTAGATGGATTGGAACATGAATGTGGGTGCAGGGCCTGCCGACTCAAGGAAAGCGTACTGATCTCACGAGAGATGATGGCAGATAGATGGGGGCAGATGATGGAGCGGGACCCATCGTGAGAGATGGACGTGTAAACGATGAACACTACCGGGATGATACACCCGCTGCAGGCTAGATGTGCTCGCTGGAGATAGCCCTGTCATAGACTATCGCGCTGTACAAACGAGATTGGCCGCCGCCCGAAAAGATGTGTAAAGCCCAAGTTCCTTGAACCCCTGTGATTGAAGTACTACCAGCCGTTTCGTCACGGCCGGTATAGCACGGCCGGCGAGTTTCTGTGATGTCACGGGCGGAATTAACTTGTCGTTCCAACAAATAATCATAGGACGGCTCTGCTGAATGTTCAAACGAAATGATTGAGGTTATAGGTGCAGTAAGTATTGGGTGCTTTGTTTATCAGTTGGCTTGTAATGCCGTCGTGGAGGGCACCGTCCCTTACTGTTGGTAGCCTTGGTAATAGTTCTATGCTGGGCCCATCAGTACTTTGTTGCCTCAGTCTTGGCGCAAACTCCTGTTTGCACCTGACTGTAGAAATTGCCTCGTTCCGCTGGGCTGTCCTCGCGGGCGTCGTTCCGGTCCGTAACATACCTGGCATCTGTTATCTGTCTCTCGGTCAGTGCGGATGTCCCTCTACCTGTCTGTCCGTGTGTCTGCCTGAGTGTATGACTCGAGTCTCTGCTGCAGACGCCTCACAGTCCGCTGTGCCTACCTGTCCGTATGTCTACATGTCTGTCTGAGTGACTGACTCGAGCCTCTGCTGCAGACGCCTCACAGCCCGCTGTGCCTGCTTGTATGTATGTGTGCCTGAGTGACTAACTCGAGGCTCTGCTGCAGACGCCTCACAGTCCGCTGTTCCGGCCTACACACCATGACGCCATCGACATGGACGACTTCGGCCAGGGCACCAACGCCATCGTGGCCGTCATCTCGTACACGGTGAGCGCCGTCGCGCGTCCTGCACGACCGGGGGTGTGCCGCCGGAGTTGGGGAATGTTTCGTGCAGATTGATGGCGCCCGAATCTGGTGACGACGTTCGAGTTCATGCCACAAACGACGTCACCGTGTACTGAATTGACGATTTGCGGCTAATGACCATAACAGCGGCGTGCAAGCGTCGTTGTAGTCTTCACACAGACCGGCACCGGTTATCCAATTAGTAAAACAGCGGTGGTACTTCGCGCTGGTATCCAGTGCGCGTAAGATCAGTGAAGGGAAGCCCGCTGCTGACCGCTGATGACCGGCGAGCGAGGCCGTGAGACGAACTTGTGGCGCGGCTGGTCGATGAGCAAGCAGTCAGGCACTTGTGACCCAAATAATCACTGAGAGGGCGCTGTTGCCGGGCGCTGTTAAGTGTCAACTCGACCGTGCTGATAGAGCAGCTGGATCTTCGAACAGTTGCGGAGGTTTGCAGTTGTCGCCAGAGGCGTTGCATGTTGACCGTCCAGTCGGATAAGATTACCCAAACGTCGGACAGCACTGCTCCCTCTCTCCCCTCTCCTTCGTCGGACCGCCGGCTGCCCCCGCCGCAGGGACGGCACCGCCCCTCCCCTCCCCCTCCCCACCGTTGGCGGTGCCGGGTCGTACAGGCAGCCCCGCGGTGGACCACTGTCCGGTCCAGTCACCACGCCGTCAGCGCTGGCGGCTGACAACAGCAGCGCCGTCCGGCAGCTGGCGGCCGGCGGTGCCATGGGCGCGGAACGACGCGAGGCGCGGGCCCCACTGAGCGCTGCGATACGCTGCTGGTAACGGCAGCGCCGTCCGGCAGCTGGCGGCCGGCGGTGCCATGGGCGCGGAACGACGCGAGGCGCGGGCCGCACTGAGCGCTGCGATACACTGCTGATAGCGGCAGCGCCGTCCGGCAGCTGGCGGCCGGCGGTGTCATGGGCGCGGAACGACGCGAGGCGCGGGCCCCACTGAGCGCTGCGATACACTGCTGGTAACGGCAGCGCCGTCCGGCAGCTGGCGGCCGGCGGTGCCATGGGCACCGAACGACGCGAGGCGCGGGCCGCACTGAGCGCTGCGATACACTGCTGATAGGTTGCTGGCTGGCGCTGACTTAACGTACACTGCGTTGCGGTTTTGTTGTGCGAAAACCGGAGTGGTCAATGTCGCACACGGTTGTAGTTGGGATTGTGCTGACCTGTAAGGATACCGGGAGAAAGTCCACGCCCCCTAAAATCTCAGGTGATCACAATGGTAGGAAGTCGTCCGTTTCCTGTCATTCGTTTGTTTGTGCTACGAATTGCGGACCAGGAGCATCTTGGGGTTTTATGCCGGGGAGCAATGTCAGCCGAAGATGAAATATTTGTAATGAGGCGACCGCTACACATCAGGCCGGAGGCTGTCCGAGCATGGAGTATCTGTCAAACCATACCACCAGCCCATCTGTGGGTTACATGTCGGCTGCCGTTTGGCGTGTATGTCGGCTGCCGTTTGGTGTGTATGTCGGATGTCGTTTGGTGTCTTATGGTCGTCAAACGCGAACATGCCTGCCGGCGCAGGGGTATGACATGGAGGATGCCATGATCATCAACAAGCACGCTCAGGAGCGCGGCATGGCCTGCGGCTTCGTTTACAAGACCAGGGTCATATCGTTGAAGAATGAGAAGCGAGACAACCATGTGAGTACTGAGCCACTTTGTGGTGTGAACTGTGAACGCTCGTAAATGCCGCTGGTAGGTGGGTATGAATACCAGCTCATGCTGGACATGTACGTTTCGATACTCAGCTTGAGTCGGAGGACACGAGGGAATCGGCCGTCCCGCGTTGGACCGAGCCGGCGAGCAGACGCCTGATGTGCGCCCTCGGCTACCTGTCTGCTGTGGGCTGCGCGGCTGGAACAGCGGGAGGGACTCGGCTCGGTCGGCCCTGTCGCCGCGTGGCGGTCGGGGGTCGGTCAACGGCTGCCGGCGAGCGCTCCGGCCTCGCGGCGTGAGGTGGAGCCGCGGGTCCTGCAGCGGGGGGCCGCACCCGGTGGGCCATTGCCCGCGTCCGGTCGCTGTTTTCGTGTCAGACGAGGGATCGATGGACTGACATTAGCAAACGTCACCGGCGGCGATCGTCCGACCGGAGACCGTCCGCTCTTGGAGTGGCGGCGAGAGCTGATATGAAACGGATTTCGCTTACTGAAAGAATGTTTTCGTTTCATAGGCGGGAAGGAGTTTTGTCTGCACCCCGCAAAAATTCTGCGAAGTTTTGCGCTGGATAGAAGGCTAGGATCGCACGGCACCACGCGGTGTTCTTTGCAATACGGCAGTGTCTTAGCCCATGCCTGGAATGTGTCGGTGTTTCAGTTCTTGGGTGTTGACTGTGTTCCCGATGGAATGAATCGCCTGCGCTGTAGTACCATGGGACGACCCCAAACACGGTGCATGATTTGTACATTCATGCTTTACACATCACTCGCCCGCCATCGCCGGCGGTGGTGGTGCTGCGAGCACAGGCGTTCGGTGTCATGTCGCCGCGGCTCCTCACAAGTCGTTTAAGAATGCATGATGGCGTGAGTCGTCCGGGCTCTTCCCAGAAGCTCGGCCGCCGTCCACCAAGCGCTGCACTTTGGCCCGACGCTCCATACCCGCTTTGCAACAGACCCGGCGCCAAGCTAAACATGGCTTCTCGAGACGAGGCGCTCTCGACGGGTGCGAGCAGAGCGTTCTCAGAGCGTTCTCATGCCGGGTGTCACGTGGTTCAACACGAGCCGTCCGTCCAGCACTCCGCAGTCGTTGCGCGGACGCCTGCGCCGGGTTAGCCGCTCGGCCCGGCCGTCGGGCCGGGCTTGATCGGCGCCACGGCGGGAGGCACACGCGCCAGCTGCGTGTCCCGTCACCCGGGACGGTCGCGTCTCAGCGAGCTGGCTCCGTGCCGTCTCACTGGCGGTCACTGCTGGCGTCGGTGCGTTCGCTCTCGTCTCACTGTCGCGGCCCGGCTGCAACGGCCCGTCCCTCGTCCGCCGCCGCGTCCGGACGGCGGCCGCTCGAGGCCACCGGCCGCCTCCGGTCGAGGTCCTCGGACGGAAGCAGTGGGCGGGGCGCGCGTCCGTCCGCCGGGGGCGTGTCACCGCTCGGGCCGCAGCGCCAGCGCCAGCGCCAGCGCAAGCACGGCCAGCATCCAGAGGGCGGCCGGCGGCCGGCGGCGCGTCCCCGCGTTGCATAGGCGCGTGTCGCAGAGGCAGAACTCGGTCTGGCTGTCGGAGGTGTTGGCCGGCCGGCAGCCGAGCGGGTGCCGCAGGCCGAACCACGCCTCGCGCGCCGCGCAGCCGCGGAATTCGCCTGTGGACGCGACGGCACGGTCAGAGTCGGTCCCTGCTGATGAGAGGTGCCCGCATTCGACGAGGGGCCCGGCCCGCCGACATGGGCGCCGGCCCGCCGGGTGATACGGCAATGACAGCTAGGGAAGGTCATCCACTGGAGGGGGCGGTACCTCGAGTGGAAGGGTCACCGCTGCATGGGTGTGTTTGGCGTCATGGACGCATGTCCCCCGTCGTCATGGGAGAAAGCAATTTAAGGGTTTAAATATAAACTTGGAAAAACGAAACAGTGCGTGGCAGAAAGCTGAACCGGCCATCTGGTCGGTCTGACCTTGAACCGTGACGACCTTTGGCAGTGGCTCCGATCCCAGCCCGACGTCTGTGTTGCGTGCGGTCGCCGCAATGTGTATATTACGCGGTTTACAACCAATGCATCAGCAGCTGTCTTAAAGAAATTCGCGGAAGTATTCACTCATATGCTGGCGTTTCACCTTGAGGCCGGCACGCATGTCGTTAACCCCCCCTCCTCCGGGCCACCGCCACCGTCTCCTCTCCCCGGGCCACCGCCACCGTCCCCTCTCCCCGGGCCACCGCCACCGTCCCCTCTCCCCGGGCCACCGCCACCGTCCCCTCTCCCCGGGCCACCGCCACCGTCCCCTCTCCTCCGGGCCACCGCCACCGTCCCCTCTCCCCTGGCCACCGCCACCGTCCCCTCTCCCCGGGCCACCGCCACCGTCCCCCTCTCCCCGGGCCACCGCCACCGTCCCTCTCCCCGGGCCACCGCCACCGTCCCCTCTCCCCGGGCCACCGCCACCGTCCCCTCTCCCTCCGGCCACCGCCACCGTCCGCCCACCGTCCCCCTCTCCCCGGGCCACCGCCACCGTCCCCTCTCCCCGGGCCACCGCCACCGTCCACTCACGGTCCTCCTGGCCGGTGTAGAGGGACGCCGTCTTGGCGCAGATCTCGTCGTCGGCGCAGGTGACGGTGAACAGGGACCAGGTGAGCGCGTTCCGAAACTCGCGACATGAGCCGCCCGGCTGGTCCGACACCAGGCCGCCGCAGGCGTAGCAGTCGATGCCGGCGGCTGCGGCGGCGGCACAGCCCTGTCAGCCGGGAGTGGGGGGGGGGGGGGTCTGGGGGCGCAGACGAGGACCCGCCCGGCTGGTCCGACACCAGGCCGCCGCAGGCGTAGCAGTCGATGCCGGCGGCTGCGGCGGCGGCACAGCCCTGTCAGCCGGGCGTGGGGGGGTCTGGGGGCGCAGACGAGGACCGCCCGGCTGGTCCGACACCAGGCCGCCGCAGGCGTAGCAGTCGATGCCGGCGGCTGCGGCGGCGGCACAGCCCTGTCAGCCGGGGGGGGGGGGGGGCTGGGGGTGCAGACGAGGACCGCACGGGCTCTACGTTGGCGGGGGGGGGGGGGGAAGTGGCGCCTGGTGGGCCCGCACGCCTGTCGTTGTAGGTAGAGGAAGTAAAAGTAGAGAAGGAATATCGAAGCTATAGAGAGGTTTTGTATGACGGAGATGTCAAGGTCGTCGATCACCACGATAAGCACCGTTTATACGGCTCCTTAACGACGCTGCTCTTCAAATGAGCAGATATTACCCGTATCTAACTCGTGTGATGATTGATGACCGAGATTGGTGACATATTCCATCTTCACGTGGTTACCGGGCTGGCCGGCGCGCCGAAGCACTCCGGCCTCCCGGCTGTTTGTGAGCCGTCCGGCGCGGCGGGACGCGCTGACGCCGCGGGAACGCCCCGGCGTGGGCGTCCTCCCAGGACACGTGGTCTGGCCGGCGCGTGCGTGGCCGAGGCTGCCGGCGCCAGACGCTGGCGCCGCTGGTACGACACGGTGACTCACCCCACTCCCCCCCCCCCCCCCACACACACCCGCCCACCCTCACTGCGTGGGAAGAGGCGCGGGTCGAGTGACGCCCCCCGGCGTTGGTTCGGCGTGCCAGCGCGGTCGCCGGCGGTCCGGCGGCGGCCGGCCGGACGCGGAGCTGCTCCGCGGCGCGGCGCCGCGGTTAGGCCGGCTGTAGCACGTGTCAGGCGCTGGCCTGTGTCGGCGGCGGGGGGGGGGGGGCGCCGCGGTCAGACCGGCTCTAACACGTGTCAGACGCTGGCCTGTGTCGGCGGCGAGGGGGGCCGCCGCGGTCAGGCCGGCTCTAGCGCGTGTCAGGCGCTGGCCTGTGTCGGCGGCGAGGGGGGCCGCCGCGGTTAGGCCGGCTCTAGCGCGTGTCAGGCGCTGGCCTGTGTCGGCGGCGAGGGGGGCCGCCGCGGTTAGGCCGGCACTAGCGCGTGTCAGGCGCTGGCCTGTGTCGGCGGCGAGGGGGGCCGCCTGCGGTTAGGCCGGCTCTAACACGTGTCAGGCGCTGGCCTGTGGCGGCGGCGGGGGGGGGGGGGGAGGGGCCCCCTTCCGGACACACTTACTGCAGGGAGAGCGCGGCAGCTGGCCAGGCCCGTGCGGCGGAGCTGACCTGGCGCCGCCAGCGCTCACGCAAGACGTCTAGAAAAATTCCTGTAACTTTTGAGTGGGTAGAGCCCGCTGAAGAAACCTTGTAGTTGTATTCTTCCCGTAAACAGGCAATTTCTCATCTGAAAAAGCCGCGTTCAGATCCAACAGATCTTCGACAAATTGAACATTACTTATTTTGCGCTCTGTCTTCGGCTGTGACAATGTGGGCGATTGTCCGCCATGCCTGGCTTCCATGGAGTCTGCACTTAAGCCACAAGTTGCAGCGTGAGGCGTGAGGAAGAAATTCTCGACACTAGAAGGCCACGGAGCGAAGACGAGTGTATGCCGCATCTTTGCTCATTGGACTAGAAACGGTTGTTGGATGAGCCAAACTCCTGAAGAGGGGTTGGACCTGCGGAAAGGATGTCCTTAAATAAGTACATTAAACATCACCGCACGCTCCGTCTCGGCGCTGCGGGGGCTATTTTTGGAATATTGATTGGCTGATTGTCCCACTAAAAAGCATCTCAGAGAACCGTTTTAGCGAGCGCAGACTGTCAGTCAGCCGTTTCTGACAGGACACGTAACGTACAACCCTGTCGCTGTCGGGTTGTTCCAGTCCTGGTTCACAGGCATCGTCTGGATCGGCCTGGTCCTGGTCCGCGGGCGCCGTTTGGATCGTCCCGGTCATGGCCCGCAGACTCCGGTCGGATCGTCCCGGCCCTGGTCCGCAGACTCCGGTCGGATCGGCCTGGTCCTGGTCCGCGGGCGCCGTTTGGATCGTCCCGGTCCTGGCCCGCAGACTCCGGTCGGATCGTCCCGGCCCTAGTCCGCAGACTCCGGTCGGATCGGCCCGGTCCTGGCCTGCAGACGCCGGCACGTGCGGACGCTCGGTGGTGGCCCGGAATGTAGGCGGACGACGCACGGCGGAAGTGACGTATCACGCCGAGATAGGGGCTCGGGCGAACGTGCCAAAGACCTGGGCGAACGTCTCGCGTCGTGCCGAGGCTGAGGTCTGGGCGGACGTCTTGCGTCGGGTCGAGGTCTGGGCGGACGTCTTGTGTCGGCTCCAGGTCTGGGCGGACGTGTTGTGTCGGCTCCAGGTCTGGGCGGACGTCTTGTGTCGGCTCCAGGTCTGGGCGGACGTCTTGTGTCGGGTCGAGGTCTGGGCGGACGTTTTGTGTCGGGTCGAGGACTGGGCGGACGTCCCGTGTCGGTTCCAGGTCTGGGCGGACGTCTTGTGTCGGGTCGAGGTCTGGGCGGACGTTTTGTGTCGGGTCGAGGTCTGGGCGGACGTGTTGTGTCGGCTCCAGGTCTGGGCGGACGTGTTGTGTCGGCTCCAGGTCTGGGCGGACGTCTTGTGTCGGCTCCAGGTCTGGGCGGACGTCTTGTGTCGGGTCGAGGTCTGGGCGGACGTTTTGTATCGGGTCGAGGACTGGGCGGACGTCCCGTGTCGGCCCCAGGCCTGGGCGGACGTCTTGTGTCAGGTCGAGGTCTGGGCGGACGTTTTGTGTCGGGTCGAGGTCTGGGCGGACGTCTTGTGTCGGGTCGAGGTTTGGGCGGACGTTTTGTGTCGGCTCCAGGTCTGGGCGGACGTTTTGTGTCGGGTCGAGGACTGGGCGGACGTCCTGTGTCGGCTCCAGGTCTGGGCGGACGTCTTATGTCGGGTCGGGGTCTGGGCGGACGTCTTGTGTCGGGTCGAGGTCTGGGCGGACGTGTTGTGTCGGGTCGAGGTCTGGGCGGACGTCCTGTGTCGGGTCGAGGTCTGGGTGGACGTCCTGTGTCGGCTCCAGGTCTGGGCGGACGTCTTGTGTCGGCTCCTGGTCTGGGCGGACGTCTTGTGTCGGACTGAGCTGGCGCTGCTGCCGTGACCACCGAGCTGACGTCACGCGATGCGTTTTTGCGGTACGCACCGAGTCGGGCAAGATGCCGTCGATGCCGTCTCGGCCTTGGGTAAGACGGTCGGTTGAGGCGCTGTGTTGTACCATCTGTGTTATCATCATCCCCACTACGATCAGCCTCTGTTCCGAGCTTCAGTCAGGTTTCCAAATACCAAATGCCCCTTGTGACATGTCATAGCCAGTCGGTACTCGTAGCACTGGGAGTTCTAGAATAGTCCCTACTTCGCCAGTGTTCTCGGGATTAAAATCGCAGCAGATTGGGGGCCCAGCTCACTCCTCGCTTTTTTCGTCTTCCCGCCACTGACTGATTTGGTGCTGGTGCTGTCGGCTGGTGCCTTTCAGACAGATTTGGTCGCTCCCAAGTGAGTGGTCTGTATGGCACCTCCGGGGTTAAGTTCCGGATAATCCAATCAGCCCGGCTGGTAACCAAAAACGAGCGACGGCCGGTGACTTATGCGAAGCACGCGTTAAATGTTTGTGCCAATTTCAGCATATCTGTCGAAGCACTAAAGTGGACCCAGCGACGATCCGTCGCAGTTATCTGTGTGGTGGCTTCTGTCACGACACGGCTGTTCTTCGTCTGGGAGACACGAGTCGGGTGTTTACATTATGGCCTAGTCGGACGCTCGTCCTGCCCGCACATCGACTAAATATCGATTATCCGGTGAGCTTCTGCGCGTGCTCCAAACCGCGACCGGCTCTTCCCCAGGCGTGGAGTATCGGGTTATCGCCAATGAAGTGACCGGGTCAGCTATTTTGGCCGGCTGTCTTTTTTTGCCGCCTTGTTCGTTCGCGGGACCGCTGGTTTTTCCGCAGTGCTCCCAATTCAGCTGTGACGCGTCCCCACGCTCGATCTTTCTGTGCAAGCACCGAAAAAGCCTGCGATGCTGCCTCTGTCCTCACTGGGTGTCCGTGGGTGCTCCGAAAATACCCTTGGCTCTAGTGACGAGCGGGGGGGCCGTGGGCTGCTCGCCGGGCCCCGGGGCCGGTGCGGAGGCCGTTTGTGTTGTTTTGACGAGCCCGTGCGGGGCTGGGCCAAGGTCGCGGCCGGCACCGGCGGCCAGCCCTGGAGCCGAGGCGGAACGGCGGCCGACGCGCGCGCGCTCCCCGAGCTCCTCGCCAGCCGGCGCCGCCCGCCGTGATGGTGAGCTGCGATCCCTAGGGATATTCCAAAACGTCGCCGTTTCCGTCCTGGCCGCTGGGTCTGGCCCACGGGCTGAAAAACATGACTCGCTCATCTCCGGTGTGCAGGCATTCCGGCCAATGAGATCATCGGTTTCCGTCTGCGCTCCCCCCCCCCCCCCCTCCCCCTGTCTCCCCTTTGCCGTCGCGGGGCATCCCCAGCCCCGTATTTCGCCGAGAGGTGCGTCCTTCTGGCGACAGTCTGGTCCGCACAGTCCGCACTGTGAAGTCTCCATACGTATGTCTGGAACGGTTGGAGTGGCTTCTCACCTCTCCTGGTTTTTCAGCGGAATCATCGGCTTTGGTCCACACAGAAAACTTTGTGGGCACTATTCCTCTGTGCGGGGTATCTAGATAACGACAGCGGATATAAAGAAACAGGTCCGGGTTGAACAGCTTAAACGTACATTTGCGGCCATCGCCTCATCACAACCGGCCAAAGCCTCGATTTTTGTCGGAAAATAGATCGGTCGAAATAGATCAACTGAACGTGGCTGGCCGGAAATATCGACAGAAATATCCATAATTTGTTCGGCCGTCTGGGGCTGTTGCCTCTGAGCTCCGTGTCGCCCTTCAGTCACGCACGTGACGCTGAAGACGCTCGCCGTTTGGATGACGGGTGCACGGTGGGGGTGAAGGATGGTCATGCGTGGTTATCGCTGTGGATTACCGGTGTGTGGATGCCATTTCTGATCGTCTTATGGGAACGTCTGGCTTTTGTCCGTCGGTCAAGAGCTTCGTGTGCTCTTTAGCCTGTTTGCTTCAAGGTAAACATCTGTGTTAAAGGATGTGTTTAGTCACGTTCCTCCGGTTTTCATCATTTTAAGGTTACACTGTTGTCTGGGTTCCGCGTCTGACACATCTGTTGTGCCTTTATGGCTTCCGCAGTCAACGGAGTGTGCGTTAAAGAGAAGGCCTAAATTGGCAGAGAGTTGACTGTGCTTCGTATTTTCAAAGATCCTTCAAGTAAATGTCAGTTCTCACCTTCGATGGAATTCAACATAGCTTACGTGAAGTCACTCGCCGGACTTCAAGTATTTTCAAGTATTTTTACAGTTGTTAGAAGTTGGTTTTGATACGAGCTGAGCTGGAGTGTTTTAAAATCGTGGTATCATTTAAAGGATTGACACCTATTTGCATTTGTTTGCGAAGTCTGATTTCTCGACACAGTTAATGGTTTTGTGCTCTTTTGCACGTACTTTTGTGGCTGGGACTTACAGCGAAGCCGGAAGAAGAGGGGGGGGGGGGGGGGGGGGTAAGAGCCGTACACGAGGCTGCACGAGCTGCAAGGGAGACTGCACCCATGGCACGTCCAGGAACTCAGGGGGATGTGATAGGCCTCAAAATGGTCAATCACCGTCATACGATAAATGTGACTGGAAGAGACATTCCTGTCGTTATTGCTCTTACGAAAGCTTCCTTCAGACATGAACACCACGTGCGGTTTCGCAGCGCCGCTCAGCGATTTGCGCCGACTCAGCTCGTGCCTGAAACCTTCCTGGCAGATCCTCCACCCGAGGCCGCGCTCGTGGCCGGCCGCCGTTGGTCGGGGGCGGTGCGCGGCTTGGTGTCGCCGCCGGCGGGGCGTCGGCGGTCCCATCAGCCCGGCGCACACCTCAGGCGCGAGGCGACGGCCGGTGTCCGGCTACACGGGCTGGGAGATGGGACGAGGGCGGGAGAGGCAGCGCTAGCCGAGGCAGAGGTGAGATCGAGCGAGGCGACGGCCGGTGTCCGGCTACACGGGCTGGGAGGTGGGACGAGGGCGAGAGAGGCAGCGCTAGCCGAGGCAGAGGTGAGATCGAGCCGGGAGTGAGGCGGGGAGAGACAGCGGTGGTGACAGGGTGGCGGACAGGCTGAGTGACGTGGGCGACGATGCCGGCACCCCGGCGGTCGAACGGGTAGCCGCAGCTGGGCGTCTCCGATCACCGAGCGGCGAGCCGACAGGCGGCCGGGAGAAGCCCCACACATTCCGACCGTCATTCATCAGGGCGGGACGAGTCTCGCCTCCAAACGTGGGCCGGGGCTCAGCCGGCACTGGCCCGAGCTCAGCCGGCGCCGGTCAGGGCTCAGCCAGTGGGGGGTCAGGGCTCAGCCGGCGCTGGCCGAGCTCAGTCGGCGCCGGTCAGGGCTCAGCCAGTGGGGGGTCAGGGCTCAGCCGGCGCTGGCCCAGCTCAGTCGGCGCTGGCCGGGCTCAGCCGGCGCTGGCCGGGGTTCAGCCGCCTCTGGCCGGGCTCAGCCGGTACTGGCCAGGCTCGCCTGCCACCCCGGCCGAGCCTGCCGCCGGTCGGACGCGTCAAGGTCGCGCCGCCTGTCTAGCCGCCAGCCTCTGCCGGCCTGAACGCCGCCAAAACACCCAAACAAACGGCACTGCAGGGCCGTCTCGGCGGGCGGCCGGCTGCGCCCGCCGCCGTGCCGGGATGCGACCGCTCCGGGGCCGTCGCCGTTAAAGGCGAGCGTCGCCGCCTGTACGTAACGGATTACAGCGGCGACCACGCGCGTCCGCCGCCGTGCCGGGATGCGACCGCTCCGGGCCCCGTCGCCGCTAAAGGCGAGCGTCGCCGCCTGTACGTAACGGATTACAGCGGCGACCACGCGCGTCCGCCGCCGGCCCCCGCCAATGTCCGCCCAGACCTTGGCTGCACCGGATGGCCAGCGTGGCTTCCTAGTGTGCCGGCGTAAGGCGACCAGGCTGGAGATGGGGCCGGTTCCTGGGCGAACGAAATATCCGTAGGGGTCCCGCGCCATCTACCCATGAGATCTTAGGCTTAACGTAGCATGATAGGTGCACTAAGCTTTGATGGCCGTGAGATCACTGCTTGATATGATGGTAATGTCATGGTTCTGCTAGATCGGTGCTTGATATTATGGTAATACCATGGTCTTGCTGCACGCAGTGCACGGGGCGTTAGCTGAAGCTACGGTCATTAGCGTTGCATCGTGTGCCTGGATGTCACGATCGGTTCAAAGCTGGCTGGAGCCCGTCTGGGCATGACCTCGGGTGTCGTTAAGCACCAGCACGTCCACGGATGTAGACGCTCGCAGGCACGGTGCCAGGCGTCCACGGACACTGCACAAACATGACAGACGGGAAAGTACAGCCGTCGTTTAAGTCGCGCCGCAAAAGTCGCTGCTGCTGGGGAGGCGCGGGCGCGGCGGCTTCGCTGCACGCGGACGTCGGCGAGCTTAACGCCCTAGCGTTGTGCGGCCCAGTTCTGACGGCAGGGTCGGGGCCGCGGGCCGCCGGCGGGACGCCCCCAGGCCAGCCACTGCTCAAGGCCGGCCGCCGGCGGCCAGGTGCGCGCCGACCGGCCTGCGGCTTCGCCAGCGGCGCGCGCGGGCGTCGCCTGGCGACACAGCGCGCTTACCTGCGGGTGCGGGGGCGAGCTGGCAGAGCAGGAGCGCCACCGCGTGCCACATGGCGGGCGCTCACGCCATGGCGGCCGGCGCGCCACCGATCTGTCGCGTCCCGGCACGATCTGTGTCAGCCGGCCGGCCAACGACGCGCGGACCGGGCGCCGCTGGGGCTGCCACCTGTCGGCCGGTCGGCGGACTACTGCCGCTGGCCTTCGTTGGCGGCCGCCCGCGCCGGGCGTGGTGAACGCGTGCCGTACATAGCTGATGTCGATCATGCATCTGTGCGCTTCTGTTCGCCGCCGGCATGTGCGGATGCCTGCGAGTGGGTTGGGGCTGGCTGGTGTGCCTCGTCTCGAGCGGGTGTTTGAGAGCGGTAAGGAACAGCGTCAGTCATCGATAACGATCGTGACTATGGCACAATCGACGACCAGATAGCGGGCGGGCGGGCGCTTGCCGCTGTCCGGTTTGGCAGGCTGTCGACGGGTTTCCGACATTTAGGCGGGCCTTGCCGCTCGCTCCTGCAGCGTTTTCCTAGCGGCCTCGCCAGCGGCGCGGGGTGCGTCCGGTGGCCTGCCCTCTCGCGGGTGGCACTCCGCCGCTCCACTCCAAGCTTGGCAGCTTGTGGCGGCGCATGGCTGCTGGTTGGTCCCACTCTCGGCGGCGGGGAGTCCCAGTCAAGGGTGGCTAACTTATGAGAGCCTCGTCCACGCACAGTTTTGGTCACGCGCGGGTGGCGACTGAATCTGCGGCCTTGTGGCACAGCATTCCGAAGTACAGTCGCTTGGACGCGCCGTCTGCGCTTACCTGAGACGACGCAAGGATGGAAGCGGGCCAGGTGTACGGCTATAGCTTTGTTGCCCTTACCTTCGTTGCTCTTCCCAATCTTTGAGGAGGGAGTTAAGATCATATTCCTTAACTCTCTTTGAAATGTACCGTTTAGCCTTGTCCTGTCTACGTTTAGATCGCGCTCGTGCGTTATGTCGCGCGTGCCCCTCGGTCCATGTCCCTCGGCTGCTCCTCAGTCGCTGCCTGCTGCCTTGCACGGAGCGGAGAGCCGCTGGACGTCCCTGATTGGTCAGTCGGTCTTGACGTCACTCGTGTCCCCGCCAAACAAGGTAGCATGCTCGCCAGTGTAGCGGCCGCTGACGGACCCGGATAGGCTCATGACCTCGTTTTGGCTGCACCACAGTTGCCCAGGTCATGTTCCTCACACGCCAAAGGCAGCGTTCGCCAGTGCCAGTTCGCGCCACGCTCTCCAGTAATGTTCCTTAGGGGAAGCCGGCCCGTTTCCTATCGGTCTGCGCCTCAGGCTGACACTACGGCCGGAGCCATTGGTAGAAAACGAAATACTGCTTCTGAAGGCATTGTTTCCGTTTTATTTAACGTATCTGTCCCGCAATATGATTTTAGCAAAACACATGCACAGTGCTGAGTAAGGCTAAAAATAATACCTGAAGTGTCTGATTTCGCAAGGTGCTCTTGGTCTTGCCGACCAATTGTTATAAATGCTATTAAAACACCAGTCAGCGGCGGTAGCTTGCACCAGAATGGAGCTCAACATCACTGCTCCAAACGGCGGCACCCCACTGATCTGTTGCACTGCACGCGGAATACAGGTCAGGGCCGCGCTCAGCGCCGGCCGCGCGCGGTCAGCGGAGCAGCTGGCCGGTGGTCATCACGTGCTCGCTGGGACGCTTCCGGCGACACCGGCCGTCGACACTGCCTCCGGCTGAGTTCAGTTCCGGGCGGTGGCCGGAAGCGGCTGCCGCCGGCGCGTGTGTCATGTTTGCGGCGTGTCGCCACGCGCGGCGCGGCGCCTGGCGCGCGCTGCTGACGTCACGCGTCCGATCCTGTGGCGACCGGGCCGGCGCCGGTGGCTGGATGTGACGGCGGCCCCGCCCTCGCTCCGACTCGACGTCCTCAGCTTAAGCACGAATCAGTCTCCATGTGTGTTTCCGTTTGCGTTGTTGAGGTTGGTGCCCTGGACCCCAGTGGGCGTGATGTTGTTCTGGGAGCTGACGCCTGGACTGCCGTTGGAGACGGGCCGTTTCACGTCGCAGGCGCGTGCGTGGAGCTCTGCTGTACTGGACGGCAGGGCTCGTGGGCGGGCCCACCCGGGGGCTCGAAGCACTGCCGTCCGACCGGCCGTGCCGCTGAGTGGCATCGCTCGTTACTGGACGCGTGTTGGCCGTGTGCCCAGCCCCATTCATCGCCGACTGCGCGCCGGGCGGCAGCAGGCACCCGTCGGACGGCGGTGTGGAGCCGAAAGCCTGTCCGGCGCCGCCTCCCTGACACGCGGCGTACTCCCTCCTACCCCTTCCCCCCACCCCTACCGCATCCCACTGGGCGGCGGAGGGTGACCTCCGCCGGGCCCGAGCTGCATTCTGGGTCCGACCCGGTGTCTGCCGCCGACACCTCGCGGCGCTGATGTGACGGCAAGGAGGCGCGCTAGGGCGGATGGAGATCCACGGCACCAGGTCCCATAGAACTGCGACAAAATCATCAGTTGGGATCGTTGCAGTCTGGTTGATGCAACGGATTGGTCTGACTGTTAGGATTATTTCCACGTGGATACTCAATGCCTGAATAAATTCAAGGCTACATGGATGTTCAGTTGTGCGTTTGGACTGGTTTAGACGAACTGGTTTGGACTGGTGTAGAACGTCCAACTGTTGGACGACCAACCAACGCCTCACGAGGGTGCCCACCGGTCAGTAACTTCGCAAGGGCGATATTCGTCACATCATTGTATCTGAGCTGCCTGATGTATGAAAGCCCAGAAAGAGATCTGGTGTGTTTAACCTCGCGTAAACTGTCCTATCAGGTAAAGATCAATATGGATATTTTCACTCTGTGAAATCTCGTTTTCGATTTCTTTTGAATGCTGTCTAAGGCTGCGCCGGCAATTTGCGACTGAAATGAATATGTTACGGTTCCAACGCTTTACTACTAAAATGAATGTGTTCCTGAACATTGTTGTACGCAATGACCCATGGTACTGGATGCTCACGAAGCTCAATGCGCGGCGATTAGGCCACACCCATAAAATAGATCAGTAATCATTTCAAAACCGAGGGACTTCGGGCACAAAACTGAACGCAACGGCCTAACAGCGGCATGTTGTCCGCCTTGCTGGCCGTAGAGCACGGGACGACATCACTGCGGTTCCTCCGACGGCAGCGGGTCACTGTCTGGGACGGGCTGGTCCTCCGGTGCCGCCTCGCCGCTCCCCTCTGCCGGCTCGGCAGCGTCGGTTCCGTCCGCCGGCTCGGCCGGCGCCTCCTCAGCCCCTGGCTCGGCGGTCCCCCCTTCGACCTCCGTTCCGGCAGTCTCCTCGTTGGCATCCGCGGCAGCCCCCTCCTCGGCAGCTCCATCTGCGGCAGCTCCCTCCTGGGCTCCTCCTTCGTCGGCTGCTCCCTCCTCGGCCGTCCCCTCCTGGGCAACTCCCTCGTCGGCAGCTCCCTCGTCGGCAGCTCCCTCGGCGACAGCTCCCTCGTCGGCTGCTCCCTCCTCGGCTGCTCCCTCGTCGGCTGCTCTCTCCTCGGCTGCTCCCTCGTCGGGTGCTCCCTCCTCGACTGCTGCTTCCTCGGCCGCCCCCTCCTTAGCTGCTCCCTCGTCAGCTGCTACCTCGGCATCCGCGCTAGAGCCGTTAGCGTCAGCTGCCGGAGCCGCCTCCTCGGCGTCGCCTACCGGGACGGTCTCTGCTCCGTCGGCCGCCTGCGTCTCCTCACCTTTGGTCGCCTCCGCTGCCCCGGCGGCCGGCTGAGCGCCCTCCTCACCCTCCACAGCCGGCGCGCCTGCCTCACCCTCGGCGGCCGGAGCACCTTCCTCGCCTTCAGCGGCTGGCGCTCCCTCCTTGCTATCGGCGACCACAGTCTTTTCGGCGCCGTCGGCCGGCGCGTCCTCGCCCTCGTCGGCAGTCACCAGCTTCTCGTCCTCGTCGGCGGCCGTGCTAGCGTCGTCCTCGGCCGCCGTCGAGTCGGCCACGGCTGTCTCGTACTCGGTCTCGCCGGCTGCCTCGCTCTCCGTGGGCGTCCTCTGGCCATCCTCGAGCTCCGACTCCTCGCCTTCGTCCTCGGTGGCGGTGTCCTCGTCCGAGCCGCTGCCCTCACCTTCCGAGCTGGTGTTCTCGTCAACCGCCTCCTCTTCCTCCACCTTGGCGGCGGCCAGCTCGTCCTGCGAGCACTCCTCGGGCGGCAGCGTGTCCTCGTCCGTCCAGTCGACGTAGCTGCCGGTGTCGTCGAAGCTGTCGGTGACGTCGAGCGTCGAGTCGCCGCTGTCCTCGGAGCCAACCGACACCACGATGTCGGGATTGACAGGCTTGGGCTCGGTCGACTCGGGGCTGTCTGTCCCCTCTTGATCCTCGAACGTGACGTTGCCAGCTATGGGTTGCGAGATGACGCCCACCGTGTTGTACATGGCCTTGGCTTTCTTCTTGGCCGCCTCGCGCTCCTGCAGGAGATCCGTTGCCCGCTTGCAGGCCTGTTCCAGGTCCTTCGCCTCCTGCTTGGAGCCACTCTTCCTGGCGATCTGGATAGCTTGGTCGAAGTGCTTGAGCGCCGCATCCACAACCTCCAGCTGCGTCTCGGCCTCGGCCAGCAGCCAGAGTCCGCGCATGATCCACTGGTTCTGCTCGCAGCGGCGCGCCTCTTTCACGCACTTGGTACCGTAGAAGCGCGCCGTCTCGTAGCGGCCCAGCTCGTGGTAGCAGGTGCCGATCTCGTGGTAGAGCCAGGTGCGCTTCTCTGGGCTCTTGGAGAGCGGGATGCGCTGCTCCCAGGCGTCGATGGCCGCCTGGTACTTGCGGAAGGTGGCGTGCGTGCGGCCGAGGTTGTCCAGCGCGCGCGCCCGCGAGTGGAGCAGACGCGGGTTGTCCCTGCTCAGGTCGAAGTCCTTGTTGTGCCACTGGAGCGCCTCGCGGTAGTGGCCAAGCTTGAGGTGGGCGTCGCCCAGCGCGCTGTACACGACACCCAGGTAGGCCTGCCGCCGCGGCAGCCATGTCAGGCTGTACGACTTGATGGCCTCCTCCGCCGAGACGCACATGGTGATGGCCTCGTCATAGGACCCACGCTGTAGGGCGCTGTCGATGTCTACCAGCTTCCGGGTAATGGTCTCGTGATTAGATTGAATTTTGTTCTTCTTCTCCTCGATTCGTTTCCTGAGCTGCTCGTCTTCGTCTTCGAACGTGGTCTTGCCCTCAGCCATTTTCTTTTGTATCTTGCGTGCGTACAGCGGCTTCTGCTGGCCCCAGAACTCTTGGCGAGTTTGCATGAACTCTAAAACTTCTGTGGCCTCTTTGACTATGTCATCTTTGCACGTGCCTGTGAGTTCTGGATGGTGAATCAGTCGTTGCAAAAAAGCCTTATCTTGGGATAGCTCTTCCAGCAAGGTTTTGCAGCCGTAGTCCTTTTTGGCATTATCCTGTTCGGTGGGAGTCTGCTTTCGCTTTTGACCCCGCCATGTCGCCGCTTGAGCTTCCTTTTCTTGTTTGTCTTGAAGCTGTTTCAAAACTTTACCCACACGGCAGAATCGGAGACCTGACTTTTCCCCGATGGAATTCTCGATGGCTTCAGCGGACTTCTGAATCCCCAGCATAAAATCTTCTATATCAGGTCGAAGCCTTTTACCCCGGTGAAAACAAACCAAGGCGTACTCAAATTCACCCTGCGCGTACAACGCCTCAGCCTTTTGTATGATTCCCGAGTTTGACGTCGGGTTGTTGGCAAGGGCAGCCTCAGAATCCTCTAGAGCTTTATCGTGTTCACCGAGAAGAAGGTAACATTTGCTTCTCATTGTTAAACATACTTCGTGATCGTTAGTTATTTGAAGGGCCCTTGAATAGCTTTGAATAGCTTCCTTGAAGCGTCTTTTCCTCACTAGAAAGTTTCCCTCTGTGAGGTTATATGAAAATATCAGCTCTTTGTCCTTAAGGTTTTCTTCAGACATGTTTCGGCTAGCTATGTATGTCCGGGTTGCTCTCAGTGATCACTTTGACTCCATCCGAGTTAAAACCACGCCGAAATTGGTGACTGCAATTTATAGGATGCACCTCAATTGTGTCGTAAAATATTGTGTGATTTTAGCTCGTGCTGGAGTATTATTATGACCTCCTTCCAGTGGCACTATGCAGCCGTACTGACTGTACCGTCTTGCTCACTTGAGCTAGCCCAGTACGGTTACCAGGACGTGCGTATGCAATACTATTTGTAAAAATAGAATAGAAGCCTTATGGGACATGACTCGGCGGATCGGCATAGGTGTGTGTGATGGGCAAAGCTGCCGGCTATTAAGAGACTATTAAGAGACAGATAAGTAGATGGCAACATCCTAGCTCAGCACTCTTGATGCTGGTTATCGTTTTCATGGGCTCGGCAAAGCTATCCGTATTGCTCTACATGTGCAATAATGACTACTGTCTCAGCCCAAAACGGGGCTGGGCTCTTCAAAAGCCTAGCCGTCGACCGAGTGGCGTGTAACATCACAAACGAATATTTCCAGATCGTGAATGTGTTCCGAAGAAATGACGTGGACGTGGAGGGCTTGGATCGTTTCATGGACTCGGACGGCATTCCCCATGTCGGCGTCCTCCTGGAGTCAGGAAGCCCCATGACATGGTAAGACTTGCTCACAAGGACTGCTCCCTCCGCTGATCCTGCTGCGGTGTAGCGGCGACCTTCGCTGTGTTAACTGTCTCCTTCCTTTTACGAAATGAAAACTTTTCTAACATTCCCATGTAAGGGAAACTCTGAAACGGGCGGTATATGGCCGCGAAGTCGTAGCGCCCTAGGTCCCAGTTACTACTAATGGAAATTTTCATAACATTCCCGTGTAAGTTGCCTTTCCGGAGCAAGTGGATCGTTCATAAGTGCTGTTCATGAAAGATTGAAAAATTATTTAGGGTTACTGAAAGTAATCGTTGTTAGGGATAGGGTCGCGTACATTTTTAACGGTGTGTGGCCTTTTTTCAAATTCTAGATTATTTCCGTTTTCTCCACAACCAGGAATCGGCCGTGCTGTGTGTCTGTGTCGGCACGTGGAATGTGCCGTTGGTGCCCGTGTTCCATCGCATAGACGTTTTTGAGGCAGCTGTTTTTTTTCATTTGTTTGTGCGAAGCTGTGGTTATTTTGTTGCTATTCTTCGTGCTGATATCGTGAAAAAGTTATTGCGGACGCCGAGACTATTCAGAAAAGTGTTTTCCTCTGGGAGAGACATAACGAATGTTTCGAGGCTCTCTACCGAACTGACTTCTGGGGGGGAGGGGGAGGGGGAGGGGGAGGGGAAGAGGGAGAGATATACATATATGTATATATATATATATATACATATATACATATATATATATATGTATATATATATATATACATTATATATATATATATATATATATATATATATATATATATATATATATATATATATATATATATATATGTGTGTGTGTGTGTGTGTGTGTGTAAGCCACTTTCTTCTACAAATGGATGTTACGAGTGACTGAAATGTCAGCATTGTCACCTTCGGAAGACTCTGACTAACAAATTCACGTGGTATCACCTAAATCGGCATCGATTCCTTATACTTATGAAGCCAAACCACAGAGATATTTGTGACGTGCGTTGGTAGTGGTTTAACGTTTCTACAGCCTTCTCCATAATAGCATCAAAGTTTCATTGACGAAAAATTGGCATTTGTCACAAGCTCATCGCTTTCTTGTCTACGCTTGTGACGAAGCCGCATTTTGTCTACCTCTCACAAGCTCGTCGCCTCCTTGTCCACAATTGTGACAAAGCCGCATTTTTATACCCACACAATTTGTGTGTCTTACGGTTGCCGCGTGATGGACGGGCTTAGGTCTGATTTACATTTAGTCTCGGGGTGCTTAGCTCTTTTTGTAGCATTTGTCATTGGCCAGTGTGTTGGAGGCGATCCCATTTTCTTTGACTTCGACGAAGCGGACGAGCTGATCCCGGAGCGGCTGATCCGAGCAGCCAATGCGTCGGACGCCAGGCAGACCGCCAGGAAGCTAATCAACAACAACTCCATGGCGCTGAAGCACCTGTCGAAATTCCGAACGCACGGCCCGACGACGACGCTTTCGGCGCTGGAGAGGCCCGTCGACGAGGACGACGACACGCCGGCGCCGAGGCGGGCCACCACGGCGAGGCCCGAGCCCGCCCCCAAGTTGACAGTGCACCAGAAAGTCGTGACGTCGGGCTTCCAGCGCTTCCGCACCGTGGTGATCACGGCCGCCCTGGCGCGGGGCCTCACCCAGCTCACGCCGGCCAGCCAGCAGCTCTTCAAGGCGGCCTGCATTGTCAAGCAGACGTGCAGCAAGGCGTTCGTGACGGGCGACGCGCTGACCTGGATCCTGCCGGGCGTGTCGCAGCGCGCGCGCACGCGGCTCTGGCACCGGCTGCTGTGCACCATTCGACCCAGCGAGGCGTGCCCCGTGGACGGCGGCTGGGGCGGCTGGGGCGACTGGTCCGACTGCAGCGCCACCTGCGGGGCCGTCGGCCAGCGCGTGCGCCGCCGCCTCTGCGACCGGCCGCGGCCGGCGCACGACGGTCTGCGCTGCCATGGCCGCGCCGCTCAGGTGCACTACTGCGTCTCCAAGGGCTGCGGCCTCGACGAGCTGGCCGGCTTCATGACCGAGCGCAACCCGTCGCAGCAGCTGGCGCTGCAAATCGTGCAGCGCCACGTGCACGCGCACCCCGAGCTGGAGACGCTCTGTGTGCGCCAGCACTGCAGCTACGAGCACGCGCGCGACGTGGTCGGCAACGCTAGCATCCAGGCGCTGTGGGCGTCGCTACACTGCCTGAAGCAGGCGGTGGCGTGCCCGATGGTGGGCGGCTGGACTGAGTGGTCGGCCTTCAGCGAGTGCTCGGCGGCCCCGTGCGGCGACGGGCAGCAGATGCGCTTCCGCGCGTGCGCCGACCCGCCGGCCAGCCTGCCCGAGGCACGCTGCCGCGGCAAGGCGTTCGCCGCGCGCGACTGCAGCGTGCCGTGCGGCACGGTTGGCGGCGGCGTCACCGCCGAGTGGGCGTCGTTCGGGCCGTGGTCGGCATGCAGCGCCGAGTGCGGCATCGGCACGCAGCAGCGCAACCGCGCCTGCCAGGTCGTCGCGTTGAGCGGCGCCGTCGCCGACGATGAGCCCGAGCTCGACAACGTGGACGACATGGCGTTCCGCCGGCGGCGGCGGCGGCGGTTGCGGTCGCGGTCGCGGCCGCCGCGCGACTCCTACAAGGGCCCGAAGCGGATCGAGCTGAAGTTAGCCCGCGGCAACGGCGCCGGCAAGCCGAGGCCGGCGGCGCCGGAGAGCGCGGTGACTCCACCGCCGGCGTCTCTCGGCAGCTCGGCGGCGCCAGTGGGCGGCGTGGACCCGGCTCTGTGCGGCGGCTCGAGCCGCGAGGTGCGCGTGTGCCAGCCGCAGTGCGCGCGCGACGGCCAGTGGTCCGAGTGGAGCGGCTGGAGCCGCTGCTCGGCCGCCTGTGGGCCGGGCGTTAGCACGCGCGACAGACTGTGCTCGGAGCCGGCGCCGGACGGTGGCGGCCGGCCGTGCGCCGGCGCCGGCTCCGAGGTGCACTACTGCTTCCGGCGGCCGTGCACGGTCGAGACGCGCCTGCTGGCTGCCTTCAACGGCAGCGGCTACCTCATCTACCGGCCGCTGTACATGCCGTCGGCGCTTCTGCTCATGTACGCGCGCTTCCGGCCGGAGGCGGCCGACAGCGTGCTGCTGCACCGCTTCCAGAACAAGTGCCCGGAGCCGCGCAACTGCGACTGGACCAAGCTGCTGCTGGTGAGCGGCTTTCTCGTGCTGGAGAGCACGATGCGTCAGTGCCGCGTCAAGCTGGAGGGTCGGCCGGCGCTGGAGCTGGGCCGCTGGCACGAGGTGTCCGTCGCCATCATGGGCGACCGCGCCTTCATGCGGCTGGACAACACGGAGGACCACCGGAAAGCGTACCTCAGCTGCGCGCCGAACGGACCAAACTACGACATGGACATGTACGTCGGCTCGGACCGCAACCGGCGCGCCTCGTTCCGCGGCACCATCTCGGCGCTGGCCGTCAACTACATGGAGTACAGCGTGAAGATGGAGGCCGACTGGACGGCCGGCGGCGTGCCGGCCATCTCGGAGGGTGTCACCACCAGCGTGGCCACGGCCGACGACGTGTACGTGCGGCTGGACGCGGCTGACTTCTTCACGGCGCAGTGTCCGGGAAACGAGACGGGCGAGCGCGGCGCGCGGCTCGACTTCGTCGCCACGTTCATGATCCGCCAGCACGGTGTGCTGATGTTCACGCGCGGCATGGAGGAGGCGTCATTCATTTACGTCAAGACCGGCGACGTGTTCCGGCTGTGCCTGCAGCTAGCCGCGTCCAAGGAGTGTTTGGCGTCCAGCCAGAACGCCGAGCTCAACACCTGGTACCGGCTGCACGTGCTCGTCGAGCCCAAGGTGGTCACCATGGTGATCAACTTCGTGTACCGCACGCGGCTGATGCGCGGCCTGCACTTCAGGGTGTGCCGCAAGATTGTGTACGTCGGCGGCGGGCCGCCCGACACGCTCAAGAAGATCGACGAGTCCAACGGCTTCGAGGGCCTGGTCGAGTCGTTCCTGCTGAACGGGCGGCGCGACACGTCGCGCGAGATGTCCGTCAAGGAGTGGGGCGGTATGGTGAGCTCGGCCGTCGCCTCTCAAGCCGACCACTATACCGAGGCCGTCTACCAGGAGGGCCATGCGCCGGTCCTCTCGTGCGACTACTCGGACGCGCTCGACGTCGGCGCCGACGGCAAGGCGGACAACGCCAGCGCGCGGGCGCGCGCGCGCTGGGTGCGCCTGGACGAGCTGATCGACGCCGACAGCACCAGCGTGGAGAGCGCGCCGCCGCACTCTGTGCTGCGGCTGGACCCGCACAGCAAGGACGTGCAGGGCTTCTACGCATGTCTTGTCTCCACGCCGTCCAAGTCGTGGCTGCTGCACGCGTTCGGCGTGTCGTTCGTGCGCACGGACGTGATTGTGCCCGAGTCGATTGCCGAGGAGTGGGTGGCCGTCATGAGTGTTGTCATCGGCTGCGTGCTCCTGCTGATGGCCGCCGGCCTGCTCTACGTCAGCAAGAACAAGCGCTTCGGCTTCTTCCCGGGCGTGATGCGCATGATTTACGGCGAGCGGCTGAGCGAGGCTGACCAGCTGGATTACCTGCAGCTGCAGACGGGCGAGTTCGTGCGCGTCACGCCGTCGCGCCGCCGCCTGCTGCGCCCCTCCAAGCAGGCGCTGCTCGTGTCGCGCTCCAAGCACTCGCTGGCCACGCCGTCGCGCACCGTCACGCTCTCGCCGTCGCGCGAGTCCGACTTCTTCCTGGAGCCGAGCAAGCAGGTGCGGTTCGCGCACGAGCTGCAGGTGTCGCGCTCGTCGTCGGGCCGCGCGCTGACGAGCACGCCGTCGGGCGCGGCCGTCACGGCTACCGGCTCGGGCCGCGTGCTCACGTCCAGCACGCTGCTGGGCCGCAACGCCGCCGTCTCGCCTAGCGGCCGCATCACCAACTATGACGTGGACGTGACAACCACCACCGACGGCAGCTCGGACAGCTCCGACGACGACGACTCGGCCGGCTCATCGACGCCGCTGCTGGCGACCGGCGCTGGCTCGCCGCCGGCCGCCGTCAGCCCGGATCCGGTCTCGACGGCCGCCAGCTCGGCGTCCGTGCGTCGCTCGTCGCTGTCGGTGGCCGGCACGGCGCGGCGCGCGTCGCAGACGGCGTCGGACAGCGCGTCCGAGGGCTACCCGCCGCCGCCCGGCACGGCCGAGTCGCTCGACTCGGCCGACGAGTCGGAGCCCTTCACGCCGTGAAGCGTCCGAGTCATTGTTGAAGTCGGAGCCGCTGCTGCTCGCGGCGCAGCGTGCCGGACGGCTCCGCATCCTTCCACCGCTGGGCGTGTGCCGGAGGCGGAGGCGGTTTGGTGCAGTCTAGGCAGGTCTGCTCGCTCCTCCGTCAACGGGCGGAGAGATGTCGCGTGTGCCCACCCAGAGACTGGGAGCCTCGTGCGCCGACACTTGTCGAGAGGGATGCCCCGCCCGCGCTGGGCAAAACGGACCGCCAACGAACGGACCGCTGGCGTGGGATATCGTTGGGTCGGGGCCACAAGACGTGCTTTGGCTCAGCACCGGTAGCGAAGGTGTTGATGCTGTGGTTGCTACCCGCGCAGCGTGTGTGAGCGTCGCTGCCGGGGGTTGGTGTGGTGTGTGGGTACCACTCAGTGGGGCTGGTCAGCACAGCATGTTCTCTTCGCGCTGTCACCGCGCAGTAGCCCAGGGCAGCGGTCACACTGCACCACAGCCCTCCTTCCCTTCTCATCCCTTTTCTTCCCTGTCTTTGATCATACACGGTCGACTAGGTGGCCATGCTCCAGGTGGACGTAACGCAAGTAAACAGTGGATGAAGACTGCTGCTGGTTGTCTGTCGCATCGATGTAAGAAGCCAGTGCGACGCCTGAAAACCGGGGTTGTGTGAATGTTGACGGTAGCTTTATTGTTTCCCCAAAAGAAAGCAAAGTTTCTACTAAGCTTGGTCCGAACGGAAATTGGAATTTTTAGTTTCTGGAATGTTTGCCCAACAATATATGTTTGCGTAGACTCGTCTACGTGTGCACGTCGTATGCATATGAGGGAATGCCTGCTCAGATCTCCTCAGAGAGATTCTGCGTGGTACATCAGAAAATGCCTTGCCCAACAATATATGTTTGCGTAGACTCTTCTACGTGTGCACGTCGTATGCGTATGAGGGAATGCCCGCTCAGATCTCCTCAGAGAGATTCTGCGTGGTACATCAGAAAATGCCGGCTGTGTGCATTGTCCTGGAGCGCGCTCACGTATCAAAAGTATAGATCCAGTAGGCCTAGGAAGGTAGCGTTTCATATTTGGATATATGTATAGTTTTGGTCATTTTGTTGAACGATTTATTCATGTGCATTTATCTGCAGTGCCTGTGCCGGTTTGTGTCGTTCGAAAAAGACAAGCATAAGTAAGTGAACTTTTAAAGATGTTATATTGGCATCTGCTTCGCATGATCGGTGGGGAGTTCGGCAACCAAGTTTTGCTTTGTTGTGAATACCTTGTATGCGTCTGTTGTATTGTTGCCACCTGGCGAACTGGTTGACCTGGTTTTCGCGAACAGTCATCCCTAAATGGACACGGTTTGTCGAGGCAAGCACAGTTCATCCAATTATTTCTTTACAGGTAGAGGTTTCAGTGTCCACCGCCTCTTGTGTGTGCTTGTGTGCATGTGTCTGCAAGCCAAGCCAGCCGATATCCTGAAGCCCGTGCGCGGCCAGTGGACCCCGGGGGCAGCCTGGGCGTGCCTCGCCGCCTGTCGTGCGTCGTGACCCCGAGGGCAGCCTGGGCGTGCCTCGCCGCCTGCCGCGCGTCGTGACCCCGGGGGCCTGGGCGTGCCTCGCCGCCTGCCGTGCGTCGTGACCCCGAGGGCGGTTTGGGCGTGCCTCGCCGTCCGCCGCGCGTCGTGACCCCGAGGGCGGCCTGGGCGTGCCTCGCCGTCCGCCGCGCGTCGTGACCCCGAGGGCAGCCTGGGCGTGCCTCGCCGCCTGCCGCGCGTCGTGACCCCGAGGGCAGCCTGGGTGTGCCTCGCCGTCTGCCGCGCGTCGTGACCCCGAGCGCGGCCCGCCGTTGCAGCCACTACAGTCTGGAGGAGAGCAAGTTCCACGTGACGCGCTATATGGATGACGAGCCGGCGCGGGTGGACTCGGTCAAGCTGATGGGTGACATCGGCGGCGCCGAGATCTTGCAGCGCATCATGATCGTGCTGCGTGTGGAGGTGCGTGCCGTGTGCGCCCCGGCCGCCGCCCGTTCTCTGACCCCTGTGTCCCTGTGCCCCTGCCTCAGCCCCGTTGCCGCCTCCACAGCGAGTTGTCGGGCCGGGGAGCGTGGCTCAGGCTCCGGGTGTGGCGGCGGCGAGGTCGTGTCTACCGCGGGGCCCGTCTGCATTCGGTTCGCTTTTGCGTGTCATCTGTCTCCCTGCAGCGAGGGCATTGGAGAAGGGGATGGGCGGGGTGAAGTGACCACGGCCGATGTGGCGGACCCGCAGCGGTTCGCGTGAGCCCGCGTCTGTTTCCGGCAGGGGGAGCGCATGCAGTCATCACGTGACATGAGAACTTCACTGCTGCGTGCCGACCTCAGGTTGTCACCCGTCTATCGGGCGGTGGTGGCTTCAAGAAAATGAGCTCCGTGCATCACCGTCCATGCTGTTTGCCTCGCCGGTCGTTCGCCCAAGTTCGGCGCATGCGCGGCGCGCGTGTGCGTCGGAGCGGCGGCGCGCCCTGACCCGCCCGTCCCGCGCCGCCAGAGGAAGCCGACGGTGGGCGACAAGTTCGCCAGCCGCGCCGGCCAGAAGGGCATCTGCAGCCGGGTGCACGTCACCGAGGACCTGCCCTGGACGGAGAGCGGCCTCGTGCCCGACATCATCTTCAACCCGCACGGCTTCCCCTCCCGAATGACGATCGGTACGAGCCGGGCGACCGGCGGTCCGGCCCGGTGGCGCCGGTCGGTCGAGGTCGAGACTTGGTTCGTTGATTTGATTCAGCACGGACGCGAGTGATACCCACGTTAGCCACCACGCGTTGGCCACTTCCTTTCCCGGCGTTGGTGTCTGCGTCCCGGGGTCCTTCATGAGAGGCACGATGCCGTGCTCCGTCTTGCCCTTTGCCAGTTCATGGGTCCGAACCACGCCAGCAGCTGTCCTGGGACGTGATTGGCAGTGTACTCACCCCCAAGGCCAGTGCGTGAGCTCGAACTGATGCTCAAACCGGTTGATCAATGGTGCCGCTCCCGGCGTGTCATTTCACCCACCCTGTCACGAAAGCGCTGCTGCCAGCGGCGTCGCCCCGCGGCGGCCTTCTGAAGCGACAGCTGACATCTGGCCTGCCACAGCGATGATGGTGGAGTGCATGGCGGGCAAGGCGGCCGCGCTGAACGGCGAGTGCTACGACGCTACGCCGTTCCGTTTCACCGAGGACGAGACGGCCGTCGACTACTTCGGCAGCGTGCTGGAGCGGGGTATGTGGCGCGCGGCTCAGTGGGGCAGCTGGAGGAGTGCAACTGGACGGGGTGTGGGACCGCCACGCGGCAGGCCCGGGTTCGATACCCGGCTGGCGCTCTGGCCACGGCCGCTGGAGGGTTTCCGCGAAGGATTGGAGCGGAGCTGTAAGCCGTGCACCCGTAAGACAGGAGTTCGCGTTAGGCCGAGGCGTCCGCTGCCCGCCGGCCGCCGCTGCCGCCGCCTGGCGGCCGTCGCCCATCCGCTCTCGTCGTTTGGCGCCGAGCGGACGGGCGGCTGGCGACTGCGGGGTGTTTGCTGGCCGTTTGATCGCGGGTTTCCCGCGCCGGTACGCACTCCTACCGGTCGTGGACACTCGCGCTTCCCGTTCTGGCACGACGCAGACGGCCCGAACCACCGGGAATGTTTCCATACATGCGTCATAATTACGATAAGCTGAACTGGTACAGACGTCTTAGACCGGTTATCACGATTATGATCGTGAAAACTCGTAGTTCATGTCAGGCTGATCACGACGCTGTGTGGCCGTGCAGTCGGCGCGTCCCAAAGGCCCCTATCTGGTCATGCCTGCAAATTGGCACGTGTCGTGTGCCATGATCGCTACTACAATCATGATATGTGACACCTGTGCCAATCACTCTCACGATTGCTGTGATATGTGACGCATTGTGATAACACAACCACTGTGATCCGCTCTGTCTAGCTGTCTCGCGTGAAGTCGTTCCCTTCCCCCTCCTCCGCTTATCCCTCCGTGCTCGTATTTCAGCCGGCTACAACTATCACGGCACGGAGACCATGTATAGCGGCTTCACTGGCACCCAGCTGGAAGCCAAGATCTTCTGCGGCGTCATCCACTACCAGCGGCTGCGGCACATGGTGTCGGACAAGTGGCAGGTGAGCAAGCCGGAGCACGCGCGATTGGGGGGGGGGGAGGTTGGGGAGGGGCTCAGCCCTTGACGGGCCAGTTAGAGTGCATCGAACTGTGGCGTGTCCGGGCGGCAGTGCTGACTGAGCCCTGTGCGATGGTGCACGTTTGGGTGTACCTGGTGTTCTTTTGTTCTGAAGGCCCGACCTTTCATGTGTTTGTCCAAGGCCAGGTCGATTTAAGGCATTGTCGGCTGCGGTCGCCCCACGCCATGGTATTGTTTTTCCTTGTCGCTAAAAACTTGGCTTGTAACCCGTCGTGTGTTGTGGGTGTCGAGTGACCGCTTTCAGTTGTGTTGCGGTTACCTGCTAGTCGGGGGATTCACTCAGTTCTGTATATCAGGCGGCCTCAGGCAAAAAATCGCCGTAACGGTCCGCCTGGCTTTGTCCGAACTACCTCCGATGGTTTATGCTTTCATGATCGATAGCGGTTGGCCAGCGTGCTCGGTACGAAAACACCCACTCGGCGGGGTCGAGAGCAGTTACTGCTCAGAATTGCTGCTAGCCAAGCCCGTGCACTCCGCCTGTGTGACACGTCATTAGACCGATTAGACCGTACACCTGCTCGGTTTGTGGTGTGGTCTGTTTTGAATGCGTCACCACATGTATCCAGTCGCTGTGTTCTGACGCTGTGACGGCCATGATGCTGTAACGGGCCGCAGTGTGGTACTCCCGGAGAGCGACGCTGTGCGGGAGGCCATGTTGGGATTGCTCTCGCTCTCTTACGGATGTGTCTCGCATGCTTTGGCCCTACCCTGTCAGCTAGACTCTTCTTCGCTTTGTTAGCCCCCTTTTGAAGGCTGCTGGTACAGCGCCCTTACTGCGTTCTTTGAACCCGGTGGGATGCGTGGTGGCATGCTTTGGTTACAGAAGTGCGCGCGGTGCATTTATGAGCTTAGTCTTGTCAGACATCAGCGGTGCTGCTTCCCTGAATGATGGTGTGCCATGGCGGACCTGCTGATAAGCTCTTTGCAGGCTGTCCAGCTTGTCTTTGTATCCATTAAGCATCCCACACACGTCTGGCATGCGATTTGAAGGCAGTGCTCTCGCGTCACTGACCGGGTCGGCCTAGCGTAGTCGCGTGGCCTGGATGGAGAGACCTGTACCCTGCGTCACGCTCTGGCATACTGTCCGGTGACGTGGCACTGTTTCTAGCTGTCGTCGCCCGGGGCGGCGGGCAGCCACGTCTCGGATTCATGTGCTGTTCACACGCGGTGATGGAAGCTTGTGTTCAGACGGTGGTTAAGGGCTAGCGGGCGCCGTTGCCATGCGCTGGACCGGTGTCTACGGCTGGTGGCCTGTGTGATACGGTGCTGGTGTGCCGACCAGCCGGCGTTGGTCCGGCGGTGCCGTTGGTCGCGAGCGGGCACCGGGTGCTATTAAGCGCTGCTGACCGTGCTAACCGCTGCTGACCGATGTTGACCGCCGCTGACCTCTGTTGATGACCGCTGTTGACCGCCGCTGAAGACTGCCGCTGATCACTGCTGGTCGCCGCTGACCTCTGCTGGGAGCTGCAGATCGCTATTGATGGCCGCTGACCTCTGCTGACCGCTGCTGACCGCCGCCAGGTGCGCAGCACGGGCCCGATGGACAGTCTGACCCGGCAGCCGGTCAAGGGCCGCAAGAAGGGCGGCGGCGTGCGGTTCGGCGAGATGGAGCGAGACGGTGTGATGGCCCACGGCACGACCCTGATCGCTCAGGACCGGCTGTTCAGCTGCTCGGACCGGGCCGAGGTGAGCAGCGCCTGGGCAGCGCCGGCCGCCGCCGCCGCACCGGCCGTCGCGCCGGAACTCCCTCCTCACGTCCCGCTTTTGGGGTGCGGTGGGCGTCCATCGCCGCGCCGAGTAGACGCCACCGCTTACACCGACTCCGGCCCCACACCAGCGTGGCCCCGGGGGTGGCTGTCAGGCATTTAGTGTTTATTTGAACCGGCAGCTTACCCCGACCTTATCCCGGAACTGGTTAAGACACAGGACGACAGGAGCGGCTGGCTCGACAGGAGCCCACGTCTGCACGGAGGCCGCACGGACCGGCGTCCAGCCCAGCACTAACCCGAAAGGCGGCAGACAGGCCAGCTGCGACAGTGTGCACGGTGAACGCGAGGCGGCGCTGTGCATATCCTGTCGAGCCTCATGGTTGTCGATTGCTGTGGTACTCGTCTGGCTCGTTTTCGACCTGTTTCCGCCGATGGCCCATGGCGGACCGCCTGACCCCTTCCGGTGCCGCCCTGGTTGTGTTCGCTCGCCGGTACGCGGCTTACGCCTGTGTTGCCCCCGTGTGCGCTGACGCCAGCGCCGCCTGGCCGCCAGATGCACGTGTGCGCCACATGCGGTTCGCTGCTGTCGCCGATCACCGAGCTGACGCAGCGGAGCCGCGGCGCGCGCGCCGGCGGTGGCGCCAACGCCCGCCGGCCCGTCTGCACCGTGTGTGGCTCGCAGCGGGACGTGGTGTCAGTACACCTGCCCTACATGATGCTCCACCTGGCCATACAGCTCGCCGCCATGAACGTCAAGGTCAACGTCCAGGTCAAGAAGCAGTGACCGGGCGACCTGGCCGCCTGGTCGTCGCGCGCTGGTGGGGAGCGAACGTTGGGCGCGGGGCGGCGATGGTTGAATCGTGCTGGATGGAGCGTCAGCTTGTTCGGGGGATGTGGGCGCACGGCCTCGTGTGAGCACGTCAGTCAGATGGTATGCGCGTGTCCAAATGTCGGTACATGATGAGCGTGCTGCGCGAGTTCAGAGCGGTAGAGAAGTGGGAGTGGGGTCGCGGAAGTTCCTGCTGTGAACGGTGCTCACCCGTGCGTCGGGTGCCTTCTCGTGTTGGTGATTACGTGTATTGACTTCAATACAACATGGAATATCAGTGTGTCGTGTGTGTGTGACAGACTTCCGCGCTGCAATGCCCATGCGCGGAACATAATCCAACAATGAATGCAAACTGCAATCCAGTCGCTGCTGGTCGCATGGGACTTTTCTTCATTGCCACATATCCACGAAAGATGGCGTTTGGCCACCTCTCACTTTGGCCGAAAGCTCGATTGGGCCTTGAACGTGTACGAACCCCCGACCAGAAAGAGGTTTGTCCGCCTCCCGGACGCGGCGAGCCTGGTGTACCGCGCATGCCACGCGGCATCAGGACACGTAGTCAGCGGCCTGACCAATGACTCGGGGGCGTGCCAGAGGGGTGGTCATTCACCGGCAATGCAGGCTTACCCGTTCTCAGGCGCAAAGATGAGGACACCCTATGACATTGGCGCGTGGCCGCCGCGAGACCGTCCCGGGTTTGGAATACGACGGCGGCCTCATTATGTTTGTATTGAACACTGCAGCAAAGGCCAAATGATGTGGACATCTGGGTAGGTCACACACAAGTCTGGTACCGAACAAGAGCGTAACTCGCCTCAGTAACTCCGGATGGCCACAGAGAAGCTTGAATACGATGAGAGCTGGTCCACTACCAACTCACAATCGGACTAAGGCTTGGGACCACTCAGAATACCTGAGTGGTCCTAGCTTCCATGCCAGCACGTCCAAACGCTGAAACTGAGAGTGCCGGCACTTACGCGGCCACGCAACCAAAATCCCGAGAAAGGAACGGGAATAACGCAAAGCTGGCATGAGAACGCATTATCTTCAAAGAACCAAAATTTCAAACCTGAACAGCGTCTGGACAAAACCCAGAAACAGCCCAGCGGTCTCACTGGCACAAACAGCGCACATTTTCAACGACAAGGGTCACCCCCCCCCCCCCCCCCCCCCCCCACTCCCCTTTAAACTTGACAAATATGGCGTTAGGGCACGTTTGGCTGCCACATCCCTAAACGTCACCCCCAAACACCGTTTCGTCCCCACGGTCAGCAGCCCCGGCGCATCAGGAGGCGGTCGTCTGCGGCGGCGTGGTTCTGGCATCGGCCCTGGTCCTGCCCCGCCGCGGACCCTGGCGCGGGCGCCGCCCTCGGTCCTGGCCGCGCGCCGACCGCCGGGGCCGCGCCGCCAGCTCGCTCAGCTCCGGCAGCGGCAGCGACCATTCACGCTGAAGGTGCGCGTAGCCGGCGTCACCGCAGGCAAGCCGCAGCTCGCGGGCGCGCGCCACGTCCTCGGGCGGCCAGGCGGCCGGCGGCCGGCCCTCCAGCGCCGCCTGCTGCGCCGGCGACAACAGCGCGCCCGAGCCGGCGGCGACGCCCGGCACGCTCCACCTGCGTCGACAGCCGCGTTTCCAGCAGCTGCAGCTGCGCCTCGCGCTGGCCCAGCGTAGCGCGCAGCGCGCGCACGCGCAGCTGCGCGTTCTGGCGTTGCAGACGGCGCAGCGCGGCGGCGGCGGCGCGCGGCCGCGCCGGTGGCGCTTCCCAGCGCAGCTCGGGCGAGTCTGGCGGCGCAGCCGGCAGCGGTGGCGACGGCGGCGGACTGTCGAGGGCCGGCGGCGAGGTGGACGCGGTGTCGCCGCGGCCGGCTGGCAGTCGCGCCGCCTCACGGCCCAGTGCGGCTCGCCAGCGGCGCAGCGCGGCGTCGCGGTCGGCCAGCTCGGAGCGCAGTCGGTGGAGCTCGCGCTGCCACCGCTCCAGCTCGTTGTCGTGCCCGGGCGGCGCTGTCGCCCGAGCCGGTGCCGGTACCGGCGGCGGCGGAGGCGATGGTGCGTCTGCGTCGCAATCCAGGTCGGACGACTCCTCGACGGCGTCACTGGACAACCAACCGGAGGACAGCAGCGAGGCGCACTCCCACGTGGATGAAGCGTCCGAGGAATGCCACGGGGATGCGTCCGGCGACGTCTCGCCTCTGGACGATCGGCCGCCGTCGCTGGTCGGCGCAACCGGCTGCTGGCGCCGCGCCACCACCTTCACATACCGTGTCGGACCCGTCGCGTCCTGCGTGGCTGGCGCCGGCTGCAGCCTCATGTACACCACCTTCTTGCGAGGCTGCGACACCGGCGGACTTATTTTCACCGGCACTGTGCACGGGGGAGGCGGCGACGCCGCGTCCTCCGCCTCTTTCCCGGTGCTTGTCGGAGTCCGATCGTCCACCACCTGAACGAAAGGCCACATGGTGACAATGCCCTCGTCGGCAGAGTCTTTCTCATCGGGCTCTACCTTCACGGAGACGGTCGCGGGCGGCGTCTGCTGACGACGTGCCGGCTCGGCCAGCTTCTGTCTACCCAAAACACGCGGCGGCGGCGTCCTCTGATGCTGAGCAGGTTCGATCCGCCCCGTCGTCACCCAACTCATCGTCAGTGGCACCTGCTGGCACGCAGCCGGCTCTGGCGACTCCAGCTTCACCGAGACAGTCGTCAGCGGCATCACGTGCTCCTCAGACGACGCCGGTGGCCCCTCCCTGCTCGCTGAGTCGCTCGGCGAAGGAGAGCGCAGTTGCATCAGCAGCCGGGGCTTGGAAGGCTGCCCGGCGGGGGCCGCTGGCGGCGCCGCGCTCGGCGACCTCTCGCGCACCGCCGGTGCCACCACCATACAGTAGCGCCCGCTTCGCTCCGACTGTCGGAGCGGAGGCGTCACCGAGCGCCGTCTCCGCTCCAGCCGCCCGGGCGGAGGCGCCACCGGGCGCCGTCTCCGCTCCAGCCGCCCGGGCGGAGGCGTTGCCGAGCGCCGTCTCCGCTCCAGCCGCCCGGGCGGAGGCGTTGCCGAGCGCCGTCTCCGCTCCAGCCGCCCAGGCGGAGGCGTCACCGAGCACCGCGGCGGCGGCAGGCAGCGGCGTCTGCCCGGCGGTGCGACCATGTCGGCTGCTATTTGCAGCGCCTTCTCCTGCATCTCACGCACCTCGTATTCCTGTGGCGAGCACGGCGAACTATCAGCGACGACGAGACGGCACTGTGTCGGGGCACCTCTAGCCGGGAGATCCATCCAACAGGGTCTGAGGTCTGGGTCAAAACAGCGGTGGCAGAGACCACCTCGATACCTCTAGAGCTATATTTGGTTTGCACCGCACACCTTCGACCTAAAGCTGCTGAGCGGCGCTCAAAACCGCATACAATAGGCCACTCTCAAAACACGAGCCATCAAAACCAGTCTTGTATTTGGGAGAAAGCTGAGCCACAAGCTTAACAACCCCGAACCATGAAGCAAATATGAGCACGTGACAGCGACCCAAGCCCGCCCCGTCCCACCGTACAGGACACCGGGTTTCCCCGCTGGTCAGCGTGGTCTCGCGGCCGGCGCCCGGTCACAAGCTTGCCTGTATGGCCTCCCTGACCAGCCGGGCGCGTTCGGCGGGGTCCATGGCTGCTGCCGTCCGGGACCTGTCGTGCGGGCGCGGGTGCGGGTGCGGGTGCGGGTGCGGCGGCGGCGGCGGCGACGGTCGTGACCTGCCCGTTGATCGGAACCTGCCGGTGCGGCGGACTGGGGCGTCACGCGCGTCACGGTGGCGCGACGGTACCCCGTTAGCCCGGTTGAATAAGTGTGAAGCGGGAATCGCATTGAGGTTTGGGGGTTCAGAGCAAGTTGAAACCCCAGCAAGACTCAACCCAGGGCGAATCGTGAATTGGCCTGGAGCATACATGCGCGTATTGCATACATGTGCATGCTTCTTCGCGGATGATGAATGACATGACGTATGAACGCAAAATGTGCAGGCGTATGGCATCACTTGACACATCACCAAAAAACACGATCAAAATAAAAGCCAGAAGCCAACAATATCACAGTGGAAGAGCGGAGCATGTTTAAATTTACTGCTCATTACAGCCTTACGACTTTGTGGTTCTGATATGAATACTTGGCATGTGTTATACCTTACACTTAACTGGTATCAGGCTTTACACCTTTGTGTTATTGTCCCAACTATCAAAGCGCGCACGCACGCACGCACGCACGCACGCACGCACGCACGCATGCACGCACGCACGCACGCACATAGATGTACAAGCCAGTCCGCTGCAGCACGGCTCTTAGTTATCACCCTGCACGGCATGGCAGGTGGCGGCCGTGGCAGCGACTGTGACGCCGCGCTGAGCACCGCCGGAGGCCTTTGCCGCCGACCTCAGACCCACCTGGTGACACCAGGCCTGCTCTGCGAGGTCAAGGCCGGCGGCGGACGCGCGGCGACAGCGGCCCGTAGTCAGTCGGCGAGCAGCGGCGCGACCAGACGACGGCGATGGCCGATGGCCGGGAGGTGCCCGCAGGCCGCCGGAAATTCGGTCGGGCAGGAGGCAGCTCAAACGCAGCTATCTGGTGTTGTTGCACGTCACGCCAACCCCACAGGCAGACTTTCTGTGGGGAGAATTATAGAAGCTTTTTCCAAAGATGTGGCCCAAAACCTCCTGTTAAGCATGAGCAACTGAAGATGTTGTTCAAATGCACTCAGGGCCCATTGTGCAACTGGGGTTTGAGCCTGTGCCCCTCACATGGAGGCTGAACGCAGCCAGCCACTTGGCCACTGTTCAGATAAATGTGATTGAACATTTTGATAAGATGGACTTATGGGATCTGAGCATATGTGAAACAGTTTGTAGCATGAGCCCCAACCCCATCTGAATGTAAAAATCATGAGATCAATGGCAGAATGCCATGGCAAAGTTTTAGCTGCTGCACACTCAGAAGTCTGCCCCACCCCCTGACCTCATGTGACCTTGACAAGACACTACCACCCAACACCTTTTCCCACTAGCCACAGGCCATCCCAGTCAGGGGCAAAAATCCAATGCCAAAGTGACTTGCATCCAAGCACCCTGCCATTAGTGTGTTGGGAGGCAGACACTCCTTGAGCTCTGGGCATACACTTGGCCATGTCCATTAACAATTCAGCAGGGATATGGCAGCTTGACATTCTTCTAAATAGTAACAAAGCAGCTACGTACTTCAGGCTTTGTCGTTGTTAAATTGGGGTTTTCGGGTACACTAACTGCAATGGTATTTGGTGCCCATACCTCCGGCTAAAACAACATATGCATGTGTCAATATCAAATCCATGCTATATGTCAACAGGTTAGAAGAGCTAATCCATTACAATATCACAACCACAATTCCAGCAGCACTTCCAAAATTCACCTACTAGAGTGGGCAGGATGTTAATATAGATTCCTACTACCAGAATCCTGGCTCTCCAACAGCTCCTGCACAAAATCTGTTGGTGCTAATCAGTTCCATTACCCTTTGACTCTGAACCTCGACATCTGACCTGCCCAGCCCACTTGTCAAGCCTGAGGCACTTAGATACTGTGATGACAGCTACCTATTTGATTCTGATTGGCTGATTTTGAGCAAGGTGAGGGGCAACAGGTAGTGAGCCCTACACTGCTGTGTTCTAGCTTGATAAAAAAATTGGCATCCCTGCCGCCCAAGTGGCAGAATATTGGGACTGTGAATCCCAGCGTGCTCATAATGCAGCTGTAGTGGTACTCAAGTTGTGCATGGTTTATTTTGCTGGAATGATGAATAGATGGCACCATCAAGTACCATGAAAAGAGCAATGGAAAAAGCGTCACCCAGTTTGATCAGCGCAGCCATGACTTCCACCGTACAAAAGTATTTTAAAAAGCATTAGCTGACCAGTAAGTACGGGTACCTTCGGCCGAGGCCCCACAATCCCTAAAACGGTCTGAATTTATTTAATCTAGTATGATGCCGATAAAACATTGGCATCCGTTGAGACACAAGACATATTTGAATATTCTTCGAACTTTCATGCACTCCATGTGCAGAATCAAAATACAAAGTGCCTTACCTCACACCCACCACACGCTTCCCATTATCCACCGCAATATGCACTACGGCTACTAAAAGCTGTTTGAACGCAGTGAAGATACAAACCATTTCAGCTGGCTGTACGGGTGACGTCACAAAACCACGAGCCGACACAACGCACGGGCGTACAGTGAACGTCATAGCACCACAACTTAATAGCCTTGTATGGAACTGAACGGTACGGGACGGAGTCAAGCAGGATCAGTCAGAATTGGACAGTACCGAACAGGCCAAGACGCCATTGAACGGGACCGGATTCAACCGGATGGGACGTAATAAGACCAGACGTCACTGGACGGAATTGGATGGGACCGAATCGAACGTAATAATACCAGACGGGACCGACTGCACTGGACGGACCAGGCAGACAGGCTGGGACGAAACGGGGCCGGACGTGAATGAAGCCAAACTAAACGGGATCAGACTACAGTAAACGTCACCGGACATGACTTATATGAACCGGACGGGGCTGAATGCGACAAGACGGAGCCGAACGGCGCCGGATGAAACGTGATAGTTTCATGCGCTACCGGGAAAGACCGGAAGAGACCGGTCAGATTGGACGAGGCGGCATGGGACTGGACTGTGCCGCACGGGGCCTGAGGCGATGATGACGGGACGGGACTGGACCGAACCGGCTGGGATTGCACGAGACGGGCCGAGACTAGAAAGGACTGAACATGAGTGGACAGGACTGGACTGGACCGAATGGGACCAAACTAGGCCAAACAGGACCAAGCGGGACTGAACAATGCTAGGACAGGACCGGATGTAACCCGGACGAGGCCAGGAGGGACCAAACCGTTCCGTACAATAGGACCTCGCGGACCTTGTCTGGTCCCGGCCGGTCTCGATCTTGTCCCATCCGGTCCCGTTCCATCTCATCCGATTCATTTTGGTCTCACTTGCCGTCCAATTCGTCACGTCGCGTCAGGACCTGTCTGGTCCCGTTAGGCTCCGTCCAGCCCCGCCTGATCCTGGGTGTCTTCCCGTTTCACTCGATCCCATCAGGTCTTGCCTTTTTCCATCCAGTACCATACAGTCCCGCCTAATCCATCTGGCACCTACCAGTTCCATCTGGCCTAATCACGTTCAGTCCTATTCCGTCTGGTCCCGTTCTGTCGCGTCCAGCTCGATCCGGCCACTTCCGGTGCCATCCGTCCCTGGCTGATCCCGTTTCGTCCTGTCTCGTCCCGTCCGGCGCTGTCTGGTAACATTAACTAGTCGGATTCCATTCCGTCCCAACCGGGTCCGGGCCCCGATGTAATTCACGGGAATGACAGTAACTTTGTGACGTTGACGTCTAATCAGCTTTGAGTGTAGGCCACCTTCACTATCTCCGCATAATCAGCCGATAGCCGCACCAAGTATCTGTGCGTCAGCTGCTGGCTGGCTGTTACCTGGGTGGGCGGCAGGTGCGAGACGACAACACCATTTTTGTCATTGCGTGGCACGCAGACGTGACTGAAAATGTTAGAAGCATTCATAAATGTTTGGTAAATTATTGTCCCAAATATTGTAAGGTTTGCGTTCTAGATTCGATTGTCTTCAGACCGTTCTGGGAAATGCTAAGCCTATGCCGGCGATACCCGAATAGAACGGCCCAAGGTCAATAGCAAGCACAGGTGATCGCTTCGAAGGCTTAAAAATGGGCTGCAAAATAGCATTTTCCACGGCAAAAAGAATCTCAAGCATGCTATATTTCGCGTTTTCCACAAACCATGATAGTTATCTCATAATGTAATTTACATACCCTGAATTCAAAGGCAATTCTCACCTGTCTCTACTGACTTAGAAACAAATGTCCCCCCCCCCACCCAATCTCACTCAGCACTCTCAAATCCCAAACTAATCACGCACAAAAACCGGCTCATCCTCAATAAGTCCGGTGGTCACTGTAGAGAGGGGAAGCACGGGAAAACCACACATATGCAATTTTGCCTTGACAGGCTAGGCAATACGGAACATAAGGACAACAAGAACGGTCACTTAAGATCTTGGTTTATTGCATATATGTACAGGGGCGGATCTAGCATGAAGTCTTTTGTTTGTTTTTTTTTTGGGGGGGGGGCAACTGTTCGTCGCCAGCTGGCTGGTGTGGGATCCGATGTCTGGTGCATGGTGCCTCTCGCGAGTACCTGGTAGGGACACCATTCAAAATCGAAAAAAGCACCGAAATGCTTTTGAATCTTAAACAGAAGTTAAAACAAAACACTCAAAACAGTTTAAGTTAAAACAGACGGCAAGTAGACGAAACTTCTATGAAGTTCTGAGAATGTTTTGGGGGCCAAAACATACTCTCAGAGGTTCTGGGGGGCCATGGCCCCGTGCTCCCCCCCCCCCCCCCCAGGATCTGTCTATGTGTATGTAGGACAAATCTCGAGTAAAAGCTTGGTTACATTGGGTGCTGGGCAGTTACCTTTTCCTGGTATTATTCGTCCGTGCCACGGGGCTAAGTGGCGCGCGTTTGGAGAGGGTGAGGGAGGCGGCGGGTCAGCAAGTAACTCGTGACATAGTGGCGTTCCCGAGTAAAAGCAGCGAATCCGACCAATACATGCTCAACCGTAAGCAGTGGTCTCGCAGGACCGGTGGTGCAGAGCGACTGAATAGACGACTGTGGATGGGATTAGTGTGGCCACATCTCAGACGCATCAAAACCATTTCTCTCTGCCTGTTCTCCTGATAATACGTCGCCCATGGCTGGAGTGCGGGTTTGATTCGATACATGTGGCTAGCATGTGAGGACATCCCACTGATTCTCCAAATACCAAGCGAAACGGACTTTGCCAGAGACGCTTTCAGAGGCGCTGGTAGACGGACACCTTCGTTCGCAAAGGTGTCGGCGGGGACATTTCCCGCGATGCCACAATGCCCCGGTATCCACAGAACGGTCATATGCTGGTCGGTAGGCAGCGAAAGCACTATGTTATGGATTTCATACACTCCCCGGTGGTTGAAGTCATCGAGTTGCTGAAAGGCCGGCAGCCTTGGAATCTGTGCATATCGTAGCCTAAGGAATACGTCTGACTCTGAAATGTTACAGCACTCGTTTTATAGCGTATACTTCCACAGCGAACACCGTGCTGAGGTCTGGAAGACGTCTGGTGAAATGAAGGTCAGGACTGATGGCTGCTGCACCAACCTGCTCACCATGAGCAGATCCATCGGTGTAAAAGAAAACGGATTCAGCGTATGTAGTTCAGTGCTCCAAGAAGACAGACTGTACCTAAACAGGAGACAATTTCGATTTCTTGGATCTAAATAGGTGCTTTATTGAGAGATCACTGTTAAACCAGAACGGCGTCAATGGAGGGTTACGGCGTTATGGGATGCCAAGGGCTCGTCGCGCCTGTTTGGCAGCGTCGAACAGGAAACACGACCTTTGCTGCTGTCTTTGTGTTTGCGGGCTATTGGTTTCAAGAGCAGCACATACCGCGTAGGTTCATCCCACCTTGAGATTTGTAGTAGTACCGAAGCAGCACGAAGTAATGTAGGTTTGCCAGCGCTGGCAGGTTGGTGTCAGCACCGACGGCGAGAACTGTGGTCGCGCGGAAGGCCCCTGTGATCAGACGCAGGTAGGTCGATTGAATGACTTTCAAGCGTTTGCAAAGGTTGACCAAGATAGTACTGACCATAAAGTCGTCATACTCCAGTGCTAATCGGATGAGACCTATACATAGTTTGGTAAGCGTCGTTCGGTCTGCACTCCAGGTATGACCAGGAAGACACTCGAGGACGTTAAACCATTTTAAGCACGATTTCTGACATCCTCTACGTGTGCTTGGGAGGTTAGACGTGAACCTAATGCAATTCCCGGAAATTTGTGCGACTTGCAGAATGGCATAGGTATACCGCAACCTTGTGGAGAGACGGCAAGTGATGGTAAGGGACATCATTTGAAAATGAGCGTGACGGATTTTGGAACGGGAAAAAAGCCCCATTCTGAGCACCAATTCATCCAACGATCAATTGCTCTTTGTAAAGCTGAGAAAGACTCTTGACAGGTTTCAATGTGAGCTCCATATACCAAAATCGTCAGGAACATCGGATACATCACGGGGTGTTGGGGAGTGCGAGAAAAACGTCAGCGGGGAGTCCCAGTTTGTGTCTGTGGTGCGTCACTAATGCGTATAGTATAGTGATGAATCCAATGTAGAAGGTGTTGTCCACCAATATTCTCCCTTCGAATATACTTAATATATTACACAGCCTTGGAGAGGAACTTTTGTGCGCGCTCATCCCTAAGGAAGCATTATTGACGTCTGATTAATTTTTCGGTCCAAAGATAAGAATTGGTGGAGCTAAATCATCCGTCACTTTATTTGGTGCGATTATTGGCTTTCATACGACAACCGATGGCGCTGTCAAAAGATGTTCTTCATATGAATGTATATTTCGGGCTGGGTGCATTCCTAAGGACATTGTATGCGTATTGATAGGCGTTGTAGAATGGGGAGAATGGATCTGGTTGTTTGAGGCATAGGTGGTATACTCCTTGCATAAATACGGCGCAAGAGGAGCCGAATCGAAGTAAGGAAAGAAGATCATACTTTGCTAGACCCGACCTTTGGGTTAGTCCGCAAAAACCCATCCATCTCGCCGGGCGCCTGCGTGGCATGGGTTCGCTGAAGCTCGTGCTAATGCCTTATGCAGTAATACATCAAGTTGAACACCAAACTTTTGCACTCACACTCACACCTCTCAAGAAAATTGTGAGTGCAGCATGTAAATAAGCATCATAACATCACTACTAAGCCCAAAGAAATGACTGACCAGGTCCATGAGGGATACCAATATTGTTTCATCTTGAAATGAATATTTTCACTTAATCAGCAGATATTATTATGTGTGTATTTCCTGTTGTAACTGTAATAAATAATGTAATTCATAATAACTGAAAGTAAATGGCATGGCCACAAGCTATCTCCAACTTGAGCAGCTTGAACAATATCATGGTGAAGTTTAAGGAGGTGGCATACATCCTGTGTATGTGGATTTTAGTAGTAACTGTCATGAAGAAGATAACTGAAATGAATCTGCTCAGTGCTCTGATTTCAAGGTAAATGTTTGCATCAAGAAAATGTTAGAAGAGAATGATAAACATTTATGGACATTAAGGCATCTGGCCAGCAAGAAGCCACAAGGGCTCATCAAGGTTGACCAGCCTCATGTCCTGCATGCATCCTCAAAACTAATCATACCACCTGATTGCGTGAATTTATCTGTAAATGAGATCTTTAGACCAATGAAGCTATTTCAAATGGCCTCAAATGTTGCTAGGGAGGGGACTTCCTGCAATTTTGTTGGAAAGTTTATTTCAGTGATGTACTTCACTTTGGCTTAATGTTGTCTGTCTCTTCATAGTTCTACTCCTAGTCTTTGCTAAATGGCACTGGTTTCCTATCAGCTTTTGCTTGATTTCTAACATTCCATGTACCCTGTCTATCCCTTTCATAATCTTGAGTACCTTTTTCAGATCCCCTCTATGTCTACAATATTTCAGTGGAAACAAATTCAAGAAGTCGCTGATCCCATTTATCATCCTAGATGCTTTTTGTTGTGCTCTTTCCTGCCTATACATGTATACATTGGAAGCATGGATGCCAAGCCTGTGCGTGATGGTCTAGATATGAACTGTCATAAGCATAGTAAAGCTTTTTGACACCATTCCTTCTCTTGTAATGGACATTCCTGTCAATATGTCCCAACATCTGAGGTGCCTTGTTCCTAGCAGCAGCACCTTGTGCTTCATACTTGAAATCCTTGAAAATGTACCCCAAGTCCCTTTCATCCTTGATCTGGTATTTTACCTTTTACTTTATAAAGCCTTATTCTATAAAGGGAATCCCCTCACTACCAAAGCTATCCAAGTGCATTGCCTTACACTTGTCATAATTGAATGATATCTGCCTCAGAGAAGCTCAGTTTTTGACACCTTTACCAATTTAATATTGTGAGTGAATTTAAGCACCTTGCTCTTTCATCCTATCTCAGTATTATTTCAATATCTTAAGATAGTATTATATGATACATCAATATTTTATATTAAGATGTAATAATGAAAAGCAAAGCATTCAGGACAGATGAACCCCACTCTACTACCTCCTAAGTACATGGTTATATCATACTTAACTTAGTGTATAAATTATTGTATGAAATTGTGTGATTGTGCTGGTCTGCGGTATGCTGATGAGTACATTGTTTATTTTTTCCAGGTGGACCTCCCTCTCTTCAGTGCAATTCCTGACCTACTTCAGAAGTTTTAATAAATGATTGAGCTGTTCAGCTTAAAAATGTGCTCTCTGCTGGGTCTGGCAATCATTGCAGGTGAGGTAAAGTTGCTTGCATGGTGCTTGTTAATGTGCCTATTTTCTTGTGTGATAACCAAGTTTGTTTCAACTATTGTGGACCCAAGTGGACAATTTAGTATCTGTGATTTTGTCATAGCACAGACTGTGACTAATCATGTCCATTGTCATGTCCATAATGCCACCAGCCCTGTAGTGGTGTTAGATGGTAAGGATAATGTCTGGGGAATAATTATCAAAGATTTCAATGTGGTGGTAGTGAGTGGCTAATATAATTTCAAGGAACCTTGGACAAACATTTCAACCAAAATTGGTATGGATTGAGTGACTTTGGTCATGTAAAGAGGTTTTTAGACATTTGGGTTGAGTGACAATTTCTGGTCAGTTTCAGTCACCTCAGTTTGCAGGTCCATGTCCTATGTCATAAGTAATGCATTTTTATGATGCCATCTGACATTGAAGTGTAGTATATTCTGTAGTCCTGCACTATGTGACATCTATTGTTATTAATTTCAGGTGTGATACAAGGTGGGGCAAGCAATCGTGTTTATGAGCTCAGTGATAGGTGAGTTGTGAGTGGAATGTTCCATCATCTATTTCTGGAACACTGAATTAATCTGGATTAATACAAATAATGTTTTCTCAATAGCATCAATGAGTGCATACCTGATCAGATTTGCTCTACTCATCTGTAGGATGAGTGGTGCCAAGGAAAGAGTATTCTGTTGTATCTTGCACTGATCTGATTTTAAAGCACTGGTGTAACAGTCTGTAATTATTGTGTGCATTGCATGTAATGAAAAGCTATCAAATTTAAGCTCATGGTCAGCCAGCTGTTTTCAGCAATTGCTTTATTATTTGTGCGGTGTTTCAACCAGTTCTTTGTTTGTACTTACCTTGGTCTGAGAAGGATCTTGTAATGTTTGACATACCTTGATGCCTGCTTACACAGCTTACAGCTATTTAACAATGTCCTTCAGGCATTTTGAATCCATGACTGATCCTGATTGTCCAAATCTGAATCAAATCAAGGGTCTGAGTGCTCAGATCATCAAACAAAAGGTGTGCTGACCTGTAACAGCCAGCTGGCCCATGACAGCTAGCTGGCCCATGACAGTCAGCTGGCCCATGACAGCTAACTGACCTGTCACAGCCAGCTGCGCCGTGGGCACATTTCTCCAGCTGCTAGTCAGGCCTCGGCGCCGCTGGCCGTGTCCACGTGCACCGGGCTCCTGGTCCTGGCGCCGCCGTGTCCCCGGTGCTGCTGGCCGTGTCCGCGTGCACCGGGCTCCTGGTCCCAGTGCCGCTGTGTCCCCGATGCTGCTGGCCGTGTCCGCGTGCACCGGGCTCCTGGTCTCGGCGCCGCCGTGTCCCCGGTGCTGCTGACCGTGTCTGCGTGCGCCAGGTTCCTGGACATCTACCAGGAGGGCACGTGGCTAGTCAAGTTCTACGCGCCCTGGTGCGGCCACTGCAAGAAGCTGGAGCCCGTCTGGATGCAGGTGGCGCAGCACCTGGCGCAGAGCGACGTGCGTGTAGGGCGCGTCGACTGCACCAAATACACGAGCGTGGCCAGCCACTTCGGCATCCGCGGCTACCCCACCATCATGTTGTGAGTGGTCAGGTGGCGGCCCTGTGGTGCCTGCTCACGGCTGCACACGCCACGCCGCTGCCGCGTCAAATTCCGGGAGAGCGTCAGAGAAAGTCTGCTGAGAAGTCAATTGCGCGGGTTCTGTGGACGCCTGGACTGGCTTTCTTGTCTGAACGTGAATGGCGTTCAGACGAGCTTCGGGAAAATGCGTTGTAGCATGACGTCGCTGGTCACTGGATCAAGTGCAGAATGTGGCGTCGTTCCATAGTACCCAGTCGCCATCGATCGGGGAGATTGGCGGAGGTTGGCTTCCGTGTGCGGCATGTATGGCTTCCATACGTATCTGAGTCTGACCTTCAGCGGGAGACCGAGCTGCAGAGCCTGCGTTGTAATGCTGAAACGGGCTTTACGTCGGTCACGCACTGAGACGGCGTTTCCAACGTTTTTAGAAGGATTTGTCGTCTTCACGTTGTGATGTCCTGCCCGGAATCGTGGCGACCCTTATCTGACCCCTGACGACCTTGGTCTGACCTCAAACCGCTCTGACCCCTGACGCCCTCGACCTGATCCGTGACGGCCGCTGCTCGCCGCCCGCAGCATACGCGGCAGCGAGTTCGAGGACACGTACGAGGGTGACCGGGAGCGGGACCACATCGTGGAGTACGCGCACCGGATGGCGGCGCCGACGGTCACCAGCCTGCCGGACGCGGCCAGCGTGCGCCAGCTGAGCTCGCGGCACCTGCTCTACTTCCTGTACGCCGGCGAGCGGCTGGGCCCCCTCTGGGAGGCGTACAGCGCCATGGCCGGCCGGTTCCGGGCGCACCACTACTTCTACAGCTGCACGGCGGACGTGTTCTCGAAGGTGCGGCACGAGGGCACGGGTGGAGGAAGTGCGGGATGGAGAGGTCGTGTCCCAATCTCTCCGCATAAGAAGGCTTTAACCATGTGATGATGCGTGGAAAGAAACTGAATGTAAATCGAGCTCCCCATCTCTGCGGAGTATCGACCGTCGCTGAGAGAGGGGCTCGGGTGTGGGGGCGGTGGGTTCATGGGAGTGACGAAAGGTGGAGAGGGGAGGAAGCGGATTGATGAGAGAGATGGGGTGGAAAGAAGGGTGGGGGAGGAGATTGACAGGTATAGAGAGGGGGGGGGGGGGTAAGAGCATATAGACAAGATGCTGCATAGGCATGATAAGGTGATTTGTACTTGGCAAGAAGGAAAGAATGGAGCCCCATTTCCAGGCATGAGATGAATGAAGATGAGCAGGATTTGTTGCCGTGTGGCGGGGGACGGATTCCATATTGTATTAGTCCGGGACATTATCCCGTCACACACCCCTCTCGTTGGTATCGCTTCGCTGGGAGTGTATGGACTGTTGGGCTCGTGTGGGGAGCGGAGTTTGTTTGCCATATGATGGATCCCAGCAACTGCCGGTTGTAAGAGCTGGAATGGTCCAGCCCCATAACGACAGGCGACAGCCGTGTGTTGGAAACATCATCTCGCTATGAAATAAACGTCTCGTTGTAATGACTCGTTAGTTCTGGTCGAAACCTGTGTTTCCGTTCTCCGCGTTGTCGGGTCGTTTGTTCGCCGTCTGCTGGTTATGTGCGTAGCCTGACGGCGCGTCTCTGGCTCCAGCAAGTGAAGGACTCCGCCAGCCCCGCGGTCAGCGTCTGGAAGGACGGCCGCTTCCATCTCTACCAGCCGGAAGACGCCGTGCACGTCAACGAATCGCTCTACCAGTTCGTCAATACGGAGCGTTTCACGAGGTTTATGAAGGTGGGGCGCTGGAAAAGTCTCCTTTCACTTATCGGCAATATTACTGTATTACGTTACGATAAGTCAGTAAGATAAGAAGGTGACATGTAAGCGGCGTTGTCGCATGTCACCTTAATATGAAAAATAACTGTGGTAGGTGTACGTTATAGAGAAGTTCTTACCTTTAATTGCGAGATAGGTGTATGTAATAGTGAACTTCTGACGTTATCAGCTCCCCGCCCGCCTCATTTATGCTCAGCATCAGGTATATGTCAACTATGTGATTAGACCCCACGTACTTTGTCGAGCCTCTTTTCTGTACAGCATCATGTCCCGACAACCCGTTTAACCACCGTAAGCTGCCATCACAAATTAGCCAAGCTTCTGAACTGTGCCCATGACCGAAGCTTACGCCATGGCCCGCCACAGCAGGCGTGAGCGGGTGGGCCATCTCGCCACAGAGCCATCTGGGCCCTCCGCCGCACAGCTTCACCGTCCGGTCGCTGTGTTGCAGATCACGACCGGCAACTTCGGCCAGCTGCTGCACACGGGCAAGTTGATCGCGATCGCGGTGACAGAGGAGAACCCGATCAAGCGCATCACCGCCGACCAGGAGAAGTTCCGCGCCATGCTGGAGAAGGTAGCCATCGACACGGCCGACAAGTACTCCAGGTAAGCATTGACACGACCGACAAGCACTCCAGGTAGCCATCGACACGGCCGACAGGTACTCCAGGTAACCATCGACACGACCGACAAGTACTCCAGGTAACCATCGACACGGTCCATAAGTACTCGGGGTAGCCATCAACGCGTCCGGCAAGTACTCCAGGTAAACTACATGGTTAGGTTGCAGGTTAGCCTTGACGACCCTCCCCATACAGGTCAGGACTGCTATCGACGCGTCCGACAAGAACGCCAGGAAATCGTCGACGCTTCCGACAAGTACTCCAGGTAACTCAACGCGTCCGACAAGAACGCCAGAAAATCCATAAGTTGTTCAGTGCGTTAGTGAGGAACATTAGTCACATAGTTAAGACAGTAGTTTTAGCCTTGTTCCTCGGAGAAGACCAGAAGAATGGAGATCACGTCTCAATTATACATGCAAACGATTTCAATTGAACAGGCAACACACATCACAAAATAAAACAGTGAATACCCCTTTTGGTGACCATTTTTGGCAAAACACGCTCGGACTGAAATCGAGGGGACTATGGACCCTATGCGCTTTTTAGAGCTCGAAGTCATCTACAGAGCACAGGACAGCCCAGAGAGGAAAATAAGTGAATCTATTCTTATATAAATCAGCTACCAAATCTTAACTTACAGGGCTCATCATGGCCGATTATGCGAACGTGAAATGCGCATGTATGTGTGATGTGTGCTAGCTTAAAATCGTTTACAAGTGTAAGTAATGCCTGATGCATGACGTGCGATGCGTCTTCAATTGAAATCGTTCGCATGTATAATTGAGACGTGATGTGTGATGCCTGCTTACTTCAATTCGCTTGCATGTTTGAGTGAAGCGTGGTGCCTATTTGCTTGAATTCGTTTACATGTACACGTATTATAATTCTTAGATAGGTACTGTATCGTGGTAATGGCTGACAATCGCTCTTGGTTTAATCCCCTGAATGTTGGTGTCCTGTAAAAACTGTGGCTTGCTATTTCAAGAGGAAACCTGAAAAAATCGAGTAGGATCATCGGCAGGCAATTTTGAATTCACTCCTGCTATTGTTTCTATAAATGCATGTTGCCGAAATATCAACCCAACTGTATTTCCATTCTCCTGGTTTTCGCCGAGGAATAAGGCTTGTGCCACTGTCTTATCTATGTCAGAAAATCGTCAAAGCTTCCGACAAATACTCCAGGTAGCCATCGACACAGTTAACATGAACTTAAGGTGGCCATCAACGCGTCCGACAAGTACTCTAGGTAACCATCAACTCGTCCGACAAGTACTCTAGGTAACCATCGACATGGCCGGAAAAACTCCAGGTAACCATCCATCAACACGCCTAACATGCACCCTCTGACATTATCGGCTTATCGGACACGAACAGTTGGTAACCGTTGACACGACCAACCTCAGTCCAGGCAACCGTCGATGCTCCTGAAAGATCACAGTAGCCAGCCTGGTCGCCGCCGCGTGGAACTACCGGAGACGTAAGGCATATGGGCTGCTCCACAAGCAGCCTTTGTGATGTGAAATGGCACGTGTCTCAGTTGTAATCGTTCCGGGGATAATACGCCACGGTCCTGTCTTCCTGTACGTGACCGCAACTCTCGGACATTAGCCACAACCTCCCACGATTTGCATCGCGACAAAGCCGGGACGCCGCGCCAGAGCCACAGGACGCGTCGTGCGGGACTGCTGGGCCGACGCTCTTCAGCGCTGCCCGGCCGTCACCGCTGAACGCGGCTCGACGTCGCCTGACGTCCCCGGGCGCCGGCCGCAGGCGGGAGCTGCAGTTCGGCTGGGTGGGCCAGCCGAGCCTGGTGAACGGCGTGGCGGCGCGCACGCTGGAGGTGCCGTCGCTGATCGTCGTCAACGCCTCCGACTACACGCACTTCGTGCCAGACGACGAGCCGGCCCAGCTGACCGAGGCGGCCGTGGCGCTCTTCCTCGAGGATGTGTTCGCCGGTCGCGTGCAGGTAGGGACTGATGGCGGAGATGGGAGGCGGGTCAGCGCCTCTGGCTCTGCTGGGAGGGTCGTCGGGACTGATGGTGAAGATGGGAGACGGGTCAGCGCCTCTGGCTCTGCTGGGAGGGTCGTCGGCACTGATGGCGAAGATGGGAGACGGGTCAGCGCCTCCGGCTCTGCTGGGAGGGTCGTCGGGACTGATGGTGAAGATGGGAGGCGGGTCAGCGCCTCCGGCTGTGCTGGGAGGGTCGTCGGGACTGATGGTGAAGATGGGAGACGGGTCAGCGCCTCCGGCTGTGCTGGGAGGGTCGTCGGCACTGATGGTGAAGATGGGAGACGGGTCAGCGCCTCTGGCTCTGCTGGGAGGGTCGTCGGCACTGATGGCGAAGATGGGAGACGGGTCAGCGCCTCCGGCTCTGCTGGGAGGGTCGTCGGGACTGATGATGAAGATGGGAGGCGGGTCAGCGCCTCCGGCTGTGCTGGGAGGGTCGTCGGGACTGATGGTGAAGATGGGAGACGGGTCAGCGCCTCCGGCTGTGCTGGGAGGGTCGTCGGCACTGATGGTGAAGATGGGAGACGGGTCAGCGCCTCTGGCTCTGCTGGGAGGGTCGTCGGCACTGATGGTGAAGATGGGAGACGGGTCAGCGCCTCCGGCTGTGCTGGGAGGGTCGTCGGGACTGATGGTGAAGATGGGAGGCGGGTCAGCGCCTCCGGCTGTGCTGGGAGGGTCGTCGGGACTGATGGTGAAGATGGGAGACGGGTCAGCGCCTCCGGCTGTGCTGGGAGGGTCGTCGGCACTGATGGTGAAGATGGGAGACGGGTCAGCGCCTCCGGCTGTGCTGGGAGGGTCGTCGGGACTGATGGTGAAGATGGGAGACGGGTCAGCGCCTCCGGCCGTGCTGGGAGGGTCGTCGGCACCGATGGTGAAGATGGGAGACGGGTCAGCGCCTCCGGCTGTGCTGGGAGGGTCGTCGGGACTGATGGTGAAGATGGGAGACGGGTCATCGCCTCCGGCCGTGCTGGGAGGGTCGTCGGCACTGCGACGTGAAGATCGCCATGGCTTCCAGCCGCGTTGGGAAGGGTCGTTGAGACCACTGGGTGGGATGGGGGGGGGGGGGGGCGGTGGCACGCACCCGTTTGCTTCCACTTCTTTACCGGGCGTGCAGCCGTCGGCAAGCCTCTTTCCGTACACCCGGTGGGGTGGGGCGGCGCGGTCGGCCCTTGGCAACTGCGTGCCCGCCACTAACCACTGTGTACCCGCCTTTTGATCGCTGTCTGCCCGCCGTTGACAGGGTGGCGGCGGCGACACATACCCGATGCGCGTGTTCCGCGCCCTGTACCAGGCCCGCTCCTCCGTGGAAGGCATGTGGCGAGGCAACCCGATCCTGACGGCGCTGCTGTTCGGCCTGCCGGCCGGCTTCCTCAGCCTCATCTGCTACAGCATCTGCTGCCAGGACATCATGGACGCGGAGGACGAGGACGAGGGTCAGTTAGGCGCCGGCGCGGCGCGGCGCGGCCCGCTCGGTCGGCTGCTCGCACGAACGGTGGCTGTCACTTGCTCGCGCTCTTCGATCTTGTTGAAGGGACCGACTGGTGCGAGGATTTATCGAAGTCCGGTGCTGGTCCCCAGTAATGACAAGCATCGGGCGTGACAGGCACCTCGCAGGTTTGCACCTAGTGCGGCATTGAGGAGACTGACGCGGATTGGTAGGATGAAACTAAGCGCAATTGTCGGTGGCTCTCGGGTCCTTTGGTCATTGCACGATCCTGTCTGCTCGGTGGGCTTGGCGTTGCCTTAGATCTAGCCACCTGGCCGCCTCGCAGTCCTGCGCTCTGTGGTAGGCCACACACCGTGCCCTGACACGCGGTCTGGCGGCAGATTTCGCGTACCACGAGAAGCACGAGTGAGCGGCGCTGGCTGGCTGGCTGGCCACAGTTCCAGCTCCTCTCCCGGACGGGAGCCAGCGAAGTCAACGCCGTTTGACCTCGTCGCGGGGTACAGAAGCGGCGGCGGTGGTGGCGACTGGACCCAGTCTGCGTGCGGCTGGGCCAAGGGCGCTGCTGTATGGCCGGCCCCGGCGGCGGTGGCGACTGGACCCAGTCTGCGTGCGGCTGGGCTAAGGGCGCTGCTGTGTGGCCGGCCTCGGCGGCCGCGCCGACCGAGCCCAGTGCCGATGTGACGTCACCCGTGGCGCAGCTGCGTTCCGTGGTGGGGACAGTTTCTCCCCCTCCCAAACCCCGGTGGGCGCACTACTGAGCGGCGCCACATCGCCCCCGGCGCCGGTGGGGGCGATGGTCCCACGCTGGGTGGAGACGGCCAGTCGGCGGAACGTAACGGTGGCACCCTCGAAAGAGATGCTAAGTGGTGACTGGCGCGTGGCGTCGCTTGAGGATGAAGGAGAAGCGTTGGTTTTAGTAAGGTCTTGAAGAGAAATGCGAGAGCGGTTGTAGGAAAATGCTGATATGATATGGATGTGCCTGCGTGGCAGACTTCTGTCCATCGCACTGTTTTCTTCTGGTTTCAGTGAAGATATCGTTTATCAAACTTGTCAATCCGAGGTTCTTAGATATCGGTGATGTTTGTGTTGGTCCGTGTGTTGTCCTCTGTTGCTGTCTTCATTCATCCATTGGGGCGCTGTTGGGACTGCAGAGCTTTACGTATTCCTTCCGTAATGGGTATTGGGTAACGAATTGGCCGTGAGCACATGAGAGGGGTTCCGTTTGTCTGCTGCTCCATCGTCAGCATGCGCCGACGTCACCATGCTCGCCTCGTTCTCCGGCATTGTTACATGTCATGTGTTCCCGGATCGTGTCGTGCATCAGTGACTTTTCACGGACCACCCCTGAGCTCACGATCTGGTAATATTGAGTAGGGACCTGGTCGGAGGGCGGTGGAAAGTGGGCGTGCTTTTGACGTTTCTCACCCGGTGAATGTTTGTTGAGCTGGCGCGATGGGAGCGCGGAGGCGTGAATGAAATAGAGCAATCAATTTCTGTTTCAGGTGTCGCATTTTTGTGTTTCATTGTTGTTCTCTAGGGAGACTCGCCGATTTTGGTTCTCTGTCGTTTGACATTATGCTGGAGCCGTGCCATTGTTATCTAGTCAAGTGTGTTAACTGTCCGTGTCAATACAATGCTTAATAAGTCAGCAGGTGTACGTTCAAAAACTTTGGTATTTTTCGATATCCTTAAGACGTCCGGTGTCTAGGCATTTGAAAAGGTGAGCCTAAGTTTGTGATACCCAAAGAGTTACATGTTCTCATACGATTATTGAAGATTTGTACAGCATCAACCAATCTCTAATGTAACCTGGTATTAGCGACAATGGCTCAGACTTGACGCATAGATGACCGTGACGAGAAAACCCGTCCATGATCTGCTGCAATACTCTGAAATACTCTGAACTGCAACACCGCCCAGCTGTAGCTGCTGGGCCTGCCTATGCGGCGGGTGCCTGACTGTTCAGAGCGCAGCACCCTGGCCGGCGAGGGCTGCCTTCCTGGTTCTATCGCTCCTAGGCGGCGCTTCCGGCGCGTGTTTGACCCAGTCCTGCCGCGCGGCGCGCGCTTTTTACGGCGGGAACAAAGGCCAATCGTCGGTGGCGGGTTGCGCCGTGTCCGAGCGCGCGGCGCGGGGTATTTCCGCCGCTCACCTCCGTCGCCGCCGGCGGCCAGGCAGGGCTGCACCCCGTCCGCTCCCTGTTCTGTTTATCGCCGGCCGACGGGGGCCGGGTTCGCGTCCCACTTTGGTTTTTGCCCGCCAAGTCCGCCGCTCGTCGAGCAGCGTCTATTTCTGACCGTGTGGCATGGTCATGCTGGGCTCTTTCTATACGACGGAAAACGGCTCCTACGATGCTAAGTGGCAGAAAGTCGATGATGCAAGACCGCGGAGAATTCGCTCCAGTTGATCGCTCAGGTAGTACAGCAGTATTCTACCGCCACGTTCGTTTCGTTTGTCGAGAAGGGAAGTGGCAGGTAATAAAGGTAGGAATGAACAAAAGGTCGACTCGTCCAGTCAGGGTCGTTTGCGTGAAAGACATCAACACATGCCGTTTGTAACCGATGCCGTGGTATTGCTGCTGGAAGTGAGTGTGACCGCACTTTTACACCAACCAGCAGAATGCAACGTTCCCCTCAGTTGCAGATTAAGCCGTCGTGGTCGACATATCTATGAAGTGCTGTATGCTCTAGAGTATGAGTGCAGCTCGAAATATTGAGTACCTCCAATACAATCGTGATTTTGCATGAGGACGTTGTTTAACTAGTACCTCCTGGTATTTAAAATGTCATTAACTCAGCGCAAGAATTTTAAACTCATATTTAGTTCATTTTACGTTAGTGTGGGACCGGGTCCCATTCATTTGTTATTTGTTTATTTCAACGGTCCTATATTTGCCACCTGCTCACCCCTTGGCATGGCTCTTCCTGCTACACATCTGACAATAAAATCCAGCGTGGTTCTTTCCGTCCAAAATTGCTCCTTCAGCCTCCGCTGTGTGTTCCTCCTGGGCCACCCTGTTGGGTATCCGCTCGAAGTTGGTACGACTGGCAGATCCGAGAGGACGAGGCGACGTCACGAAAAGCCGCAGGCAAAAAACACGACAACCGTCAGTAAAACACAGCTTCTCGCAAATCTCGACGCCCAGTTGTGATCCCCGGTGGCAAGTGGCGTGGCCGGAAGCGATTACTGAGACACTGGAATGGAGAGTCGCGCTGGGACGGAGCCAATGGATCTAAACCGCACCAAACACATTGGCGGAGTGTTGAGCGCTCAGACGACTGAATCTCCCAGGAGCCCAGCATCGAGAGGGTCTATAAGAGCCATCTAGCTAACGCATTGGCGCTGGCCCCTCCCCGCTGCCTGCCTCTTCAGAGATGACTCCCTCTGTCACGCCCTCTGCGCCGCTGTCATCTGCACGAGCTGTTGGAAGGCACGACCCAAAAAGCAGCGCCGGAGGTTGGCGGCACCGGCAGCTGGCAGCGCCCCTGACAGGTGTCATCGCGTTCAGCCCGTGTCGCGCGGTGCTGGACAGGGTGTCGCCACAGCACGGCGCGGAGCCGGCGCCGCCGCAAAAAGTGCCACCGCTCGCCCGTCAATACAATCCGCCCGCTAATGCAAAAAGGTCGACGGGCCGGCCTAACCGGACACGGGAGAGGCCGGTGACTGGCGGCTCCCGATGGACGTCCGGCGGCGGCAGGCCTGCCGTGCGGTACGGACGTGGGGACGTCCGCCGGCAGCAGACCGGCCGTGCGGTACGGACGAACCTGCACGGGCCTAGGGAAACTACAGCTTACAAATAAAGTGTTCAGTTATTGTTGTGAAAGGCGTCACTTTATTGTTCGCCAGCTTGACACCAGCACGGGACGCCTCACGTCCAGACCAAAACCAACGAGGAATGAATGCACGGCATTGCATTGCGACGCATACAAAGGATTTCCCGAACAAGTGACTGTAGCACGTGCGGACAGGCCCGCACTGGCACCCGTAAGGCTTAATGCATCAAATTTTCACGATTAGAAAAGTGTGGACCGTTGATGATGTGGTTTGCCTGCTGTTCCAGCACCGCGCATGTGCCGGGGAAACCTATCCATCTTATCCGTAACGGCCAAGACAAACATGCACAGTCATGACACGTTGTATCAAAGAGGCGCCAAAGTGTAGATCATCGGCGAACATCCGGGAGCGACCGGCAGTAACCGGCAGGACAAACGAGTCGCGCCTTCATTCGTTTTAACTACTATCGCAGTGCACAGGCGGAATGTGATGCTCATTGTTCTGTTGCCGCATCGTTCCCATCATCAAAACAGTATGCACGTGAGGGTATGGTAGGCGCTACTACATGATCGCACGGGCCTTTCGAGCCCAGCCCAATCACCTGTTCTAACAGGGCGCCGCGGTTGTAGCAGTCGAGCAATTCATTATCAAAGCTATGATTCGTGCTTTGTGTTGATGACGCCAGCTGACATGTCTGCATTTCGCATGCATGCCTCCCTTGTTGACAGAACAGCCTAACTTCAGCGGCTCAGTTACTAATGTGTCTTTCTACAGGTGCTCCGAAATATTGATATGTGCCACGTGCAACTCCTGGTTTGAAATCAACAATATTATGGTTTGTTTAAAAGAACACACAAAACATTTGTCAAAAGATAGGCATGTCGTTTATTATGCTGCATAATTAATTCACTAAAACTGCATCAAAATAATGCATCAACCGAGTTCCAATATCCTTGCCATAACACCCGGTGCACGGTGGTACGCTAAGGCTTTTCCGTGGCAGTCTCTGCACATATTCGGAAAATATGCTGGGTTCATATTTCGTGCGATTTACTTGTATTTTATTTAGCTTTGCTCGCGACGACTAACAGCTTGAAACGCCGAGTCGTCAATGAAGCCAATGTTTTCTTGATTAAACACTGCTTCCTTGCGTATCAAGGGTCGCTTATTGGCAGACATGATCTTCAATCCAAAGGCATCGTAGACGTGGGCCCTACCAGGGGACTAGTAAACGTAGAAGACGTAAACTCATTGTCGTATGGACTATCTTCGACATAAGTCCGGTTTTGGCAACGTTTAGTTGCCGAGTGCATCCCACATTACCTACGATGAACAGCGAGCGCGGAACAATGCAGCGGGCTTTAGTGTACCAGGCACCGTTGCCGAGCGGGCTCTGTTAGTCCTTCATTTACAGGAGTTGTTGCATCATAAAACTTGCCGGCCGCGGGACGTCGCGTCCCCACGCCATGCGGGCTTAAGCCGGGTAAACCTGACTAGTCTGGTACCTTGCGCCTTAAACAAGTAGCCGTCGATAGCATACGGTGGTTGGTGATGTGCAACTACTAGAAATTCAGGGTAAGAACATGTATGGCTACATTATTGCTTAGGACACACGGATGCTCCAGGCGGCACAATTCGCGTACCTCTTGGCATCCATCCTTGCTTAGACGTTTTGGTTCTGCCACAGTCGTAAAGCTATGTAGGACATGAACCTTGCGAAGGTGTTTGTTTCAACGCGACGTCACAGACGACGCTGAATGTCAGATTTTTCGACGGGGCAGGGTAGGGGCAGCTCCCGATTTTTTTACTAATGGACCCATTTTAGTGCATTGCAAACGTATATATTTTTCATGACTATGACAACATTGCATATTTTCAATCTTCTTTTCTACTTCTGTACCTTCATTTTACCAGCCAGCATCTATTCATGCGCATAATGATGCAGGCAAAAAATTGATAGCTGGAGGCTCATTTGCCCCTCTGCCCCTTTGAATCTGTCCCTGGTCCTAAGCGTAATGAGAGATTCCGCAACAATTGGGCAGGGCACAACCAAATCACATGGTTAGGTGTTGTTACGCTCCAATAGCTTACGCGACGCGCACGGTGGCAGGTGGTTCGTCTCCATATTTGACACTGGTCATATTTGCACAATCAACGAAATCATGAAATAGTGATAGCAAGTACCAACGAAGTACCAACATAGAAAAGGTTACCATAATTACCTCAGAAGCTCTGCCTGTGGCGCCATTCTAAAAAAGCCTGTCAGTTGCAAAAACGAGCCTGCGCAGCATAAATGACGCTTATGCCTCCAGCATGTCTCCATGGCTCAGTAATAACAGCAGGATCAGTAAGCCAAATTTGCACGTGATATTCCATCCAGGCCTGAAAGAATGCTGACTGCAGCCATGCAACCCAGGTAATGCTGATCTTGGAGGGCCACCTCAGCAACACCGGCACAAAACATGGCGAAAAAAGTTTTTCAGCTCAATAGCCGTCATAAGGATAACAGAGTAATGCGTGTTTTTACCAGGATTCATAGCAGACAGGAACTGGTGCAATGAGCTCTGCATGGATAATGGCAATACACTCCACTCTCGACGCCGCAGCAAGCCCCGATGTATTAGATGTGCCTAAGGAATGTCTCACTGCAGCTCACCTTGGGTGAACCCGCATATAGCCAATTCGCAGATCAAGCACTCATCAATAAATGTGCATGTCGCTAACAATGTTGTATATTACATGCACTAAAACGACGTCAAAAACGATGAACCGTCCGAGCTACGAGCATCACCTGTGATTGACTGCGAGTGCTGAACCATGCAGCGGATTTTAGTGTACATCGTTGCCGAGCGTGTTATCTTGATCATT